ATTCAGCATGGGATTTCTATCAAAGAAGAGGTGGGGATTGAAGTCTGGTGCTAGAGTTAGCAGCCTGGCAGATGAGGCACTTGCTTTCTGCAGATGACACGACAGGGAGTCATCCTGAAGTCCAAAGAGAGCCTAAAGCATCAAAGTAATCTAGGTTGAGTCTGGCTTTTTTTGTTTGAGCCTGTTCAAAGGTACTGTTTTTATTTGCAAGGTGAAAAGCAGCTGTGTTATTAGGGGTGTGAATTTTTAGGATGAGAGCATTCCCTTTTGGCATTTGTGTTTTTCTTCAGCAAAATTTCAAGTCAGTTTCAGAAAAATTTCAAGTCAGTTGTGTGTGACAGCAATGGACGAGTGCATGGTCAGCATTTTGGCTAAGAGATGCTGCTCTTAGCCTCAATTTCTGAGTCTTTTTGTTGTCCTAATTTCTGTTCCCATATTTTATGTTTCTTGCCATAACTGAACGATGCACATCACTGAAGCTACCTGAAGTAAACACTTGAGTGTTCTTGGGGAAGCTGTTTTCAACGTTGGTTTGTATCACAGTTCTGTAATCAAGTTGTTACCTTAAAAGATGGGCATATGATAATTTATCTGCTCTCCTGAATTGTGTGGCTGACTAGTTACTGATCTTTGCAGTGCAAGATGATTAGCACAGTTACCTCGTTTCCTTCAGCCTCGCCATTAGGCTAATCCTGCATTTGTCTGGGTTGTGTGAATTGCCACACTGAGTACCTATTTCCTGTTACCCCTCTAAAGGTGACTTTCTTGATGTATTTCAGTGCCTCTGGGAAGTTTCAGCAAGCTGGGTATCTGGGGAGCAGCTGAGTTCCCGGTATGCTGTCATTTCTAGGCAAAAGGGGGCCATGTTACACAGGGTTACTCTCTGTCCTCCAGGACAGATGGACGGGCTGCTCTGCAGCCAGGTTGTCACCATGGGATTTGGGAACGCTTGCAGTCCAAATGAGAAGGGGCTGTCCTGGCCGTTCATAAGGGTTTCTCTGAAACCTCGTAGGGTGATATCTCTATCCCAAAATGTTGTCTTTTCATGGATCTTTTAACTTGGATAAAATTATATATTGCAGCAAAATATCTTAGCTTCATACAGCATGAGAAAAAAGGTTAATATAGACAAGTCTGCTGAATCTGGCTAATTGATGGTGTCTTTAGGCTCTGAAGTTGTGGGGGCAAAGAGAAAATGGTGTGCTTGTGGGGTAGACTTCTTAATTTTCCAATGTATAAAATGTTTAGGTGACTGTTTCTTGATTCCATGTTGTAAAGATCTTTAGTTGTGTGATACAGCATTTAAATAGCTGGTTTTGGATAAGATTCTGTTTAGTAGGAAACTGTATATGATAACTCAAGGGATTGTGTAATTGTGTAATTCTTCACGAGGACTGGGGGGAACCTCCTATATTGAAATGGAATACATAATTGTGTGTTATTTATTCTTCTGAATATACACAAGTAAATCATTAATTAGCATAATTTGAGCTTCTTTCCTCTTTGCTGGTAGTTAGGCAAAAACACGTGTAGGGTGTATGTTACAACAGAAGGGCATCTACTACCTATTAAAAATGCAAAACTGTAAAATGAGTATTCCTTTAATAAGTATTGAAAATATGAAGGACGGTTTTCCAGTTTAAGACTGAAACGGTCTTTAAAAGATGTAGGACTTAATATTGAAAACAACCCTTTTAAAATCAGAGTGCCTCATTTTGGGCGGAAGAGCCTAAGTGCCATAGGCGCACATTGTGCTTCCAAAGGAGAAGCGTGTGTCGTGGGAGCGGTACCCGCCGCGGCGGGGCTTGGTGGGGGCCGGGGCTTGGCCGCGGGGATCGGGGCTGGCCGCGGTGCGTGCGCGGGGCGGGAGCTGCGGGCACTGCGGCGGCACCGCGGCGGCGGGAGCTGCACCGCCGGCCCGGCAGGGCTGACGTCACCCCAGGAACATGTGATGCAGCCGGCTGGCGCGGAGGATGCTGAGCTGTGGAGGGAGAGATTGGTGCAGATATTTATGGCATTTCATTTGAGTGTGGTAAATGCCTTTTAATTTTTTTTTTTTAATTAAATCCTCAAATCCTCACATCCACGAATGTTTTGTGGAGAAGAGGCTTTGAGAAGGGGGAGGGAGGACCCACCCCAAGCCCTTAAGACCTGCTTATATTGCTGGTTTTATTTTATTTTTGCTTCGTTGGAGATAAAAACGATACTTTCCTGCCGTATTCACCCTCTTTGCTCCCCAGCATTCTTTCATCTGTTGTAATCCCTACAGTCTTTTCAGTTAAGCTTTAACACTGCAGAACTGGAATAAAAATAGACTGTTTAGAGCAGCAGGAATATGATAATCCAAGGCAGTCAGCCTTAAGGATATGCAGATGCAGAACATGAGCCAAGCACTAACATATTTGCTAGGGTGTTTACCTTGAGCGGCCCCTTAATAGTCAGAGAAATGTTAGCTAAATGTTTCTCGATTCTTACATGCCACAGGCAAAGTAAAACGTGCAGCTACTGCGCATCATCATCCGAGGTGAAGTAGTTTAAGGGCTTAGAAATCTGAGCAAGCAATTGCGGTAACATCAGTGTCTTGGGTAATTTTGAGCTAAGAGAGACAGCAAAGTACGGCGCTAGTTTCTGCATGCTTTTTAGGTGAGGAGAAAGTGTTTTCTACCTCTGAATTTACTGTAAAGAAAAAGAATTGCCATGGTTGATTTGAAAGCTGAGCGTGCTAAATTGGTATTAAGCTTATGGTGGGTAGCTCAAAGCACATTAAAAAAACATTAACTCTGGAAGTGTGCCTGTATGCCTTAGCAGTCAACTGAAGCCCAAATATATCAAGGTGGGAAAGGGTATTTGCTGTCTTTTTAGGTGATTTATTTAAGCCCAGGCTTTTTCTTAAAGCTATTTAGAATTTTAGTCTATAACAAACAGAAATGTAGTAGGAACAAAACTGTAGGCAGTTTCAGTAAAGGGCTAATAACCATAGCCAGTTCTCTGGAAGAGTAATAATGCATGAGGTTCTTTTTGCTGTGTTTTAGAATCTTGAGAGCCTAGGTGCAAACATGAAAGTAAACCCCGCATGCTTTGCCAGTCTGGAGTTGCTGTGTAGTTGCAAAATACTGTCCATCATGTAGAAACCCTCATGCTTCATGGTTACCCAAGGAACCAGTTTTCCCAGTCTAGCCTTTCTTAGAAAGTGTACTGAATTTTGGGATTGTTTTTGGTCTGTGGTGTCCATGGAAAAAACAAAGAACTAGCCAGGGAACATCTGGCTGGAAGTTGATTTGTTTTGTTTTCTTTTGTTTGCATTCTGTGAGTGCTGAGACAATGCCCTGGTTGAACACTTCAGTTATGCTGAACTCGAGGCACCCGTTGCTGACATTTCCCTGAACACGTTTTAAAAATCCCCAGTCATGGATAAGCCATAGTCTTCCACAGGCAATCCCATGACCTGTTCACAGTTCTTTCCTTTACAAAATTTCCTGCCATCTAGTAAACCTCTTGCTGTAATTCTAAGCTTTTAAATTCTGTAGGCTTTTGTCACCAGTAGGCTTTATGTGTTCTGAGGACTGCCACCACATGTTCCTGCAGTTCTTCATGCAAAACAGATGCATAGATGATGACATGCAAATACCTGACCATCTTTGTCCCTTGGGTGTTGTGCTTGGGTCTGTTATGAAGGGTAGTGCCCACAACTAGATACTGGCACAGGAGTCTCAGTGCTGCTCTCTGGAGTGGAAAACCTCTGATGTAATTTATGTATGGGATGCCCTGAAGTATAGGTCTTATATTACTTGATGACACTAGTTTGATGCCTTCAAGTTTTAGTTTAGAAATGCACAGCTTTTTCATTTAAGCTCAGAACCTGAGACCAAAGGGTATGAAGCATTTGGATATTTTTGAGGAAGATTCTTAACAGCACTTTTGTGCTTCAGTAGTTATAGAGAAGCAATGAGCTTCCCCCTTACCCCAGCAGAGGTACTTTCTTTGGATATAGGATTATTTTAAACAACACATGAATCCAAACAGACCAGGAAGGATTGTACACAGAAGTTAGTTGAAGATGTGTCACCCAGTTCTTCTTGTAAGATGAAAAAAATCAGCCTAAATATGACAAATTCTGTATTGTACAGGTGAAAAATAATGGAAAAACATGCTTCCCAAATCTTCCTTGTCAAAGAAGGAAGAACTTCAGAATTTGGCCACAGAATTAGAGTAGTAGAAATAGGAAGCAGAGAGGGAGGGACAAGCTGGTGATGTGCTGCTTTGCAACACTGACTGTAATCACTCACCTTGGGCACTATATCATACTCTATGTGTGTACAGAGTTAGTATGATGTCCTCTCAGTTGTGAAATGCTGTTCTTGTCAGGCAGCAGAAAAAAATTCTGCTTACAGAAGTGATTTAAGAAACATTTCATGTAAATAGTGTTGGGGATTTTTGATGGGGTTTTTTGTGTTTTTTGAGTGGGTTGGGGTTTTTTGATGGGGTTTTTTGTTGGGGTGTTTTTGTTTGTTTGTCTTTGTTGTTGTGGGATTTTGGGTGGGGGTTTTGGTTTGGGATTTGGGGTTTTTTCAGTGGTAATTGTTCTAAGCATACCTACTTCTTATAGCTTGATACTCTTCATCCCTACTGGAAAGAAAAAAAAAAGAAAAAAAAAAAAAAAGAAAGAAAGTGGGATTTGGAATGCATAAAAGCCACAGGATCAATATGATAGTTTTTATTAACTGATGAAGAAGGCTAATTCTGGAATCTTGTTTTCTACTGAAGCTTGCTAACAGGCCATGTTATTTGTGTTAAGCTGGTCAAAGTGATGACTTGTCCATTAATACATCTTTAAAATTTAGTTTATTTTTTGATAGACTTTTATTGTAAGGTTATCTTAATTCTTGTAATCATAACATTCAGAATGTATTCAAAAGGTAAATGTTTTTCAGTGCATTCATTAAATGTAGAAGTTGGGCTTGTCTGTATTTTTGACTAATCATCTTCTCTTCTTTTTTCAGGGTTTCGCAAAAATGATGAAATGAAGGCTATGGAAGTATTGCCAATTTTAAAGGAAAAAGTTGCATACCTTTCAGGTACGGTTATTTTCTCTTGTAGAATGCCCAGCTGTGTTGTTAGTAGCATGTAAAATGATATTTTAAATAGCTTAAATATCATTACAAAATTCATGGAACGCTATGGCAGCACTGATTCCTGTTGGATATCTGAAGCATAACATAAGCATTTTGAAAGGCGTAATAAAAGAGGCATTTGTTTTCTTGAATGTGGAACATTGCTAGTTTTTGTCTTGGTCATGTTAAGTCCTGCATTCCCCCTAGCCACTCATCATTATTTACAGCAACTTAGAACCTGCTGTACCAATGTCATATTCCTTTTCTTACTTCTGGTTCTTCTGATGGGGAATTTTACAGACATGCCTTTGTTATTGACCCATCTGCAGCATATTCTGGAGAAATTTCTGTTGCGGAAGTGAATTACAGTTGCCTGTCTTTTGAAGCACACTTAGTATTTTCTTTGTGAACTGACTTAGCATGTAATTTTAGGAAATTCCAGCATGCACATTGAATTGGTTGGTTACTGAAGAAGTTATAGCAGGAGGATTGAAAAGTGGGATTTATGAGTTAGTATCATAACATAGTCTATAACTTTATAAGTAACTTTACATGGTGGAATGATGGGCTGAGGTGCTTATTTTTGTAAACTGCATTTTGCTGTGACTTTCTATTGGGATTAAACACCATCATTCTCTCAGCCATAATCTTAGTGTCAAATGATTTAGAGGGAGTCTCATATTTGCAAGTGGTTTTTTGGATAATTTTTCAAGAATGACAAAAGTAAAGCTTTTGTCTTAAATATTAAAACACATAAAATTATTCCTGCAGTTGTAGTCTTTAAGAGATTTGCTGGGCATGGATGCTGATGCTTGCAAATACAGCCTATAGTACATGTTACTTTATCCCGTCCACTCTGCCGAGTTAAGTAGAGGTACAGCGCAAAAAAGTGTGTGGATGAAGGTTTTTGTTTGTTTGTTTTCTTCTTTTTTTTTCTTTTTTTTTCTCTCTCTCTCTCTTTTTTTTTTTTTTTTTTTTCCTTCTTAAAAGTTCCTGGCAATTGTAATGAGCAAGACCAGTTTTCCTGGTAGCATAGTAACTTGGGAATTGTAGTGCTGGTGAAGACTTGCTTAGAACTCTTATTTTTAGTAGGAAAGAGGAGAAAAGGGGGTTATGCACAGTTTTTCAATCCCTCATTACTTTTTGAACCTAGTCTTATGTCGTTGAACAAAAATGAAGTCAGTTTTTACTCCAAAACCTCTGAATTTTTAAGTTGTCTGGTACTTAGTTTAGACCCCTTAAAAGGGATCTGAAAAGTGATGGGTTTTTCTAATGTTAATTTGTAAGCAGATGGCATTCTGAAAGGCATTAATTCAGTGAAAGTGAAATGGGCCAAATGAAACATGAAGATAAATTTAAGGAGAGATGATAAATTGTGAACCAGAATAGAGGAGGTGTTGGCAGAAATAAATGGTTGCCAACTTGCTTGTGTGAAGGTAGCAACTCCTAATGGAAAAATGGAGCAAACAGCTGTGGGCAACAAGACTGGCTGGAACCGGTCTGCCAGAATCCATAGTTTGACATTTCCATTGCAAGTGAAGCTCAAATGGAATGAGATACATTAGTAGTGCAAATGAGTTAAGAAACCCTGAAGTACAACAACCTGCGACAATACTCTTCAGTGTGTTCTCCCCCTTCCCCCAAAAAAGTACCACCACCACTAGGACCTAACCACTGTGCAACTGTCAAGCTTTATACCTGGGAACACAAAGATATTTGTTCATTTGGTTTCATTCATTGGTTTACTGAACAGATTTTCACCTAACTGAGAAGTAAACTGCTTGAGTATTGGATGTCTTACCACCTGAAACAGTTACATCTCTAGGTTTTTCTATGAAGTCCAAATACAGTCTTGGTGTATTTATAATTATAATAATAATGATATAATTATATTTATAATTTTTTGTGTTAAGTTTAAACTGAAACATGTCAAAGTAAAAATATTATAATTAATATCTCTACACATACCTAAGCAAGGAGAGCATTTTCTTACAAGGTGCAGTTATCTTGGTTTCATGTAAGGACGTAGCCCTTGGTAACTTGTCTTGCCATAAAAGGCAACTGTTTAGCTTTTTTTACTGGAGTACTTTATAACTAGGTTAAAAGGCATTTCTTTAAAAAGCTGCACTACTCAGCCTGTTGGATTTTAGTGCCATTTGGAGGCCATTGAGAATACTGCTGTTAGTGATGTGCACTAGACAGAAATGATGCGTGTTAGGTGACTCACGTGAGTTATCAGATAGATGTTTGTGTGACACACTTTGGCATAAACAGAATATCTCAATAGTGGGGTGGGGCAGTATATCAAAGGAAATGGATTAAAATGGAAGTGTTACTGATGAAAGCAGTAGTAGTGTAGTATGTTTTTGTTAAACATTAATAGGTGGTTTAGTTGGACAACAACTATTGCAAGACAGGAAATTCCCACTGATGCCTCATGCATTGTTGCTTTTAACTTTCCCGTTTGTGTATGACACAGGAGTATCAGGAACAAAGGAAATGAGAGTTAGTTATTGTAAGAGGCCTAAGAAAGCTGTCATTAGAGCTGATGAAAAAACCCCAAGTATTAGGGACTTTTAAAAATATTATTATTTGCAATTTTGCCACCTGTTTTAAGACTGGATAGTCAAGTTCTTTTCATCTAAAATCAAGGCTGTATTAATTTATTACTCATCTAGGCCTGGAGTTTGTAGAACAAAGTTTGTCTCTGATGTACAAAAGTTTCAGGATATGATACATCAGAAATTTAACCACCATTTAAAAAAATGGTCTTCTTCTGTGACATACATGGAGCTGGAGCCAACTGAAGTGGCATCCAGAATGACTTAAAAGTGCTGTATTGAAAAACTGCATGATAGAGGAGTTGCAGTGTGGGAAAGGCCTGGAGGACTGGTCTGAGGTGGCTGCATGTAACAAAGCATTTGCTTAAAAAGCTTAGAGTGTTAAAGACAATTCAGCTTACGCTTTCACCTGCTATCTGCTGCCTTTTAAAGAATATCCACCCTAAGCAATTGAGTTACTTTTTCTGGGAGGCTGGAGTTGGTAGCGCTTACCAGTTGAAACTGGTAGATCTAAAGGTAGTGGCCTGTGGTGCAATAAGGAGAGAGAGCATTAAGGGCTGTAGCAGACTATCAACTACTCTTGGTGGCCTTGGAGCCCAGTGATGGCTCTGGAGCTCAGCAGGGGCCTTGGCCATTGGACTCTGTCTTGTCATTCATCATTCCTTTCTCTTACAGCTGCTGTCTTGGTTTCTTTTCCTTCTTTTGCTGTGTAACAATCCTCAAAACTCTCTGCTTGGCAAGTGAGTCAGGATGGTCAATACTTGCCTTTCTCCATTGGAATGAAACAATTCTGTTTTTCATCTTATGTCTCACTTAAGAGGGTCGTGGAAGATAAATATATGAATTTCCTTTTAAATTTTGCTTTCTGGCATTGTAGCTTGATGGAGTTCAAAGATGCTTTTGCCTCTTTTGACTTTCATTTAGTGTCTGACAGGGAGCATGTAGACAATCTCTAGAGACTTTTACAGCCAGGTTTGGTGTCTTTGGCAAACTCACACTATCTGTGTTGGAGAGGATAGTGATGAATTTTTGAGTAACTGGTATCATTTATTGTTTTTATATTTATTTTTGTCTTCTCTTGGCATTCCTTTCTAAGTGATTTTTGAAAAACTTCGTTTAGCAACATGGAATTACAATGAGAAGCTGATTTGAAATGAGAAATTCTGGGCTGAAGACAGTGTTTTTCTGTGTTTCCATGGGACAGGAGAAAACAGTCCACACATCTATGGTTGAAAACATACATGTGAAATTCAGCTTGTAAGAATCTGTCTGTGCTATTATAGATGTGTTGATAAAGACATCCTACTGGGCTTGAATTTGGTGTTTAGCAATAGTAACATTTTGTTGTCACTAGCAAGGGGTTGGATATAAAATTATATTTTACTATTTGACTACAGCAAGCCTGTGTATTTTTATGGCTGAGATGAATGCATTTAAGTGGAACCATTTACGTCAGATTTTTTGCCTTATATATTAAGTGGATTCAGAATTTCCTGTTGCTTACAAAATTAAAAACTATAAACTGACAATTGGGAATCTGAAAATCAGAACAGGATAAAAATACAAAGTAAATGCTTAAATAGTTTCCATCCACTCAATCTACATATTAAGTGTGAAGTATTATACATGTAAATTCTCCTACTAATTAATTTAATCATTGAATTACAAAATCATTTAAGTTGGAAAAGACCTTTAAAAGGTCTCAAAGGTCTTTGATTCTGGCCCTTTACCTGGCACTGCCAACTCCACCACTAACCATGTCCCCAAGTGCTGCATCTACATGGCTTTTAAATGCTACCAGGGGTCACAACTCAACTACTTCCCCAGGCAATCAGTAGTCTAATGCTTGACAACTCTTTCGGTAAAGAAATTTTTCCTGATATTTAAACAATTCCTGGTGCACCTTGAAGTAATTTCCTCTCATCTTGTCACTTGTTACCTTGTAGAGGAGACCAACACTCACCCCATTGCTGCGTCCTGTCAGGGAATTGCAGAGAGCAATAAGGTGTCCCCTGAGACTCCTTTTCTCCAGGCTAAACAATCCCAGCTCCCTCAGAGGCTCCTCATAAGCCTTGTTTTCCAAACCCTTCACCAGCTCTGCTTCCCTTCCCTGGACACACTCCAGCACCTCAATGTCCTCCTTGTACTAACTGGGCCAAGAACTGAACACAGGATTTGAGGTGTGCCCTCACCAATGCCAAATACAGGGGGACAGTCACTGCCCTGGTTCTGCTGGCCACTATTGCTGATACAGGCCAGGGTGCCATTGGCCTTCTTGGCCACCTGGGCACACTTCTGGATGCTGTTCAGGTGCTGTCAGTCAGCACCTCCAGGTCCTTTTCCACTAGGCAGATTTCCAACCTCTGTTTCCCCAGCCTGTATCACTGCCTTGGGTTGTCGTGACCCAAGTGCAGGTCCCAGCACTTGGCCTTGTTCAGCCTCATAGTACTGAGCTTGGCCCATCAATCCACTCATGCCCAACCTGGCATCACCTGCAAACTTCCTCTTTATTCTTACCCAAACAGTCTTGTCACAATCATGACATTCCTAACGTTCAGGGCTACCTTGCCAACTCTCCTTCCTTGCCTATCCCTTCTGAAGGGTTTACAGCCATCCATTGCAGCACCCCAGTTGTGCAAATCAACCCACCATGTTTCCATGATGACAGCTATGTCACAATTTTCCTGATGCCTAAAGGCTTCCAGCTCCTCCTCTTTGTTGCCCAAGCCATGTTCATTGGTGTCAATGCACTTCAATCGGGCTATTAATTCTGTCACCTTTTTTGGGGCAGAAGCCCTAATTCCTACATGACCATTCTCAGGTGCTTCCATGCTTTCTGACACATCTGTATCTCTTACATTTTGGCTGCTGCATGGATCTCTGTTCCTACCTCCTGTGAGATGGCAGACTGAAAGACCTTGCTAGTTCACCATTCCTCAGACACTGGTGTTCTGCCTCCATGCTGATCCCTAGTGAGCATGGCTTTATCAAGTCTAGTCTAAAGGTCTTTCAGTGAGCCCTGATAGTTCCTGTGCAAAAATACTTTTCCTTGTTTGAGGCCGGTGTACCTCGTCTGTCACCAGCAGGCTCAATGTCATGAAACCAACCCAGGATCAGAATACCCAAAAATGTCCCAGTGACACCAGGCTCAGAGCCAGGTATTGATCTGATGGCTCTTCCCATTTCTTCCCTTATCATTTCCTGCAACAAGAAGCACAGAGAAAGCACTCCTGCTCCTCCAACCAGTCATCCCAAGCCTTTCAGGGAGAGACTTCAATCATAATCTCTCTTGATTGTCCTTGGGCTTCTTATTGCAATTTCTTGCTTTTTCCCTGAAGTATGGGGTTAATAATAATGGTTTTTCCCAAGGGCCATACCAGGGTAGGAAGCTTTCTCATCACATCTTTTACCTTGGGTGCAGGGAGGCAGCAGGCTTCCTGAAGAAGCTGGCACACTGTGAAGTTTGTTCACTTCAGAAGGGAGTCTCCTATGACAATGATCCATCTGTCTTCAACCTACTCACCTCCTCCCTGAGCTCTGTCACTGAGCAGAGGAGCTGTTCTACCTGGGCACACCTCCCACAACTGTGCTCTCTGCTGCCATATCACCTAAACACTTGCCTACAAAGTAGCATAATTCTGTATTTAAATTAAATCGTACAATTGCTGAGTCAAAAGTTAAATACATAACAGAGTGCCATTGCTGGAGATGTCACACTACCAGTCAAACTTGAAGGTGACTGTAATGTCTCAAGTGTAATGCTCTGGGTATTCTTTGTTTCATTTTTTTTTGGCATTTGCTTTCTCACTGTAGGAATATGCTGATCAATACCCCCAAAATTCAATCTTAAGTTGGTCTCAAAATGGCAATGTTGGCATTTAAGTTGAAATCACTTTTTTAAAAGTAGATACTGAGGACTAGTTCTGCAAAAAGGAATTTTATGTTATGCTGTGAGGTCTTCTAACATTTTTAATTTTTCAGGTGGCAGAGATAAGCGTGGAGGTCCCATTCTAACATTTCCAGCTCGCAGTAATCACGACAGAATACGGCAAGAAGACCTTAGAAGACTAATTTCGTATCTAGCGTGTATTCCTAGGTAAGCGATCACCTGTTAACCTCTAAGGCTGTATAACAAAATAAATGGATTGTGTTGCAGTACTCCCACAAGATAGCAGGCTGAGCGAGTTAATAACATGAGCAAATCAATACCAAGTTTTGTCATTTTCTATTTTCAAATGGCTTTCTGGAAGAGAAATAATTACTCTGCCTTGTAAAAGGAAGGCAGCTGGCAGAAGGGCTGGTGTGCTTTAGCTAAAAGTAGTTTGTGTCTCGGAAATGGCACTGCCACGCCACATTGGTGTCGCTGTGTTGAAGACTGCAAATACAACTCAAAGGCTTTCAGTACATCAATAACTAGAAGCATGCTGGTCATCCTTCACCATGTGGCTTGTGTGGAGTACAGTCAGCACAGGACTCCTAACTGTTATTTGTATTTGATAAGTCATAGTGTCCTGATACCGCATGGAAATAATGAGGAGAAAGGTATGAGAAATTGCTTGTAAAGGTCTCAGATAAACCTGTGGAGTCACCAGTGAAAGTACTGATATCATTCCATTATCAGCAATTCAGCCTATGAATTGAGCTGTTTAAACAAATTGGCAGAAGTCAAATCCTGTGCTATTGTGTGTGTGCATATATACACTCCCATATGTGTGTATATATATGAGATACTTCAAACAAAAGTTATGTATTTTGTGTCTATCTAAAAAAAGTTCCTCCATACAGAACTTTGCTTTCTGTAGTAATCAAGTTGGGAACAAAAAGGATCCCAAGACTCTGACTTTAGGTCCATCTTGGAACCTTCCTGCATTTGTTTCAGGCTGGAGCAATGCTGACTGTGCTTGACTCTGTTTGTCTATAACCACAAGCAGCAGTTTTCATTACAGTTGAAAAAAATTCCTTGGATAACATCCCTGAGTTACCCCCACAATATCTTCCCTGTTTGTGTAATGGGCTAATTTACTGAGAGTCTTTGCACTTGATATAATCCAATATCAGTTTTTGACTGAGAAAGATGGTTTCATAAAAGTAACTTCAAGGCATCTGTCTGAGAGATTAGATGGCCTCCTTTTTGTAAAGTTAACTGGGGGACTCGGGGGACCTAGAGAAAGGAGAACAGGAAGAAGGCTTGAAATTTTTACTCTCAGATTTGAATGGTTGTGCAAATCATCCCACATCATCTAGATGTATTCTCGCCATCTAGAGCTTCAAGTTGCTAGATAAGTTAATAGATAAATATGCATCAAAATGTGTCCAAGAATTTTTTTAGAGATAATCAGGGCAAGAAAGAGTCTTTCTCTGGCAAAAGGTGTATGTTAGTTAGCTTAGATCAATAGATATAAAATTAAAAGAAAGTTAGTGCATGTTTTGCACTCTTTAAGCATGGCAAACTTTTGAGAATAAAGGGAGTTTTATCAAAAATAAGACTTCATACAAGTCATGTTTTCATACAAGTCATGTTTAAGGGACTGATTATGCAACTCTAGCTTATTACAAGTCCCAGTTGGTACAAATATCCCTGAACTTTTGGGCTGTCTACTATTTGTTGCACTACTGTTACTTGGTGTAGCTCAAGAATCACAGGTATCAGTTGTTTGGCAAGAGATCTAAAAACTTAAGTTGACTCAATTTCACAATTTTACTGATTTTACAATTTATCTGATTTAAAAATACGGCTGAACTTATGTCATCACCACAGAGTGGTGGACAGATATTTTAGTGTAGTTCAGGCCTACCAACACATGACCTGGCTCCCGAGAACAAATCTTGTGATCCTTGCCCAAAAGACATTGGGCTTGTGTGAGGTGATGTGGCTCCACGATGGAGCACACAGCCGCACTCACACCATGAGGGACCACTTTGGACACCCCAGTAGATGCATGCCTTGTGAATTAGTGGCAAGCACTCCCTGTCCAATCCTCAGTTTGGTAGGATAGGGATGGGCTGAGCAGCACTCCTGCTACCATTTGGCCTTTCAGTGAAGGATCTATTGTAAAGACAGTAGTTGTTTTTTTCCTTGAATTCTCTGACAGTTTTAGAAAACATTTTCACCATGGTCAGAAAATTGTAAATTGTAGCCTACATGCATGCCAAGCTAGTTACTACTAATATATTTTGCTTCTGCTATTGCCATTTTTGGCATTCCTATGGGCAGGTGGGAGAGCCAGCATTTATCATGATAAACTAATTTTTTGAAATATTGTGGGATGTTTATTCTCTCTTCGTTTCCATAGCTTTAAACTTTTCAAAGTTAAAAAAACCTTCCCCTTCTGAGGAGCCCATGTTATCACTTTTTCCAGATCTCCTATAGCAGTCATAATCTGTCTTTCTGCACTGTGACCAATAAGACTGAGTAAAATATGCCAGTGAAGCTTCCCTGCCTCTTGGACACTCCAAAAACCTCACCACATGAACTCTAGTATGGCATTTGAATTAGTCACATCCCTGAAAGTGACTCATACTCAAACAATGGACATTTGGTCCTTTTTTGATAGTCTGCTGGGTATGATGCATTAGTTTTGAAATGTTTTCCTTCCTATGGTCATACTACAAGGTCACGTAGCAAATTCTGCTGGAAGAAAAGCAGAGTTTCTGGTGGTGGTGGTGATTGTCAGTTTTGATCAGTAGCAAGAACTAAATGTACGGAAGATATTGATGAAAAGAAATTAAATTTTCCATTCTCAGAGGGAGTGCTGGAGAATTTGAGTGTAAGGTCTGTCAACTTTTGGACAACAAAATTGAGCTCAAATTTTGTAGAAACAGATTGATGTGGTTTTCTTCCCAACCATAAAATACTGTGTTGTCCTTTAACTATTCACAAATCAATCCTGTTACAAAAGAAATTGTCAATAAATGGGTGTCTTTCCTCTACAGACTCTTAACTCTCAGATAAAATGGTTCTAAATCTGAGACAGTTTGAAAAAGTTGTGAAGTGGTAGGTAAGAACGATTTGCCATCTTCTGTCTTTTTAGAGGATCCTCTCAATCATTAGAAAGACATGAATATTATCATCAGTCAAATAAGTGTATGTGTGTTCTGAAGAGTAAAATTTAAAGGTACTGTATATTGCTGCTTTAGGAAATGGTAGGTTTACTGTGTCTAAGGTGAAGGAGAAACAAGACTGGATGATGAATCATCATGAATATAAGCAGGGAAAATGAAAATGAAGATAATGGCAGAATATCAACTTAGCAACAGATATAAAGCTATTCCCCACAAGGAGTTTGGCATGGGGGTGAAAGAAGTGTCTTGAGAGGTTTGTGAGATTTGCTGTATATGGTCAGCAGTGAGACCCTGAGGAGACCACATTCATTAGACAGTGTGGTGCAGTTGAGGGTTGTGTTGGAAATTGAAACACTTGCTTGATAACCTTTCCTTCTGTTTTCTGCAGTGAGGAAGTATGTAAACGAGGATTCACCGTCATTGTAGATATGCGTGGGTCAAAATGGGACTCCATAAAGCCTCTGCTGAAGATTTTACAGGAATCCTTTCCATGTTGTATTCATGTTGCACTGATAATCAAGCCAGACAATTTCTGGCAGAAACAGAGGACTAACTTTGGCAGCTCTAAGTTTGAGTTTGAGGTAATTTCCCCTATGGTATACAAATTTATATTTATTTTGTGGTTTTAAATGTTCTCACTAATGATCAGCACCTTGAAAACTCTCAGATAAATTATATTCTGGCTGAAAGGAGAGGAACTTTAGACCAGTGCTAGAAGAAATGTGGTTTTCTTCATGTATTTAGGCTAGGTAATTGTGTATGTTGTTGTTTATATTCTTTTTGTAAGCTCAAGAAAGATTGAATTAGGTTTTCCCCCCCCCAATGATAAAAACTTAGGTTTTGTCTCTTTGTTATCTTAGTTTGCATTGTGGTCATATTTCAATCTCCAGAATCCAGAGGAAATCAACTGAATGAACCTTGCTGTTATCCTCCTGCAGCTTTGCAATACACAAAGTCAAAACTTAAAACAGTAATCAGAAGAGTGGTTGCTGTTTTGTTCTTAAATGTAGTGAGGTAAGAAAGAAATGTGGGAAAATAGCTGCAAGACCTCCTGTCTTCTGCTGATCTGAATTGATACTTGAAATGTGTGAGAAAAGTTGTCATGTGGAATTCATGAGCAAAATTATCAACTCTTACAAAAAGAAAAGCGAAAACTTGAAATTTGAAATTCATTTCAGTAACAGCATTTTTTTCTTTCCATTTTTATTTTTTAGACAAATATGGTGTCTCTGGAAGGCCTTACCAAAGTAGTTGATCCTTCTCAGCTAACCCCAGAATTTGATGGCTGTTTGGAGTACAACCATGAGGAGTGGATAGAAATCAGAGTTGCCTTTGAGGACTACATTAGCAATGCAACCCATATGCTGTCCAGACTGGAGGAACTGCAAGATATATTGTCAAAAAAGGAAATGCCTCAGGACCTGGAAGGTGCTCGCAATATGATAGAGGAGCATTCACAATTAAAAAAGAAAGTCATTAAGGCCCCTATCGAGGACCTTGATGTGGAAGGACAAAAGCTGCTCCAGAGGATACAGAGCAGTGATAGCTTTCCCAAAAAGAACTCTGGGTCAGGGAATGCAGACTTACAGAATCTTTTACCCAAAGTGTCCACCATGCTGGACAGGCTGCACTCAACACGGCAGCATCTGCATCAGATGTGGCATGTGCGGAAATTGAAATTGGACCAATGCTTTCAGCTCAGGCTGTTTGAGCAGGATGCTGAAAAGGTAAGGATTGGGCAAGGAGACTGTAAATGGCTGATACTTGACGGGCTTGAAAGAAGTACCAAGGGTAACTGAAAATAGTAATTTTTGTCTTTGGAGTTAATCACTAGCCTTTTAATGAGAAATAAGGGACTTGTTGATTGAGAGGCACTCAGGGTCTTCTGGAGTAAGGGGCATGGGATAGTACTTCTAAGCTGTAAGGAAGCTTTACCAAAGAAAATTGTAACTGCTAATGACTTCAAAGTGCTTATTTTGTTAAACATTTTTTCCAGGCAGATGCTTTTGTATGCAGCAAGTAAAGAAGAATGCTGTATACTTTATAAATACAGATGATTACAGACTACATTGGTCTTCTTTTGAGTGAGCTTTGGGAAGTGAGTGACAGGCAGTCAACTAAGCCTGAAGAGGCTGACATGGGGAACTGCTTCATTGATGCAGGGTTTGAAGTCCCAGGCTAAAAACTGATGTATCTCTTCTGACAGTGCATATGTCATTAACAGGGAACTGAGTGATTTCAGAATGTTTCGGGCTAACCAGTCCCTTCAGATGAGAAAGCCCTTGATTGTCATGGAATTTGAAGAGGAAGTATGGCAGGCAGATCACTTTTAGATGAGCTCAAATTAGATCTATTTTCATGTAGAATGGTTTTGCAATCTCTTATTATTGACTTGTTACCATGGAACAAATAGCTTTAAGGAAGGGTGGGGATTTTTTCTCTGGGAGTAGTAGTAACTAGACTATGCAGTCAAGTGATAAGTATGTTTTTTCTCAGAGCTTGAAGTACTCAGATTTCTTGAAGTATTTTACATAAGATTGCCTGAACTGTATGAGACCAACAGTCCATGTTAAACCAGTGTTCTGCTCTCCAGCAGCTGTCACTAGCAGATGCATAGGGAAGAGTAAAAGCAGAACAAACATATAAAAACTTAACTTCTTCTTGCCTCTTTATTTGTGTTCTTCACCCATACTTTCCCTTACCCTCATCATTGCAACTCAGGGACTTTGTTTACACTACTGTAATGCTTTCCGCTGTGTTTAAAAAATAAATAATTTTTTTAAAGTACCATTTAAAAGAAATGTTTTCTGGATAGTATAGCTGAAAATAGTAGGGACATGTAGAGAGTTGGAAAAAAGATGAAATTATTATCTATTTCTAAAATTATTTAGAAAATAATGCAAGCTGTTGCTCTAGTGTTGCTCTTTCAGACCCAAATGCATTTTATCAACCTTGCAGTCACTTCATTACAGCATTAATTTTTCTGCATTATAGCATATCTTTCAGTACCATGTGAGCACCATCAAAATACCTTTTGTTAATTTTCTCATATTTTATCAAATTGATTACATAACCTGGGTTTTAACACACTTCTTGTGAAATACTTCAGCCTGTAGGATTGACCTCTGTCCTGCCATGTGGTTGCATAAGCTCCTATCAGTGTTTTCTATGTTTCTGATTCTATATTAAAGTTTATATTGAATGAACATATCTTTCTTTTAAAACCAAATATTAGGCACCTCAAAATGAGGTTGACAGCAGCTATTATACCTGGGACAGGTTTTCTCTCATTAGCCAGTAAAAAAGATTAAAAAGAAGGTTTGTATAGTATCACAACTCACTTTTGGATTTAGACCCTTGCCTTAATCTACTTGCAGCCTGTATTTTTACTGCTTGTGTCAGATTAGATTTCACAGCTCATGACGTTTTTATCAGTGTAGGCCTGTATTTTACTGAAATGTGGGAAAGGATGGGATCTTTGTTGGAAAGAAAAAGGATATTGCATGGGGAGAAATAAACATGTTCTTTTTGGAGGACTTGCTCAATTCAGTACAAGAATTTTGGACTGGTTCAGAAGAAGAGAATGCAAAAAAGGGACAAGGTGGGAGGGAATCTGATTGAAATTGCCCCTTTAAGCATCTGAAGGCAGCAAATTCAAGTGACCTAGAGGAGGATGGTCACAAGCAGTACCAGTGTATATTTTGAATAATGTTCTAACACATTTTCACTGAGTTCTAGGTAAGAAGCTTCAAATTTTAGGAGTGTATCATCAACTGTCTCAGTTACCTAAACTTCAAAAGTTTGGTTTACAGTTCTTACCATATTGTGGTCTGCTTATAATTTGGTTTGTCATGGACTTGGGACAAATACTGGATTTGATAATGTTGTTCTCTTAGCCAGCATATTTGGAAAGCTCTTTAAATGGGTACTTCCTGCTTACTGCTGGGGTTTTTTCCTGGAAAATCTATTTCAGCTTATCCAGAGAGCAGGTGGTGTGTCTCTTTTGCTCAGATATAGCAAAGATTTCAAGACCGTTATGAGCAGGTGGGGTGTTAAACAGCTCTTTGCTGCGTTACCTGGTCTTTGAAAATTTTGTCTTCCAGTGCCACTGTTAACATACCTGTGTGCCTTCATTGATGGCTGTTGTCATATAAGGTTCTTCCTAAAATTTTTTTGAATATTAAAATATTCCTTTTTTTCTTTTTAAAAACAAGCATATTTAAAGATTTTTCTTAAATTTCTCTGGAGGAAGGTAACTCTGTGCTCACATATACTTTTAATAATTCATCTAGAAATAGAATATTTGTTTTCAAATCTGCTGTAAACTTATGAACTAAAAATATTAAACTAGCTGCTGAAGTACTTGATCAGCATGAAAGAATTTATATTTAATTTCCATGAGTTGCCATTTTCATTCTAAACTGCTAAGCTGCTGATGTCAATAAGTGCTGACACTAGAGAATGTATAAGCTTGGCAACTCAGGGCTGTGCTCCAAGTCTGTTTGTTTACTATGACTTCTTTGTAATAATGAAGTTTGTGATTATGGCATTACAGTAGCTTGTTGAGATAAAACCTATAGTAAAGATAACAGTTACAGCCTCATCTCTTTGATCCAAAAAGACAGGTTTCAGCAATGATTGAGTTAAAATATACAGTAACTTACAATGGAAAGAGCATCAGTGTTAATTTTCATGGCCTTAGACTCTATATTCTGTGTTCATAGGTATCTTGCATTACTTGTCTATGATTTCTGCCATAACAAATTATTGAACTTTCTTATTTCCTTAATATTTTTGTGTAGATGTTTGACTGGATCACACACAACAAAGGTCTGTTTCTGAACAGCTACACAGAGATTGGAACCAGTCACCCCCACGCGATGGAACTTCAGACACAGCACAATCACTTTGCCATGAACTGCATGGTAAGGACAGGCCTCCCTGCACAGATGTGCTGGCTGTTTGTTCTCTGTTAAGGTAGAATTTGTAAGTGCATAAACACAGATCATCCCTTCTTTACAAGTAGTGGAAATTTGGTTTTGAGCAGTGAGGTTATAAAACACAATGGAGGAAAATAAAAGGTACAGAGGAAGTGTAATAAAGCAACAAAATTGTTTTGACAAATGGCAGTGCTCAGCATGACCACAGCACCTCTCAAATATAAGTGTCCAAGCTTCTAGAACCTGGGATGTGTCTTTGAGTACTACCTTGGGTCTTGTACAGAATTTCAGAGAATCATGTGTAATACAGGTTTTAGCTTTCCATTCTGAAAGAAATAGCTCTCAGGATCTTCTGAAGAGATTTCAACTCAAGCAAAAAGTTCTGAGAAGAAACTGAGCCTGGTATAATAATTCTCCATGGTTTCAAGAAGATATTTCTCATTTTCGGCACAGCAGAATGGATCTAAGATAATTTTTTTTGTCAAATATGATCAGTAGGCTATAAAAAAAATTTGGATTTTAACTGGCAATGAGAGAAAGCTATTTACTTTCAGTTTAATGAATTGCTGTTTGAACATGAGAACAAAATTCTGAAGTACATTTTAGATCCTTAACACATTGTAGGTGTTTAAATAACCTTGGGAGTCTGGGCCTAAGTCCAGTTCCTGTTTGTTAGATCAATGAAGGAAGAACACTACCAGTTTTGTTACAAATTAACATTCTTGGCAGTCCAAGGATGGGAATTGAATTAAAGTATGGCTGAAATAATGAACTCTTGCAAGGGGATTTTTTGGTAGAACAGGAAAGTGGCAAAATAAACTTACCTAGGTTATGTGTCTTGCAGAAGTTTTGGACAAACTAGTAAGGTAGCTCTTGTGTATCGTGTAGCTGGAGGTAAGACAATAGGAGACACTGTTAAAGCAGACACTATTTCTTCTTTTGCAACTCAGATCTGTTTCCAAAAGTTTAAAAGAATTAAAATCAATATGAACTGTCTAAAAAGAGTAAAGCAAATGCCACTGAACTTGGCAATTAAGTTATGTAACATCATATATGGTTTTGACCATTAGGTTTGGTTCACAGCATGGGGAATTGCTGCCTTATGGAGCACCTTGTTGTTGTTGTTGTTCTTCACTGCTCTGCATATGAAGTAGAGCAGAAAGAAACAAAGGATGACAGTAGGTGTCATTGACATGAGATGACTTTTGGAACTTAGGAATTTTGAGTGGCCTTCCACACAATTCTTGGGGTTGCATCCTAAAGGTTAAATTCTTCTGTAAGCCTGTCCTCATATTAGTCCCTTTTCTTCAAACTGGGTGACTTTTTTATTATTTTTCCTTCTTTTAGACTGTTCAGATGCTATCAACAGTAGGAAGCACTTGAGCAATGCAGCATAATCCTTCCTGCTCTGTGTTTGCTATTAGTCTTTTCCTGTTAATCTCTCCTTTGCCTTTAGTTGTCAAATGCATTAATTACAGGGGATTTTTTTCTCAGCCTGCAAAATGTTTTCTTAAAACTTAAAAGGCGCAGCTTAAATTTGGGGTAAATAAACCTATCTGAACATTCAAAAGGGTGAAAACAAGCTGCATTTTTTTCTGTAGCATAGCCCCCCCAGCAGGGGTTTTCTGCCATGGAATAGGAAAATGTAAATTCAGTGTGATTGGTCCCTGATTTTGATTTAAGCAGCACTTGGATTATCTGGGTTTTATTTGGTTAAATGGCAAAAGCCTTTCATATAGATTAAGGGCAAAGATTAAACTGAATGTGACATAAAAAATGACGTGAACTGATTGAATTTTGGCAGGCCTTATTTTTCATTAGCTTTCAACTGGAAAAATGTGGGGCAGTCTTAACTCCTGCAACCATGTTCAGTTTCACCCTGACCACTCTGCACATATGCTGTGTACTTAACAAGTTGCTGTTTGTTCACTCTTCCTGTCAGTGTAACTCATCAGTAATCAAAATGCATTTAAGGTGTCTTGTGTGAGTGCTCTAGCACCAGAAGTGAAATTTAACTTTTAACCTGTCTGCAACCATGTGAAGTGATTCACTGGGATGGAATAGAGGGAGGGAGAGAGACAACTATGTATAAGCTTTATTTATTGCAGGAGATTTTCAAGACTTTTCATTGTGTCCCTAATTGGACCTTAATAGATCTTGCCTTCTAGTCAATTTTCTTACGCTCACTTGAGGTAGGGAAGAACTATTTGAAGGATAAATGCTCCCCAAGCAACTAAATGCAACTGCTTGCACATGCTCATAGCTTAACTCTGATAATTGATGTTGCAGCTGCTTTTCCCAACACATTGTTGTTGTTGCAGGGCACATGCTCCCCTCCACAGCAGGTGCTACCCTCTGTCAATAGCTGGGTCTCTTATGTCCCCTTCCTCCCCAAGCAGCAGTTTGTGTCCAAGAGGTGGAGGGCAACTTCTGCAGCTGCTTATGCCAAACTTGGCTGAGAAAGAGTGACCTTTGGGTGAGATGCCAAAATTTTGATCTGGTCTTCCAGTCTGAAGCAAGCCACCTGGATGTAAACCATTGTGAAAGCTACTTATTTCCTGTCATGAACAAGAGTTAGTTACATCAGGGACAAAGAGGATTTGCTGATTTTTTTTTTAAAAAATGCTTGTAATGGCTTTGTGCCATTTTTAGAATGTTGGTTTTCAGTAAGAAGACAAAATAGTTGGAAGTGTTAAACCAAATGCTATAAAACAAAAAGGTAAAGAATACATTCGGGGAGGAGATTTAACTATACTTTCACCAGTTTCATTAGCAAATGGTATATCTAGGAATCTTATGTGTTTCGTGTGGTTGCACTTTACAAGGTAGCAAGAATAAGTTCATGCAAGTCTTAAGCTAATACACAGACTGGGTTCTCACTGCAATAAATCTGTCCCAGAGAAAATCTGGATAGGTGTAGTGCTGTGCATTAAAGAGGGACATATATATGGTTGCCATGGATTAACACACAGGTTGATGTGGCTAAAGGAACTAATGACTGAAGGATAATTCCCATGTAGGAAGGATAGATATGTGACTTCCTGTTATTGAATTTGAGAAGCTGTGCACTGACAGAAGTCAAGGCTGTCTCTTTATAAGGCAAGTAGATCCCATGTTCCATAACTGTAGGGAAAAACAAAATTTCAGTGATTCTGCTCTCTGAAAATGAGGATGGATTTTCAGTACAATTTTAAAGGTCTGCTTTCAGCAACAGTAAATTGCTGTTGTCAAGTCCTGAGATTTATTTGAGTTAAGCAATACTCAGTTTCAGCTTGACGTTCCTATTTGGGTGACTAAACCAATGCTTCACTTCTCAAAACAAGTTTTTAGCACCTTGTAAGGGAGAAACTTTCAAATAAGGCATCATAGGAGTTACAAGTACAAAGATTATACACTGAGTTTTTAAACAGCAAGAATAAAGTACCCATGATTATATGATTAGTCTGTCTTGTATGGAAAAGTGGAAAAGACTGATTTTGTGTCTGTCCACTCTTTTTCCTGCCATTTTCTATACATCTGCTGAGACACAAGGAAGACAAGAAGTCATGTGAAATATGGGTAAGGAGGAGGATGTTGTCTGCTTGAACATTTTCTGCTCTTTTTGCTAGATCAGATGGCCTTGCTTTCATTACAGTTTAACTGTGCCTCTCCTTGCACTGAGGAGGGTTAAAATGCTTGAAGAGTGATGCAGGCTAAATGAAACTTTGTTTGGAGAAAGCTGACACATGCTACTATTAAAGGATGTGCTATGACTGCTTCTTGTCTCAGTGTTGATAGGACCATGAGTAAAAGTTACATTTGTTAACTATAATCCAAAAACTCCTATCTCAATTGTAGGCGTATTGCTAAGTTGATTAATGTTCTCAGAACAGGCTGTTTGCATACACTAAAACATTTTATCAAGGTAGTAATCAAATCCTGAATGATATCCAAAAAGAGAGTGTCAGAGATGAACACTGGTGAGAGCTTTGGGATGTTAAAATAAAAGTATGAACACAACAATTTAATATCCCCAGGTTTGCAGAGTTAAAAAGATGTCTTGCTCAAATCCAGCCACAGGGACTGGTACAAATGAAAACATGAAGAAAGTCAGGTGAGGTAAACTCACCTTTATCTTAGAGGTAGTGTAATTATTTCCTCCTCCTTTGTACTGCTCACATATTTCACCCCTGAGATTCTTTTTACTTTAAATATGTGTTTTTGTAACTATACAGATTTGTCTCTTGAGATAGGCTAGAGCACCATGTGAATTCTAGACTGCCCTTGGTTCTCAGGATTTGGGCAAATGAGTGCAAGACCACAGGTGTACATCCCTAAGAGAATCTTTATGGTGCCTGAACAGTTAATGCTTCGACACAATGTCTGGATGCCACCAGCCTGAGAATAGACTGAAAAGGTAAAATGAGTTCAGGCTATTTTCAGCTTCTGAGGAGCACTCCAAAGTCAGCAAGACTAAATAGAACAGGCTAACTGTGCAATCCTTAAGAGGGAAGAAGCAAGTAAACAGATTTTAAAAAGCAGTCAGTTACTGAGGTGTTAATACAGCAATAAGTATGTTCATGTTAATGAATCACAAACTAAGGGAACAGACAGTGGTGTTACTGAAACAAAGCAAATCTTATTTCACTCTTGGTACTTATTAGGGTAGCTGAACTTCAGATTTTTAAAGAAAATGCTCTGATTCAGTTGGTCCTACTAGAGAACTAGGTCCAGTTTAGAGCCCCATGCTTAGTGCTGTAATGGGAAACATACATGAAAGCGATGTGGCTGTAGAGAGTTTGGAGGCATGGGCATTTACTATGATTAAGTAAAGGTGAGTGAAAAGTAAAGAAGGAAGGAAAGTAATGCTGTTGTTGGACTATATAGTCTTGCAGTAAGATTCCTCAGGTCCACTGTGAAAAATGTAGGAAAGAAAATAGATATTTGAAGAAAGTTGGAGTGAAATTATGTTGCACGTGTTCCAGTGCTGATAGCAGTGTTTAAATGGTTACCTGTGAATATTTAGAGGATCCTTGTAGTTGAAGAACATGTTAAACACTTTCCTTAATTGCCACTTGGATGTTGCCAAGTTTATATTTTTTCAAGGGAATAGATCAGATTTTACCTTAGTTATCCCACATCCCTTGTTGTTGAAGTTTGTATTCCCAAACTGACAGTTTTACTCTTGCTTCAAAAATACAACTAGAAGAAATGTTAAGAGAACGTGTAAATCATTAAAGCAGGTGTTAATTCATACATTAATAGTACACCAAGTTTTGGTGGTCATTTATTTGTGTGTGAAGTGGCAGATGGTTTGAAAATGCCATTGCTAAATTGATGGTATCACAGTAAAATAGTTCAAGCTCACTACAGTCTATATAGAGGTGCCAGTTATGATGCTTATGGACCATGTCAGTGAGTTTGATTGCATTTAAAACTGAATGCCTTATAGTCTCTGTGTCAGAAAACTGCTGTTGGAAATCTTGGAGCTAAACAAACATTTTGTAAATGGATCTGGGAAAATCAGGAAATAAAATGGAACCTTCAGGTCACCTGCCAGCTTTATTTTGTGTGTGCGTGGCATAAGTTCAGGTAGCTGATAGGCTGTCCCCTTATTTTTCCTGTGTGTTTGCCTTTCAGGCACACGCCAAAGAATAACACAGCTCAGTTAGGCAACTAATCTGTATTGCTTTGCTGAGCAATGCCTTTTTTTATTTGTATACTCTCTTAAGAGGAGAAATCTGCAATGAGGAACTTTCCAGATATCGTAAGGTGTCCTTTCCGCTTCTGGCTAAAAAGCATTTTAGAGAAGACAATCATGCTAAGTACGCTTGTATCGTAACTAAACACTTTATAATGCAGTGACTTAAATTGTTACCTTTTAAGTCTTGTTACAATAATTGTGTGTTACACAATTAAAGAAATGCAATCTTGCATTACCCTTTCACCTTTGAGACAGTTGATACCCATGTAGAAGCTGCAGGTGGTGTAAATGAGGTCACTGAAGAAGACTATATCAGTTATTGCATCCTAGCTGTTGCTTCCTTAACTAAAACCAGGTTGTAAATGCATACAATAAATAAGATGCCAGTCTCTGGTAAATGAGCAACAGCTCACTTGTAACACTGTTTCTTATCTCTCAAGCAGTGTGCAAAATATGCAGTTGTCTTATAATAATGACACTGGAATTGCCTGTCCTTGTAAGAAATGGAACAAAATTTTTTGACCTTCAAAGGTGAATTAAAGACAGTCTGATTGTAGTGGGTTGCTATTAGAGATTCTTTTCCTCCTTAACTAAATCTATTTCATTTGAGTCATTTCATTCTAAAATGAATGAAATGACTCAAATGAAATAGATTTAGTTAAAACTTCGGTAGATATATAACACTGAAAACTTCGGTAGATATATCATGTAGTGAGGTAAAAGGTTCAGATTATTGTAAGTTGTTTTTTGGGTTTTTTTGTTTGTTTGTTTTGAGGCAAGGAATGTGGTGTACATAGCTTGGAAAGCGTTCAACTGTCAGCATTTTAATTCATATTCATACTGCTATAGGCTGTATTCGTCCAGACGTGTGAAGCCTGATTGCCATGGGAAAATGAATGCATGTTAACCACAGCTCAGTTTCAATTTGTTTTTCTTCATGTTTATAGTGCTGTGTTCATTTTTAACTGCTGTTTCAGAATTTCCAAAATTGCTTTATTATGTTACAGAAAGAGTTCAAATGGCAGTCTACTATAGCCTTTATTCTTTTCTCTTTTGGCACTTGTTTCTTCGCACAACTGTAAAGACCATCTAAGGGCTTTCTGTATTCATTTAGCAGTCTTGCATTTATGCTACATACACTTTTAGTGGGCCTAAATGCTCTCCAGTCTTTTAAAATTTATTGGAAATAGCAGATTTGTAGTCTGTACGGTTGTTTGGCTGTGCTTAAAAAGTAGAGCATAGATGTGTGGGATAATGTAAAAAAGTAAGAGGTAGTATTGTGCAGAAAGGAAAGACAATCAACTGTTGTGCTAGTTTAGTGAGCAGAGCAGCCTGAGCTGTAGGCTGTGTCAGGTGTGCTCCTGCTTGCATACATGCATACTGTTTACAATCAATAGGGATCTGTCCTAATTGCCACTCAGATGGGTCTGGACAGTGAAGCTTGGAGGAACTGTAACACTTGCTCCAGCCAGTGTCAAGCTCTGGGCAATGGCTGGATGCCAGCAGGTCATGGTTCCACCTGACTTGCTCAATGTCTGGTGGTTGGACTAGATAATCTCCAACCTCAACAATCCTGTGATTTTAGGAACTTCGTTCTAGATGTATGGGAGTCTGCCCAATTTGAAGAAAACGTCAACTCCGTATTACACGTATGTAGCTCTGAAAGAGTTACTCAGAAAGTTTTTGGTGGTAAAAACTTTCATTCTTGTTTTACTTCACGGGAATCAGAAACTCTTGATTGAAAATTAGATTGCCTAAGAGCCATCAATGACTTATGCCAGTATGCTAGAGAATACTTCTGATCTTGGTCTTTGTCTAATTTTGAATGCTAGTTCTAAGGCAGCATAGCAGCAAGAAAATAAAATGTAAAACTGTTAAACTTCTTGTAGCTCGGAATTCTTTATTTTGTTTCTTTAAAAGTTACTTTTGAAGTTGATGTAAAGGTTCACAGATGTTGCACACTTGCATATTGTGGATGGATCAAGAACTTAGTAATGATACTTCAGTTTTCCTATATTGTGTGTGTCTGACTATCTTGTTGACTTGAATGTCTGTAAACATTTTTATTCAGGTTGTTGTAAAATATGATTATTTCTTGCTCTTTATTGTAATAATGTGTCTTCATGTAATATAAATTGGCTTAAGCTGATTGTTAACATGAGTTTTAGACTGATTATTTAAAGTCATCATTCTCACTTGTCAATTATGGATAGGCTGCTACATTATACACCTAGATTCCAAAGTTTGGCATGCATAAGCTTACCGAATGAAACGACTACTGATCAGTCCTGTAATAAAGTAGAACTTTCTAGGAATATGCTTCTGTATTTAATTGGTCTGCTGACTAGAACTAATTTTCCCCTCCTTCTCCACAGAATGTGTATGTAAACATAAGCCGCATCATGTCAGTAGCAAGCCGCCTGATCGAGTCTGGTCATTACGCTTCACAGCAAATCAAACAGATTGCCAGTCAGCTGGAACAGGAATGGAAGGCATTTGCTGCAGCCTTGGAAGAACGTAGCACGTTACTGGACATGTCCTCCATCTTCCATCAAAAAGCTGAACAGGTCAGTAAATGGGGAGAGCATCAACAAAAGTTTATGTCCTGGAATGGGAGTTGTGCAGTTTGTTTTTGCTTTGGACAAAAGTGCAAAAAGTGATTGAAAAGGTTGACGAGAAAGCCAGAATATTTATTTCTGCCAATTTCAATACTCAAACAAAACTTTGTTCTCCTCAGTTTAGCCCATTGGCCTTAAATTTTCCATGGCTTTGCCTACATCAGTGCAAGATGAAACAACCAAATTAGCTATATGAATAAAATGAAGTGGACTGAAATGCTTAAGTATATAAGGCTTTTAAGTATCAATATAATGCCTTTTCTACATCTAGAAGCTGTCACTTCTTCTACTGTCCTCACCATTCAACTCCCATCAGTCCTTGAGTGTCAAGATTTAACTCATGATAATTTTAGAAAGCATAAGTTGAAGTAGCCTGAAAGTTGAGAAGTTAATTAACTGCCTTCTGAATCTAAAATTGTGGTGGGAGAAGTTTACTTAGTATTCCATAGGAGATTGCTGCTATGCTAAAAAAATATTTTAGCTTTAGGCCTATACCAATTATTTTAATTAAGTCATTAACCATGTGTAACTGCCAGAGAAGAGGTATATGCAGGGGAAATAGGAATAAATATCCCCAAGTTAATAATCTTAATGGCAAAAGCATGTTTTGTCCTCAAGGGAATTCAGTTCTGAAGGAGTTGCTCTGTGTATGCAGTTAAGTCACCCACTGATCTTGTAGAGTGTCTGCTCTGGGCATCCCTGGTGTGTTTGGAGAGCAGAGGTTCTTGGATGGGTATAGCTGATGTACTGTATGTAGATACTTTTCTTTCATTTTGCCTTGCTAAATTATATCCAAGGAAAGGTCTCATGTCTGATATAACTTTAATTTGGAATGAATGAAGGAAGCATTTGGGCACTGGAAACTTCAGAAACAGAGAGAGGCAGTACAATTCATATTAAGATATTTTTTCACTGATTTCTACTTCATGGATATTTAACTTGATAAATGTCTAGACATTAGAAATGGGAGTGTATTAAGATGCAAACTTTCATTATGTTAGTGGTGGCATTGGCTTCATGTCCTTAGACAGACTAATATAATAAAATAATGTCACTGCAACAGGTCCTTTCAGCTGGTTTTACAGAAAAGCTACATAAAAATGAGAATAAAGAATTGTCTTCTGATAGAAAAGTTGGCAGTCAGCTTGCAGCTTTTGATAGACACAGTTCAGTACCTTGTCAATGTTGATGCTTTTCTAATTACTTGGGTCATTTGGGTTTGCATTTAAGCCTTTGAGCTATACTTGTAGGAGAGAGATGAATGAAATTTGAACAGGTAGATATACCTTGACTCAAATGTGGTTAATAAATTATGCTCATCAGAAGTCAAGGGATTAAATTTTTTGTGTGATTGTGTGCTGGGCAGCTATTGCAAGGGTCAGTATTACCTTCTTTACTACTAAATATAAGTGTAAACAGACGGAAAGATAAAAATGAGAGAAAATAGTGCAACATCTACTGGGATTAATGTACTTTTATTTGCTCCTCCTTGCAGTTTTCATTTTATGATGAGCTGCGATGGATTGCCCTAGTTGATTTGTAAGATACCTGCCTGTGATATATTAGCTGTTCCATTAACAGTGGAGAGCAAGTTCAAGGATAGAGGGTTTGGAATGTGAGGAATGACCCCTTTAGAGACTGGTGACGCTTGACCTACATAAAAAAGATTAAAATGTAGGCAGCCCAAGGAAAAAACTCACCCTTCTTGAATGCATGTTTTCTCTTGCAAGTGACAGATAAGTGTCACTGCCTCCTGTCAGGCACAGTGAAGGCTGTACCAGCTATCAGGGCCTGCTCACTGGTGCACATGGAGCTTCTGTTAATGTTCAGTGCTTAACCTTAGAGATTTTTTAAACTGGCCCTTAGTGAGAATTAAAGTATTTTAGAGCTACGTACTCCACCACCCTTCTGCCCAGCTGTCAAGCAATAGAAGAGTACCAGAAGTGATCTATTAATTAGTTTTTCCTCAAAGACTACTTGTGCTCCAAGAATTAAGATATGTATGATGAAATAAAAGGCTTGATCTCATAACTTTTGAGTCTCAAACTTGATATGAATAGAGGAAATTTACTTTACAGAGCTCACATGTGTTTGGCTGTACTAGGTTCAACACTATGAAAACTCCTAGAAAAACAGATTGTTTTTCCTCTTTCCCTTCCTAGCATAACAGGGGTATAAAATTCATGCCCTCTAGCTGCGAAAAAGTAAGTTGGCAGAACTTCTGCTGTGCATATAGCTGTGATGGCAGTTTCTTGTTTATCAAGACAGCTTTGCTTCAGAGATAAGTTAAATTGTCTGCAGAAGAGATTTCTGTTGCAGTATCCTCAATTTTCCCTGAAGGGCTTGACTCAAGCAGCTATGCTGATATAGCTGTGTGCTCAAAGTTCAATGCTAGTCCTAAGAGACCTCCGCTTAAGTTGTAAATCCCTTACATGCTTGCTGCTGTAGTAGCTTGCCAAATGGATTTAGTGCTTCTCTGCACATAGAAGTTAGTTCTTTGGGGACTGAGGTGTGAATTCACTGTGCCCTGACACTGCTTTTCTTCCTTGATAACCTCTTTCCAGAAAAAGACAACTATGGAGTATTTCAGTGAATAGTTCACCATTAGTTCTTTGTGTGCATGTGCAAAGTAACATGGTTTTCTCTGAAGATGAAAAAGAGGTGAGGTGATAAACCTCATGATACCATGAGTATCTGCACAGGGAGCTGATGGGTAAAAACCAAGGGTCTGGACTTGAAAGCTGTAGCATGTTTTACTTCCTTGTGTAAACAAGACCTTAGTTGGCTTTTGTGTTTTTGAAGTGCTAGGTGCAGGATGAAGGAAACTTCTTAGCTGCAAAGTCAAGAAAAGGAGCAAGAGTAAACTTGAAGCATCAATGTTGCCAACAGTTAAATTGGTTCTGAAGATTGCCAACATCTGGCTAAGCCTGCCTGTCTTCTAACAGCTCAATGAGTTTGATACCTAAAAGCACAATTTTCAGATACCTAAAAGCACAAGTATAGTCAGACTTGAATATTTCTTTCTATTCTGATAAAAATTTCTGGTTCTTTCAGAGAGAAATACTGTAAAGACTTTTTGCTTAAAAGAAGCCTTTTCAATGTGTGTCATGCAGATGAATGTCCTTTTGGATGTTACCATCATGTGTGTACTTAATGGTAGAACCTGAAATCAAAGCCGAATGTTTCTTTGTTGCAGTACATGAGCAATGTGGACTCATGGTGTAAAGCCTGTGGTGAGGTGGAGCTTCCCTCAGAGCTGCAAGATTTAGAAGATGCTATCCATCATCATCAAGGGATATATGAGCACATTACTTTGGCTTACTCTGAGGTCAGTGTTTTGTTTGTTTCCTTAGATAAAATTGTGTCGTGTTAAGTTTGGATCATGATTCAGTAGCACTTGTTGCATTAGGAGTTAGTTGGAAACTCAAGTGTTGAACTTCTTTTTAAATTTTATATAGATTTTGCTATTGTTGTTCAAAAGTGAAGTGTTAAAGTCCTCCCTGTGACCTTCGGAAAGAAATTAAAAGGATAGATTTAACCATGTGTGGTACAAGCAACCCTTGGAGCGCTAAAGTACGAAATATGTTTTAATTTGCATTTCCATGTTACTGCCTTTTAATAGCAGTGGGATACTATTGTTTAGGCATTTACTTGAAGGGAAGTTAGCTGGGCATTCTTTGGGAAGGTATTCTGTTGGCATGGATTTCTCTAAGTGTATTTTGAAAATCCATCTCTGAAATTGCCTCACCAAAAAACCTTAACTACCAAAGGATGTTACTTGAGAAGCCAGAAGGTAATGCATTTAGTCTCATCAACCTCACAGACACTTAAATGAGCTAAGGATGCCTATGTAGCCAGCATTTGTAAGATTAGCATATCCTATGCTGGTGCTCTAATCTTGGACTCAGCACACACTATTGTCACTATTTCTAGTAGTTGTATTTACAGCTTAAGATAAAAGATAAGATAAATTTATTCTGAAGGTGATCTATAAAATGATGACTCAACCATCCTTTTGTTTTCTTTCAAATTTGGAGTTTTTTGTTGTGTGTTACTTAGCGGAAATCAAATTGGTATTCACTATTATTAGCTAACAGTATTTTCTACATTTCCTCTTTTACTTGTCTTTCCTTCTTCTGTCAGGGTTGTTCTCATTGTTGGGTAAAACTGTTTTTGCTATTCAATTGGACTGATGTTGTTCTGGATTAAATATAGTAGTTTTGTACTGAAATTCCGTGTTTGGTTAAATCATGGTAAAAATGATCAGGTGACACAGGATAGCTTAGGCCACAGCTTGCACCTGTCTTTAAAAGGAGGTCATGTGGGTTTGAATTAATGGTTGTGATTTATACATTACACTAAGTTAAAACTACTTTCTGATGAACCAACTTTATTATAGGAAACTGAATCCTAAGTCAGGTCACATTTCATTTAGCAGTAAGGGAGAGTAAGTTTAGTGCTGATCATCTGTCCTATTGGTGGTGTATCAAAACCGGGTTTTTTTAATACCTGCCAACTAAGGGCCTGCATAAACTTTGTGACCTTGAGTTAGATGGCCAGAGTTGATGAATTCTTGTTCTTCTGTGTAAAATACACATTGATATCCCTATTTTTGCTCTATGCCACACTGCTGTGTCAATGATCTAATGACATACTATCCCACCTGATAATATTGCAGTTTTACCTACATGTAACTCTTTTAACTCATTCTTGAAAGCATGTTTTGTAGTAACGTTTCTTGTCTTCATTATAAACTTCATCATTAGGAGAGACAGAGACATAACATGATTGTAACAGATTTATGTGGAGAGGCAGTCTGGGATGCATGCTTCATGAGAGTGCAGCAAGGAGGAGGAAAGCTAGATTTCTCAAGAATAGTGATTATAAAGGGCTGAGGTTGAATTTTTTCTAGCTGGTTCTGTTTGGTTTGAGTTGGTTTTGTGTGGGTTCTTTGCTTTTTGTCAGGGATGTGACTGGATGAGCCTGCTGTTAAGTGTAAATAAGTACTGTGGATTAGCATGTTAAATAATGTTTGCTTGCTGGTGATGCATAAAGAAAATAAATTAGACTGGTAGATTATAGGATTGCTTTGGGACGTACCTTGGAAGTTTATTTAGGATTTCAAAGCTGTAGCTTTTGACTTTGGGCTAGCTAGATATTTTAACAAAATCTTCACTGGTACTGCTCAAAAGAAAAAAAGAGTACTAAGTGCCTTTCTTCTGATTTCTGGTCATTACTTTTCCCCATCCGGTAAAAAAACAGTTTTGTCTTTAGCAACCAGAATTAGTGCAGAAGGAATAACTGTATGTGTATGTACAACTTGTGTTCCTCCTCTGGGCAGAAGGTTTTATTTTGCATTTTTCAAATGTGCATTCGTTTTTGAAGATTGATGGAGGCGTCTTTCTGTGTCAGGATATTACAGCACTATTGCTTATCATTATTAGATGTATGACTTCATTTCTATTACAGTATGGAGCTCCTTTTATTTTGTGATGAATGAACAGTGGGGGAAGAGAGAGCAACACTTTGGGAATCACAACACTGTCATTCATTTTAGATTGCAATGTCTTGACAACACGGCTTAGTTGTAAGGTAGAAGACAGTAATTTTAAGAAAGTAAATGCTTTTAAGACTAGACAGTCTGATTTTACTGAGGGTAATTACTGTATATTACTAGTAAAGCAATTTACTAGCTTACAAGATGAGACAACTGGTATGCCTGAAAATCTGACAGTTGTGCCTTAAATGAAGTTATATAAATAAAGTTATACATCTCACTGAAATCTTAAGGCAGTCATGCACTAGGAAGGAAGAAAATTTTAGTGTATTAACTCCAAAGGAAAATCTGTGCAGTCATTTGTTTTGTAAAGCTAATAAACTAATAGGATCAAGGGGCTGTCACAGTTACTTTTTTTCACCTAGATTTTATGGACTCTGAATGGATAATTGAAGTCCATTATCTTGAAATACTTGAAGGACTTACTAGATAATTCTTCTGGATACAAAAAAGAAAAAAGATATCATTGTAACTATGCTATGGACTATGCATTTTTTTCTGCTGACCCGACTTTACTGGAGCTAATTTCAGAAGTGAGCATCATTCTCTGTGTTGATACTCATTGCTAAAATGAAAGAGCTTGAACTGAAACTGAGAAATAAACTCCCTTGTAACCTAATTATCAGAAAAGAATTTTCATTTGGATTTGTTTGACTACTGAATAACAAATTTAAAATGTGTCTAGACTTCATAAAAATTGTTGAAAAGAGCCACTGGGGGAAGGCCTTGGCAAGTTTGGTGTTTCTGACATAGTGTGGATTTGATGGATTTAGGCTATTGTCTATACTTGTGTCTTGTGGTTTCAGATGATTTTTGTTCCTGCCTGCTAGATGAGCTGTTAGAAAAGTTCTTTGCAGGTAGCACAATGATAGTGGATTGTAACAACTCTCTGAGCTTCATGCTAAAAGTGACAGGGTAAACACCAATGAAAAGTGTTTTTAACACCAGATGTTGATAGTGATCAGATAAGAGAGGATTTTTGCTTTTTAATTAGCATGCAAGGTAAATCTGGATATTTCTGCTGTGATATAAATCAGAGAAGACAACAGTTAGAAATGACAAATGCTTCCTGTCAGTATCAGTAGTTAAAGACATTTTGGAAACCAGTATCTTTCTGTGCTACATGGAAAGGGTTTAAGTGATTTAATCAGAATTAAGTCTGCCATAACAGCAGTTTTCCCTTGGCTTACCAGTAGCAGTAATAATTTAGAAGATGTAAATTGTGTCAGATTGAATCATGTACTAAGTTTTATATCTGCTGGTTTAAATGTATTTGTCAAATACTAACCTACAGAAGGTAACCTCCCTGTTCACCTTTACATCAAATGAAGAGGGAGATTGTTTTGGAAGGCTAATTCTGGACAAATGCTTAATTTTAGGTGTTTTGTTGACTAGGGAAAGAGATGAAGAATATTTATTCAAAGTTAGATTCAACTAGTTTTTTCAAAAAAGCTCACAACAACAACAAAAAACTCAAACCAAACAAAAAAATCCCAAAACTGAAGGAAAGTCATTCTTAAAGTAATGAAGAAATGGAAAGACAGGCCGTTATTTAGAAGAGTGATACTTGTTAAAATTATTTTAAAGAGAAGGAGAATATAATTTTTTTTTCTTTCCTATAACAGCTGCATGTAGGTATTAATTTCTGCAATATAACAAGTCTTCGTCATTGCTCCCTGAGTTCTTGAAGACATTTAGAACTGGGAGAAGGGGTGGGATACCAAGTAGTAGCCCAACAAGCTTTTGGCAAGACATGTAATTCTTCATCCTTTCTGGTGGTCAGGTGAGCCAAGATGGGAAGTCACTCCTTGATAAACTTCAGAGACCTTTGACTCCTGGGAGCTCTGATTCCCTCACTGCATCTGCCAACTACTCCAAAGCAGTTCATCATGTCCTGGATGTCATCCATGAAGTGTTGCATCACCAGCGCCAACTGGAAAACATCTGGCAGCATCGAAAGGTCCGCTTGCACCAGCGGCTTCAGCTCTGTGTTTTTCAGCAGGATGTTCAACAGGTAGGTTTTGTTTCACTTGGTCTAAATGCCTTTGTATTCTGTCAGCCTGATTGCACTGACAGGTCAGTTTTGACTGCTAATTCCCATGTTTTTTTGTACAACAAGTGAATAGTTGCATGGGGTTGACTGAATGATACCAAGTTCTGTGTATTATCAGAACTTGGCTATTGGCTATTATGGATAAAAATTGTAGTTGAAAGTTAGTTCTACTTTGTATTGTTCTGATTTTAAAGTAATTTATTTACTTTAAGTTATATATGATGAAAAAGATTTTTAATATAGGCAGCTGTTCTCAGTTTATGCTGGAAGCTGACATTTACATTGTGGGTAAAATTCTGGACTTGAAGTGTCAAAAAGGCTTCTTGTTGTAACATGCAAAAACTTAGTAGTGTTATTCTGTAAAATTTTGGTTTTAAATCCTCACTGATAATTAATTGACTTAATAGTGTTTCTTTAAAACCTGAGAGTAGTTATTATAAAAATTACAAAAATTACAATTAAAAAAAAATTAATGATTATAATTATAAAAATTACAGATGAGATTACTTTCTGATAATAACACTGTTCTTGAATTAATTGTTATTACCTGCTATTTTTTTATTATCATGACAATATCTGTAAAAGTTAGTAGTTACATACAGGCATTAGTATCTCTGACGCACCTTTGAGTTTTGAAAGTAAAACAACATAAAATTCCTTGGTTGATGGGTTTTTAATAAGCATAAAATGTTGGCTTTGAACTTCAATTAACAGAGACATGAGTAATTTATCCTTTAAGAGCTCATCTTCATAAAAAAGTAAAGATGGTCAGTATTTGCTGATCATGGTCTTTCATTTCAGTGTAATAGTATCCACAAATCACAACTTGTGAATGGAGTTTTTTTAGATAGATAGCCATAGTTCTGGTTAAACTAATCTTTTTTCATCAGAATTAGTTGCACTTTAAGCTAAATTTCTTGTACTTTTCTGTTTCAAGAAGATACTGGATGTGAGCAGTTGGGAGTGAAATAACTGATTTTTCATCATTTACACTAGTTGAGAAAGGTAATTTAGGCAGATGGTGGGGAGACTGAGCAATCCTGATAACTGAACTTTCTTTGACATCTGGTGACTATCTCTTCAAATAATTAAAGAAAATAACTTAATAGAAGATAGACTTAATAGAAAATACTTAGCAGTAAATTTTGTAAAATCTTCAAAACTTTATAACTTTTTTTTTAATCTAAAAAGAAGCATACATTGAAAGACAGACTGTTATCCAGATTGTCAATGCTGAGATGTGACAAAGGATGTAGAAAGGCCTGAAAGTATTAGCTGACAAAAGAGTAAAAGAAAGCAGAGGGAATGTTATGAATGGTAGCAAGGGCACAGAGAACAGAAGATTCCATTCATTATGCCATTGTCTAAGTCCTTGAGGCTCTCCATGAAGATTACAGCATAAGTAGTGGCTAGTAAGGAGGGTCCAGTGCTGGTACTTGCATGAGTAGTCAGTGAAGGGCCAACCCAGAATATGCTGTGATTCTGTGATGAGGCACAGCCCACAAATGAATCACATCCTAAATTGAAAAGGCTTTGTAAGGAATCTTCAGAAACTGAAATTAACACAGTAGTTTGATTTTCAGGGGAAAATGTAGGTCCTCTCAGCAGTCTGGTGCCAACAAGTATGGATTGGATGGTGGAACTTCCTCCTCTCATTTGAATTGAGTTCAAGTAGGACCTACTTAGGCAATCTAGGCCAAGGGGTCTCCTGAGGTAATTTGCCAGGTGCATAATTCAAGTTTCAGGCCTGTAGGCCAGGCTTTAGGCAATTTATTTCCTGGGGGAAGGTGTTCATTAAATGCTGCAGAGAGTCTTACTGTACTGCTCCTACTCTTTACTTTTAATATCTTGGGAGTCCTAAAATGCTTGTAGGAAATTTTCATTTTCTGCTCCATCCTAAATCATGGCTCTGGGTGTGGAGGAGTGAGCTCTCAGACTGCTTTGTTCTTTGAAGATGGCAAATAACCCATCATTAGACTCAAGTCATTGTGCAGTCACCACCAGGTTCTTCAGCAAGATGCTGGATTTTCCTTCTCTGTATTGGACTCATCAGCCTTTGGAACTGCTGCATTTAAGATGAAGTAGTTGCAGATTTGAAAAAAACAAAGTGGACAACAACATATTTTTATAACTAGTATCAGGAATGTGCTATCCAAATAATGGATGTGGATTGTGAGTACACCAGAAGTTTTCAGTGTGAACCAGTTGACTCGAGAATGTTGATCCACATTGACTTATTATTCAGCACTTCATGCCTTACCTACTGGTTGGAGAAATTTCTTTCATCCTGTTTATGCCTGTGGTTTCTTTATATGCTTTGCAAGACAGACATTGAATTAAGGTAGCAAGAGATCCTCTTGGCACTTTGAAGCTGCAGCCTTGTGCTTAATGCACATCTTAATCAACCATATGCAATTTCAAGCTAGATCTGTGCAGAGATGCAGCCCTTGCTTGCTGTCTTCCTAAGCCCTTCCCTTAGTATGCAGTAATTACCACTGTCAGAGATTTAGCTGTCCTTTGGTTTATCTCTGTAATGGCTGTTAATTACTGAAATGTTGCATGTGGAAGTATAGCTCCTTATGTTGCTTTAACTTAACTTGACAGATATGGGGTATTTTTGGCACTGCATTATGAATTACGGTGTGAATTTTGGTCACTGTTCCCTTTCATAATTCAGCTTTTCATACTGGGATTTCAGTGCAGGTCAATCTGTAGGACAATGACCATTCGACCTCCTTACCAGACAGACTATTCTAATAGCCACAGCAGATGTCTTTAAAGATTTTAACTCCCTCAGCTTTGAAAATTTATCTGGGGGAAAAAAGTGACCTCAAATAAAAAGATTATTTTTTCTTGCCAAAAAAAAGGGAATACAGCTTTATCAGATCATCCTAATTTATCTGAGCAATGTCAGTTTTTCATTTGAATACTCAATAACACCATTCAATGCATGACATTACTTTGGTTTGAGGTATTAGTTTAATTTATATCCAAGACAGTTCTGGAATGGTTTATGTAGAGCTCCAAAGCAACTTTCTTTCTAAAATACTTGAATTTTTGTTTGCTCATTCTCTCTTTGTTCAAATGTTAAAAAAACTCACTTAAGATTGATTGAGAAGATAACATGAAAGCATAACTATTGTGTTTAACTAACTATTACTAACTATTGTATTTAACTAACTAACATACTAACTATTGTCAGTAAAGTTAAATGTGGTGGGGTTTTTTTTCCATTTCAGAATAAGCTAAGTGTGGCCCTCTTCCACTGTTTATAGTTAGTTTGCACATAATGGCAAGCAACCAAGAGTATTGTAAGTGAATCTGTAACTGTCCTTTAGCATGAGTCTGTGATTTCCTCCTCCTCCCTCTGCTGGATTAATGAAATAACTCAGTTGATGGAAGTGTTAAGTGAGTGACAGAGTGGAGTTGGAGGAGGGAATTGGCCATGTTGAGCTGGTACTTCACTTTATGTTACTTCCACCTTAGAAAGCTCATTGGGTTTTTTCTTCTGTCTTGCATGTTGTTGTATACTGAGAAGCTGTTTCTAGTGGAGCTTTCCAAATCAACAGAAACTTTGTGGTGGTATCTTGAGTACACCAAGAATCATCTGCTGATCTTTTGAAGCAAGTAGTAAGGAAAGTAGTGCATGAAATAGTGAAAGTAGTAGATAAGAAGTGAATTACAGAAAATCTGAAATTTGAAATGTAAAAATGTATGACAGTCTTAAACTGAATGGAATTCTGAGTTTGTCTTTAGGCAGCAGAAACATGCTGGGAGATCTAGTTCCCAGTTAGTTTGTCTATTAACATCTAAAAATGGGGGTTTATTTTATTTTTTTAAAAAAAGTCTGGCCACTGCCACTCAGTTGTCTATGTAGCCCTTCTACATGCTAGTAGAAGTATGATTTTATGTTTAAGAGTTAATAAGCTTACAAGTAAATAATAGTCAGCCTTTCACCTAAGGAATGGAGCTGATTGATTCTGATATGAAGCAATAAAGCAGACTTGGAAAACAGCAACATGTTCTGCTTTCTAGGCCATGAAATGTCAAAATTGTGCATAAAGATAATGCTTGTGGTAGATGATACTGCTGACATTTGTATGATCAGAGTTTTGGTGCCTGAAAAACTCTTCTGATAGCTTGCAAGCCAGAAATTAGTAAAACATGCTGGCAGGAGGTGTTTTGAGGGTTTTGGTTTTGTTTTTTGTTTTTTTGGGGGGGGTGGGGTTGGGGGGTGGGGGTGGTATGGGGATTAGTTAATTTTGTTGCTATTGTTTGGGGGGGGGGGTGTTTTGATTTGGTTTGGTTTGGGTTTTTTTTCCCCAAAAATACATGTATTTGATCATAGTGAGTCTTCACTGTCCCTTCTGGATAAATGTGTGCTTCCTGCTTCATCTGCCTGCCTCAAGACAGGTTACAGTCACTGATTTCAGCCTTGAGTAATGAAGGGCGGGCCATGAATGCTTGCTACTTGCTAGCATCAACATGATTTCACTGTATGATTCCCATGTGGCTTTTGAAGGCGGTTCCAATGTAAAATGGGACTTTTTTGAGAGAATATTTCCACATTTTAACTGTCCGAAGATCAGAAATGCAGATATTTCCATCTTCCCTTTCTGAATGCTATGTCAGCCGCAAGTAAGTGGAGATCAGAAAAGTGAATGTATGCAAAGTAGGTAAAGGGGTGGGGGGTGAGGAATGGACAATATTGTGGGAAAGACTGGTGCAAATGAGCACAATGAATCTGCAAAAGATCAGGTTTACTTCTACAAGCAGCATATACCACATATTTTACAGCCATGAGCAATGATTTTTTTTAAATGAATCTGTCTTTCCATAGTAGTTTTTTCTGTCATATATTCTTTTGGGAGTTAGAAAAGTAAGCATTTTTCTAGATCCTGGGCATAAGGATGGTTTTGCTGAGACTGCAGTAGAACTTAATTGCATCATTAAAGCAACTTGCTGCAGTGGAGGATGATACTATTCACCCTTTGACTGAAAAGTGTTGAGCCTCTTAGACCTTTATGGATTACTTAAGTACCAGACTGAGTTCCATTTGCTTTCAGTATTGGTAGAAGAGTCCTTAGTGTCTCAGTGTGATGATTTCTGTAACTCTTACACATTTTCTTCCCCTTCCTAGGAGAAGTAAGTTGCTAAAAGGCTAATATCAGTGCCAACTTATGGTATTGTCCTTTGATTGAAGTGGTATGCAAAGCACTTACTGATGAGAAGAGCCTAACTTTACTCTGCCTCTACATGCTGTAAAATTCCCGAGAGTACTTCCTCAGTTTTTTTAAGAATCAAGGTGTGAAGATTGAACACTAATGAAATGTGTGTTCATACTGATTTCACTTAGAGGCAGTAATTTTTTCTAGTTGAGTGGTTTATGTCATGATCTGTGTACTGGATTTCTATGACAATTTCTTCCCTTGAGAAGTTATTCAGCATTATTCAGAGCAAAAATCATTCTCCCTGGGCTGCTTTCTGCATTTCATCCCATGCTTTCTGGGACTGATTTTACTGTTGATTTCATTTGTTAGCTTGTAGCTGTTAGTAGTCTCCAGTGTCCAGTCTAATTATTTCATCCAAACATATCTCTTTTCAGCTCTTTTTATAATGGGAAAAGTAGTCTCCTGAAACTAATCAAAAGTACTGGTAATAATAACTGAAGCTATGTTTATCTCCTCACTCTCCTTTGTCTGATCAATATTTTACCTTGAAAGTAGAAAATGAAAACTTGCATTGACCTAAAACACAATAATATTCTTTTGCCAATACTGACTGGGAAAACAAGTATTGCAGAAGTTAAGTATGGAGATTTAATGAAGTGTTGGTGATTTGAAGTGGCTGTATTTTGGGGTATTAGGAAATTGTTTGTTGTTTTGAAGATGTTCAGTAGGAGAGAGCTTGCAAATGGAAAAATACTTGCATGGTCAAGATAAATGAGAAAACCATGTTTTCATTCTTTTTCTAAAGAAAGCGTGGATGTTTTTCATGGGAATAGTGTGTGGGATTACATGTGTCTTGAATGTGATCGGGAGTGGTGTTGCTGGAATGGCTCTCAAATCTGTGTGGAAGAAGAAGAAGAAAGTCTTTCTTTAGTTATACTCAGTTATACTTTCAGTAAAAGAAAACTGAGGAAAAACGTCACCCAACTTTAGGAATCAGAGTAAAGGACACTAGTAGGTAAGGGGTACAGTACAGGCTTTTGCAAATTACTTTCAAAACCAACTAAAATATTCATGTTTTAAAGAAAAAAGAACGCTGAAGGTGAATGTTAGGCGTAAGGTATTCTGCACCACTGCGTAGGTGCTGTGTAGATATGTTTAGCTGACTTTAGAAAATTGCTTATGTGCTTATTTGTTGTTTTTAATTCTGAATGTCATTCTTAAGCCTTTTGAGTGTCTTCCAAAAAACTAAATATTATATGCATACTGAAGTAATGGATTAAGTTATGGCTAGGAAGTAGTAGTTTGAAGAGAGGTTATATGTTTTTGTTCATTCACTCATCAGAACTTTGGTATGTGTGCAGGAATCTTTTGTGTTAACTGACAGGAGCTAATTACATGTACAGTTTTTACTATTTATAAAGTTGTCAGGCCAGTCATTGTGGTAGAAGCATCAAGGTCCTTAAAATGTATTTTGTTCGCCACTTTTTCAGCTATAAAATTTACAATAAACAATTATGTCTGATGTTTTGAGGTGATAGATGCTTCTTAAGAACTGGAGCATATTCCTTCATATGCTCTGAATACAGACATTTATCTCATAATGATTTCAGCTAATTTTTCTTGTGCTAATTGAAGTTAGTTACTACTGAATCTTATGTCTTGGCTTAATGATATGTAGAAGGTTAAGTGATTTCTCATCTAAAGTAGAACTTCACTGTGTGATTCACCAGCAATATGCAAGCTTCATTAGTGTTACCTTGCAGAAAAATGTCAGCTGAAGGTGTAAACAGATTAGAGAGACCCTCACAAGGGGTCTTGCCTCTTGGATCAGATTAGTGTCAAACTGATAAATGTGGAGAAATGGGGATGTCCTTGGTAGGCTTCAAAATACAGATATAATCTTGAATCATACTGTTTTGCTAGTTTGAGCTAATTACTGCCTTGAGAAAAGTTAAATTAGATGTAATTAATGTCCTTCAGTGGCAACATTGTGTTTTAATCCAGCAGTTCAGTTCTTTTTAAGCAGTGCCTTTGCAGCTTCTCAATTACTTGAATAATTGTCTTTTTGTTGTAACATTCAATACAGCCACTCAGGGTTTCTGTTTGTCTCTCTTCTGTACCACAGGTGTTGGATTGGATTGAAAACCATGGAGAAGCTTTTCTTAGCAAACACACTGGAGTGGGAAAATCCCTGCATCGGGCCAGAGCTTTGCAGAAACGCCATGAAGACTTTGAGGAGGTTGCGCAGGTAAAAGCAATCACATGAAGGACTGTACACTTGTCATGGAAATAAATGAAAAATTCCTGCTTTTGCACTTAAGGGCTGTGCAGAGGGAGCCCCACTACAAAACATTCCATTCCAGGAAGAGACTGTTTTGTTTTTGTTGCAGGTTTTTTTGCATTTCTCCTTTATGCTCCAGCTTTGAGATGAAAAAGACAAACTTCCATAGTCCTAGAGGGTGTGAGCCTTAAAGTAAAATAGAATCACTATTATTTTATTTTTTTTTCAAAAGCATTCTTTCCAATATTGATATAAAGAAGAATGAAAATTCTCCTTTTAAAAGTAGCTTAGTTCCATGGGATTCTAGGATTTTAACTTTCATGCAGCCTTTAAGAGAGGATGGAGATGAATTGAAAGTCCTGCTTTCTGACCTTAAGCTTGGGGAGCTCCCACATTCTCAGTGCAGTCTCATGGAGAGGAAGGGGGACTCCTAAGAAACCAGGTGAGCCAGCAAACTGGCCAACCTGGCTTGAGTTTTTTTTTCTTTAAATACGATGGAGTTTGTAAATGTCCTCCTTTTCTGAATAACCCTTAGTTTAGCCTTAACTGCTAATACAACTTCAGAACACATTTTTCTGTGAAAAAAATCAAAACAAGTAGAGATACAAAGAAATGCAGGGAAGTTAGCAAGGAGCTGGTGTAGCTGTTAGCCTCTAAAAGGGGGGATGTGAGGTGAAGAACAACCCTGTGATGGAAGCTGAAGGCTAGAATCCTCCCCATTAGGAACATGCACTGTCTGTCCACTCTTAGTGATTGGTAAGAGAAAACACTGTTTCTAAGATTAATGAAGAAAAATCTCCAAAGTGGGAGGTTGATATAGGGGTGCTTCAGTCAAACAGAAGACAACATTATTAGGTAATTGTGGCATTGTATGCAGGAGCTTGGCAGTGGCACCTGCTATGGGGAATGCATCACAAGTGTTGTTTACAGTTTGCCTGTCTAGTAGAAGATTAAACTCTTGATAAAATTTTATTGTAAATACAGTCTTAGAGCGCTCCAGTGGCTGAGGACTTGAAATAGCATCAGAAAATTTCCTCAGTATTGATTTCCTGTAAGATTTTCAAAAAGAATAGGTTTTGTTACTTTTGTATACATACATGCTGGATTTTCTATATGCATGTCTGTTACTTAATTTTTAGTAAAAAGTAGTATTTTCCATGTGGAAATACTTATTCTTCTGGGTCAGACAAGCAGGAGTCTATTTCTGTAAGATACTTAAGAAAGCCTGAATGATCTCATACTTAATACTGCATTATTTGGGCAAAGAAGAAGAAAATGTTTGAGTAGCCGAAAGTGGATGAAGTGCATAGAAATGTTACTTGGATGTTAAAAAAAGTATCTTGTTAATTTACATTGGACTTTAAAGCAGAAAATTTTAAAGCAAATGTTTACTAAAAACTTCCTAAAACTGAATGTTACTGGAGTTTGAAATTATCTCTTCAGGGAATGGGTGTAAGTTCTATTTTTGGAGGTACTGAAAACTTAGATTGGTCAAAGAACTTAAATATACTACAGGGGACTATCTTCCACTGACAGAAGGATGGACAAAATTATCTAATAAGTATTTTTTTCATCTCTAACTCTTGAATGTGTAGTGAGTTACTGCCAAGAGAGGCACACCCTCTGAGTTGTTCCTCTTACTTGCTGTAAAAATGAATATAAGCAGCCCAAAAGGCATTCCTGTTGTTGCTGTTACAAGGAAGATTATGTTCAAGTATAAAACAGCACTCTGCAGTCCTTGTTAAAGCATCAGTAACTTTTGGCTGACTTATTTTCTGCCTACATTTCTGGTTGGTCCAGGTCTTTGTTGTGTTTTTGATTTTGGGCTTTTATTGTTGTTGTTGTTGTTGCTCTTTCTGTTGTGATTTTGGTTTTGTTTGTTTTTAATAGCACTCTGAGCATTATTAGGGGTTTTCAGTCAGTTCCAGCCAGAAGTTGAAAGTAATGTTAAATGAAGTGTCACTGGCATGGCAATGTTCTGGCAAGTCCGGGGAGCCAGCAGTTATGTTGACATGTTTCTGGTCAAAGGCTAACTCCTGATTTTGAGGGGAGTGAAAATTATTTTTTTCTTTTTTCTTCCTTTCTGCTTTTTCCCACATTCTTTTTTTAATGTGAATGAGGTGCCATTTCCTCAACAGCATTCAAAGAGATGTTAAAATAAGCTGTGTGTCAAATAAAATGACGTTCCAGTCAATGGGCTGTAGTCTCACAAACTATTCACTTCTAAATTAATATGAAATGAAGGTTTGTTTCTCTTTATTTAACACTTTTTATTACCACTACAAAAGCTAGGTAGTCAAAACTCAGCTAATAATCCTCCTTAAATTCTGATTACAAATTATTTCTACACATACGTACTTTGACTTGCACCCACTATTGTAAAATCGTGCTTTTCTTTTCATGTGAAGCCTGTCCAGTTCAATTTCTACTTACCCATCTTTGTCTTTCTTTTTTGACTCTCTCTCCATATTCATCTTTGTGTCCATAAGACCATTCAGTGAAAGTGTCAAGTGTCCAAATTTTGACATAATTGAGTCACTTATTGGCATGAATTTTCAGCTTACAAGCACTGGATACAGGTCAATATTGTAGTTGTACTTCTCCGCGCATTTTTGCCTGAAAATCTAAATCAGCTTTTTGTGTTTCAAATGTGATCTGTGTCTGCTTTTTGACAGTAGTCTATGCTCAAAAACCACAAAAGGTGTATGGCAACAATCAGTTAGTGGGTTTTCCACAGGTAAGTCTTCTTGGTGCAAGAGATGCACAAGAAAGCTTATTGCAGACCTTGTCTGAATACACTGTTCATTTCCCTACCAACACCTGTTCCCATCTCCTTTAAGGTTATAAAAATGGGTTATGAATTTGGACTGGGTCTGAACTTTACTGATGAAATGGTTGCAATACATCAGATTAAAGGTCCATGTCTTATACTCACTTGTGGCTATCACCAGATGCATAAAGAAAAGGGACTGTATGCTTAAAAAGTTACCTTTACCCTCCCAGTTAACTGAGCCTGTTTGATGTTGGAACTGAAGGATGCATCTGAACCAGTCACTGATGGACTTTTCTTTCCTTAATTAGGCTACTTTTTCAACCCCTTTACGATCTTGGAATGTATTCCAGACCCTGTGGCAATGAGTTATGCAATTTAATTGCTCCTTAGATGAAAAGTACTTTGCTTTTTCATTTTAAGTGTATTGTCTGATGCTTAAATGTGATAGTGTCCGCTGTACTTAATGAGTCATCTATCTTATTTTCTATACCTTTAATGATTTGTACACCTCTGCTGGTCTCTAGCCATCCATGTGTCGCTCTTCCCTTTCCAGACCACAGTAAACTCCAGGTTGTTTGAAGTGCAGTCCGTATCTCCACTTACTTCTATTTCTGTGTTTATTGTCAGTAGTAGTCATTTCTGCACTAGCGTCTGAAATTTAATCTTTGGGTTTTCTTTGATGTGTCACTTCATATGCTTTCTAAAAATATGGTGTTGTTCTTTGTGAATAATATTGAGAAAACATTATTTAACAGAAAGATGGGAAAAATTATGGATTTTGTAGTTGGGGAAGGTGGTAAATTCCATTATGGACAATTATTCATAATTTTGGAGAAGAATGCCTATTAAAGACTTGCACAGAAGGATGGGACTACAGGTCGTCTTGAAGTTCTTACAGGGCTCCTTCTTCTCCCCTGGGATCTGAGGAGAGTGTGCTAGTGAAGAGATCCTGAGGAAGTTTGTCACCCTGAAGGCTCCTTTCCTTTCCTTCAATTTAGGAAATTGGCATAAGCACCATTAAGGAAGAACTCTTGCTCTCTTTGCCTAACTTTCAACTGGAGGCTGCCCCTTGGGACAAGTATTTTCAAAATTTTTGCATGACTGCTTTTTTCCCTTTGAGCATTGTTTAGAAGTGAGCAGAGAGCTGAGAGAGACAGTAGGTAGTAGTGAACACCTAGTTGATGTGATTTCTATCCAAAGAGCAGTTTATATTATACTCCAGCTCTACTTGGAATTGAAATTTGAGCAACAAGGCATGTGCCTGCTGCTAGGTTTGAGAATTGCAGCCCCTTTTGAAGCAGCATCCAGGCTGTGATCTTTTCTAAATACAGGCAGCTCACCATCCCCTTTACAGAAAGAGAAGTCAGATGTGCCTGGGCCTGTGTAATGCGGAAGATACTCCTGGAATTCATAAACAATGCTTCACATGTGAGATAAAGTTTTCATTAAAATGGGAAACTTCTGTTTCAGCCATCTGCAGCTGGGTGTGGTGCTCTGGACTGGTGAAGTAGTTGTTGTTTGAGGAGTGCCTTGAGGCTCTCTGGCCTTGCCCCCTGAACACATGTGAGCTGCAGCCATGGAAGGCAGAACACCCAGGCACCGCTCAGAGTGTGTTCAGGGTCAGCCTGGCCTGAGACAGTGCTCTGGGGCTTGGAGCTGCCTGCTCCCCACTGAATGGGATAAGCTCGTGTTTGTCTCTGCAAGCATTCCGAGGGAAACCAGGAAGGAGTTCTCTATCTCTCCCTGCAACTAAAAAGCTGAGAGTTAAGGAAGGGCTGAGAGTTACATAGTCAAAGTCAAGGAACAGCGTGGATTTAATTCCTTGCATAAATAGATCATAATAAATTAAGGGGGAGCTCCCCTCAAATATGTGAAAGCTTCACTGAGTCATGTAATCTGTCCTGGGCTTGTCTGGTAATTTACCTTGATACCCTGGGGGAGAGCTCTTATTTCCTGCCCTTTAGTTCAGTTTTAGGGCTGGACTTGGATTTAATGTTTGTGGATATTATAATGTTAATTAGAGGTGTGATACTATATTTATGGCAAAGAAAAGCACATTTGCATAGGCTTAATTTATCTTAGCAAGGATTGTTTTTACCTGATGTAATTGAGGTTGGGAGGACATGGAAGGGCAGAAAGGAGAAGGAAAAGGTGTAGTTTATATTGTCAAGAATGCTTTCTTCTTTTTTTAGTCTGTAGTGCAAACCTATCAGAAGACCTAATGGTGTGACATGAGCAAAGGTTCTTTAATCTAGACTTCAGTTTTTTCCTTCAGTGGTTAACATCCTTTTAACCTTCTTTGACGAGAGTTTTGAGAACCATTCTAAAACATGAAAACCCAAGTTAGGCTCAAAAAGAGCGCCCAAAGTATAACAAAAGTTTGGACTCAGTCCTGTTCCAAATTAACAAGATATTAAAGTAGGCTGCAAATGCAGAGCTTTAAGAGTTGTTAGACACCTGTCTCTTCTCTTCACCATGGAACTCCTAGCACATCAGAGACCAGACTTCTTCTGTTGTTTTCTGCTTTGTCTCAAGTTTCTTACAGGCCTTCTGGTCTGCATTTGTTAATCCTAGGATGTATTGGGACACTATTCCACTACAACACTTGGCCATAGCTCACTTCTAAATCTTTCTATGCTGTTGCTTTTTCACAAATGATGATACACACTTGATGCATGAATTTTGGATGCCTGACTTCTTTAAGAATGAAGAGAAATGTTCTTTTTCTGTGCTTGGTCGCTTTCCACCTTCCTGCTGGATGTGTGGACTTGATGTTAAGTGTCTCTACCAGCAGTTAGAATTTCTTCAGCTCTAGTAGTACACATTTGAAAAGTCTTCTGTCCTTGACTGTAGTGATTTTTCCAGTATTGAAGTAGACCAGTTGGCATGTGGTGGATTAGGCATTTAGGCTGATCTTTATTCTAGATATGTATATAAAATACTAACTCTAAGTTTTGTGTCGAGGAGACATTTGAATAGACATAAATAAGGAGCTAAGGAATTTATTCACGGTTAAGTGGAAAATTATATAGAAATGTAACAAAATCTTTAGTAAGATTATATTGTGCTGCCTTTAAGAAAATAAGAAAGACAAGTACATCCCAGGGGCCTTTTTGTAATTTTGTTTTTATTAGTGGAGTGGCTTTAAAATGTAGTAACTGACTTTTCTTTCATTTAATCCTGTGAAACTAACTTATTTCTCCCCAGAACACATATACGAATGCAGATAAGCTCCTAGAAGCAGCAGAGCAGCTTGCTCAGACTGGGGAGTGTGACCCAGAGGAAATTTATCAAGCTGCCCATCAGCTTGAAGACCGGATACAGGATTTCGTCAGGCGTGTGGAGCAGCGCAAGATCCTGCTGGACATGTCTGTGTCCTTTCACACTCACGTTAAAGAGGTAAAACTTCCACTAATTGTGATGATAACTTCCAAGTCCTAAACCCAGTATTATCCAGTGTTGCTTTCATTGTTAGAACCTTGCCATAGGACACCATGAAAACCTGTGTTGTATGATGAGTTTTGGTTTGTAATTCACTGTGGATTGTGGGCTGGGGTAGCGTGTGGTTCTGCTTAAGGATTTTTAAAATTTGAGTTTATTTTGATTTTTTACTTTCAGAAGCAGCTTTTACCTCCTTTGCTGCACAGGTACACATGCTTCTTCAGTCACAGAGGAGGGAGAAAGGTTGTATCAGGGAACTGGTACAGCTAAAAGTTAGGATTGTGGAGGGAGATACTGTGCTCTTTTGGTTTTTTTATCCAGCCAGCTCTCCTGCTGGACTTACCAGACCCATGATTGGACAGACATGGTTCAGGAGACCAAAATGTGTCACAGAAGTACAAGGCTACTTAAGGCAACCTTGTTGCCCCAAGAGACTTTGTTTATTTCTGTGTTTTGCACATCACACTTTCATCTGGTATATTGACAGTTCTTTGCAACCTAAAGATCTTGATAATGACAAGATCATTAGGTCATGATAATGTCATGATAATGACAAAGGTTTGCCTCATGTTTGCAATTTTTAGTCTTCTTCCAAGGTCACCAGGAAAAAGAAGATTCTGCCACACTAATTTTTTTCAGTAAGATTAGCTTTTTTGCTCCAATTCAAAATACAGAACATGAATTTATAAGCTCATGGGAGAAGGTGGAACAGGCTTCAGCAAGATGTTTTGGCTTTTGACAATCTTAGGTTACTTGGTTTTGAGTTCATGTTAAATCTCCTCACTGTTCAAACTCAGTGAAAATATGAAAAGCTTCTGGATCACAGCATGTTCCAGTGTGCCTTCCTTCCTCACACTGTACATTGTGAAATGGTCTGTTTAGTGGCAAAGTATAGTATTCAAAGTAGCCTCTTCAGCAAAACCTCCTAGAGGATAAGAGTGGGAGTTTTTTATAAGTGAAACATCTGCTTTGCACTTGAAACAAAAGCACAAGGCAATTGGTCTTTGAAGAAGATCAGGACTGAATTACTTTTTAGCTTTAGACATGAGTACATAGCTCCCCCATCAGTTTTCTCCGAGATGGTTCTTTGCCAATACTCTCACAGGACACTGCTTGTTCAAACAAAATACAAATACTGTTTCTTAAACTATTCTTAGGGAGCAGCTTTTTTGTTTCACTTTCTCAAGCAAATAGTACTAGTCCTTATCTGTTAGGAAGCACAGGAGCAGTCAGCTGCTGAAATGTGTTCTTTTTTTTCCCATATATATCTCTTCATTACCTGTTTCTCTTAGCATTAAAAACAACAGCTGGAATGGTATTTAAATAAAATACAGTTGGTTGTAGTGGTGAAAGACCAAGAGTGTAAAAGGATTTGCTTTCAAAAATGAAAAAAACCCTGAAAGGCAGACTGATATGTGAGTCACTGTTGAATAATTCTGGGAGGCCGATCCAGATGTGCTGGCACATTGCCACTGCTCCCCTAGATAATAATGTTTTATTGAAAAGAAAAAAATAGATATTCGGTATTTTGATTTATTTCTTTGGGAAAAAGGCTATTGTTTTGAGTCTGTAAGCACACACAACTGTTTCTATGGAAGCCTCTTTGCAATCCAGACTTTGGGGGAAAAGTACTATAGTGGCTAATGTTGAGTTTTTTTTGTTGTTGTTGTTTTTTTGTTTTTTTTTTTGTTTTGTGATATGAATGACCTTTATACCTAGCAATGCGAAGAAAAATTTGAATACTACCTATTTGTAAAGGATGTATTTTTATATGTTTGCAATCCACTTAAAAATACAGATGAGGGAGTGAGGCGGGGTGTTCATATTTAGTAGACTAGTCCTTGGTTCAGGTGCGAAGAAACAGCAAGCTCAAAGCTCTCCTGTGCTTTCTGTATTCTGATCTATTTTGAAGAGCATGTTGTTTGTTATCAAACATGCGTATGGAGTGCTGAGAAGGCATCACAAAGCAGATGGAAGATAAAAATGCCCTAACCTGAAAGCCATCCGTGCTTATTGGCAGGAGAATTGTGTTCCTCCTGCGGGATGTGGGAAGTTGCTGAATAAATTAGTGCATACCTGTAAGCAGCATAACCTTTCTGCTGTATTGTGAAGACATTAATGTGCACTTGTGGCTAGTGAAGAGAGGAGTTCTAGCAGTAGGATAATAGGTTAGTTGTTGAACCAGAAGAAGGTGCCTTAGTTGTTAAATAAAAAAATACCTTAAAAAGACCACCAAAAAGCCCAACCACCAACCAGTCAACTCCCAAAACACAAAAAAACCCAAACAAAGGAAAACACCACCAATGTATTTTGCCCTTGAAATACTCAGGGTAAATTCTGTCTCTAGTATCTTTTTTTCGTATTTTTTCTGGTAAAAAACAAAGACATGAACAGTTAAATTCTTGTTTGTGTGTGACAGTTTGGAGGGAACTGCAGAGCTTAGAAAAGCTGATTGTCTGAATTATTGGCTGTTTTAGATTTCGAAATCTGGCTCCGTATCCTTCTAGTCCCTCGATTTCTTTGAAGTAGGATGTTTCAGTATGTTTTATTCTTTTCCCCAGAAATACTTCACGTTGAATGAATGCTTTGCATTTGGATGAGAGTATTCCATTACCACTTCTCCCCTGTAGATTTACATAACCTTTATACCTGATGCAGAATTTGCCTGCAATTTTTCTCCGCTTCTCTAGGAAGCAGCAGCCCTTCAGTGACTGCCCAGTACTCCCACTCTGTTCATGCTGAGTAAATCAGCACAGTTTCTGCTTTCAACAGTGTGCTTGCCATAAAAAGCTCTTCCTGAAAGTAACAGGACTTTTGCTGTCCTTATGCACAGAGCAGCTGTGTGCTATGTGTGCAGCAGCCTGTTGTGATGCACATGGAAAATACTGTCTGTCTTTAGCCTTTCCAGAAGTTTTGTAGTGAGGTAGTTACAAGCTGGTAGAGCTCCCTGTGGCTTGCAAATATCAAAAACCCAACATACAAGTTCTCAAACTCCTCACAGACTAATTTCAACAGACAACATTTTTCACTGGAGAGAAAAAGGAGCTATTCAAAAATAACAGAAATACAGTGTTATGTAATGGTATCACTCATTTTGCTTAGTGATGATCTAAGAAAATAAGTTTCTTGCTATTTGTAAATTGTGATCACATGCTGCTGTCTTATTATTAGTTTTAAAATTGTAAAGCTGTGAATATTGATTTTTGGCTCCCGTGCATACAGTGAGAAATTTCAATCTATAAGCCAGACTCTTCAGGGAAGTGATGTACTGAAGTTAAGCTGTGCACCAACAAGCTTTAAAAGTGTTTGGGATCATAAATATCCCTGTCAGGATCTTTGCATTGGAAGTACTATGTCTTGACAGATTCCTGGCCTGAGGATGGGTAAGATGCAACTGAACACCTGAAAAAGACTATTGCAAGACAGTGGAACCCTTATGGCTTCTGTGCCTTTGGGCATTTTTTAGGATGGCAAGGGATGAGGTGAGAAAAAAATTGCAGAGGTAAAAGATAACACTTAAAGATGGCATTAACAAATAAGGAGTTATCAAAAAAGGTTGTGTGCATAGCATAGGAGCAGGAGTCTCAATAGTCTCTGCTGTGCAGTGTGGCACAGACTAGAGATGAACAGCATTTTGGTGTGAGTTCAAATTCTTCCATACACGGACATACACATGTGCACACACACTCTCTCCAAAATGGCTCCCTCAGCATCTGTGAGTGGGAAGACTGAAATCCCTTCCAAGCCAGGTGTTTGTTGTAGTGCCAAAGTAGAGCAACAGATATTTTCCTAACTGAAGTCAAGTGTGGGAATGCAGATCAGGCTGACTGTATGTGGAAGAGAATGATCTCTTAAGAGCCTGTTGGTTTTTTGCATATAACCTTTTGTGTGTATTCTGACAAGTTGATTATAAAATAGCTCAGAGCGCTTTTTATGTAAACACAGTATGCTTAATGGTGTTACTAGAAGACATGAGTCTACTTTTTTCATTCTTACTCAAACTAAACTTTGCTCCAGAATAGACTGAGGTTGAAACAAGGAGAAGGGAAGTGGAATTGGCTAGGTTTTCAGATACAAAGCCATCATTACCAAAGTCATGAAACAATGGTCTATGCCAGCTTTGGAAGGAAGGTGGCGTCATTTTGAGGGTGCCAGTGCAAGGGAGGGCAGAGGAGGCCTGGCTCTGGCCACAGGGCTGCCCATTCATTCACATCTACCTATGAGGCATGTGCCTTTGATTCAAAAAAGCTTGTTGATAATAGTCTCACTTTGTCTCACAATTCACTGCTGGAAATACACTCTTCTCTGCATTGCCCAGTATGGGAGGTTGTCTATAGCACAGCCTTGCATTAATTTTATCTTGAGGTAGACCCTGAGATGGCAGCCCTGCTCCTTTGGTTGCATGTCCCTCCTGGGTATTTGATCTTTTTGTGCTGGTGGTCTACAGGTTAAATTTGGATGTCACAAAAAAGGCGGTTTTCTCCTCTGCAGGCTGTTTCCAGCAGCAGAGCATCTCTTGCATGTCCCCATCTAAGTGTAAAGGCTTTATCTATTTGGCTCATGCATTTCTAATACTTTTATTGTGTCATTATAGCACAGCAGTGATCAATGTAACAGGTCTGGTAAAAGATATGAAGTGCATTCTGATCAGTATTTTGATACGCTGCTCATCTTGTGAGAGTTGTGGAGGACACTTTTAAATCAATAATGAGAAACATTCTCAGTGGCTGCACACTCAAATGTGTAGTGGCTTACTGCTGGTAGGACTGGAATTCAGTTTGCCAGCACAGCTTTTCTTCTCTCTTGAGTTTTTTAATACTGGTAGCTTCTTTGCTTGGAAAAAGGATGAAATGTAAGTCCCAGTGTTACTGAAATAGCACAGAGTGCTTGACAAAAGTGAGGCAGAAGTCAGCCTTGATGCTTTATTAAGCTATGTATAGACATTTTTCTCTTGTTCAGTTAAGAAATAGGGCAAATGTTAACAGGGTAGTAGTAGTTGATGTAATTTTATGAACATGTGGGAAACTTGGTTTTGCTGCAAGGATGAATTTATTCGGAATCAGAAATTGATTCCTTTATAACCGTAGGATAGATAGGGGTATTTGAAGCTTTTAAAGATAATTATATCTAATGAAAAAAAATTCAGGCATTTAACATCTTAAATGCCACTGAAAGGCCCTGGAGGATAAACCCCTGTGGTGTTTAACATCTTAAGGTTTTTGTTTTTAAAAAGGCACATTTTTTGTGCATATCCTCAAAGCCAAAGCTTTCAGGCAGACATACACACACTAGCCCCTTCCTATGCCCAGACATACTTGTTAGGGAGCACCATTGCAACATTTGGGCCTGTACAAATAATAGATCCTTCAACAACTGTGCCTGTGTTAATGCACATACTGCAGCACTGTGCTGGGGACGGGGATAGAAAGAGGAATTTGCAGTTTTTACATGCAGAAACCACGTGTATTTCTTTGCCTGAGCCTGCTGAAAAGGCAGACTGCATATCCAAAAACCAGTATTATAAAAATGAAAAAATAACTTGTGAAAGTGTGTGATGGATGTTTTATCCTAATAAATAACTCTGTGCTCTTGGTTGAAGTATTTACTCAAAAACAATTGTTCTCTGTTTATATTCTGCAAAATACAGTAGGGTCTAATTTAACTGCAGTCTTTGAGGAGATTGCAGAGATGGGACTTAAATGGATAGAGGCCCATGATGGAAACACTGAAACTTCCAGGATGTTGCAGACAATTGAAATAATACCATCTCAGTGACTAATGGCATGCTCCCAAGTACTTAGGAAAGAGGTACTACAGGATGCAGGCTCACTCAAGCAGATGTTTCTCAGTCTGTGCTATATTTAGATCAAGAAAAAAAATCTGCTGAGTGAAACATTTGCCTGTCAGGGATTCAGAATTTTATTTCCCTCTCTAATTTTAATTCTGATAAGATGCAAAGAGCAGATTAAAAGAAAAGAACCTCTTTCTGTGACTGGATTGAGTTTTGTATGCAGTTTTTCTCACCGTATGTTAGAGCTGTCTTGCCGCTGGATAAAGTTCTTGCTGAGATCAGAGGATTTGATGGTTTGTTTAGGGAACTTCATGCTACTTCTTTTACAAAGAATAGAAAAAACATGACTGGAAGTTGCTCAAAACTTCACACCGAGAGAAAGTTAATAGTTTTTTAATGAGGAGTTTGTGGGTTTTTTCCCCCACTGGATTTTTGTTGCCAAGCTCTCTTTTATGGAATAATGTGTTACTTCAGAAAGTCATTGCACTGTAAAATCTGTAATTCTGCACTGCTGAACATGTATGGGTAAGCTCTAGTCTCTGTTCACCCCCTGCTGTAAACTGTTTGCTTTCTTTTTGCTTTGCTGTGCAACCTTGTACAGTCTTCAACCTTAATTTTGTATCTGAAAACAAGGTAATTTATGTAATTTCCAGGGTTCATTCTGGTTTGAAAGCTGCAGAGAAGCCAGCTGGCTACTGCCACCCATTAAGAATCAAGCTTCTCTCAGTACACTGGATGAATTTCTATCCAGCTTTAGTAACATGACAGTTTTATTCATCTATGGTGGCTTTATCATAACTTTTGTTTATAAACACATAGATTATTTTGAGGGGAAGATTTTTGTCAGAAACTTACTTGGTGCATAAATGTAAAACGTTTATTTGGCAATGTATTAGAGTAACTTCTGCTATGGAAGTGTCACAGAGCTATTTATTCATTTCAATGGCTTAACTTGTTCCACTTTCAACAGCGTATGAATCACAGCTAGGCAAGTAATGCATACTAATTACTCTCCTTCTCTTTCTGCATTTTTCATAAAATGTTTTTGCTTCCCAAGCAGTGCCCAATTCAGCTCATGGGCTAGGCAAACACAACGTATTTTTGAGCCCTTTTGTACCTTGGGGGCCAGATACACGTTTATAGTGATGCCATGCTGACCAGGCACTAAGCCAGTCAGCGTCACACTTGGTTGTGCTGGTGCCCATGTCCTTCTGCTCAAGTCAGGTGGTGTTGCCTTGAGCTGGCTGTGCAGAGAGAAAGGTCTGCATGTCTGTCCTCTGTTGGCTTGGTCTCCAGCATCCAGGGTGAGCTCTGAGGGAATTATTCACATGCACAGTACCTCACCAGTCCAGCGCTTGTAGGCTCTGTTGCTTCTGCCAGATCTCCATCCAGTTACAGAAGTGGCTGAAGTGTAGAATAAGTGAAGAATAAGAAATGAAGAGGTGGGATGTGTTCCTTGTAGAGGTCTGACACAGCCCAGCAGCAGAAGGCATGTTGTTAAAAATTGAAGTGGCTCTCAGACCTGTCTCGAGCTGCAGTACAGATACTTCTGAGGGACCCAGGGGGCAAATTTGATACAGTCTGAGAAACTCAAAATTATTAAATCCCAGTTTCTCTGTAGTAAACATCTGTGTAAATTTGGCCTTTTGTAGGCAGCACAGTAAGCATGGAGTGTATGTAAGCATGTAGAGCCAGCAATGTCTTCTAGCCAGCACCAAGCGCATCGCAGAAAACAACAAAGCGTTGCTCTCAAATGTCTGTATTTGCACGGTTGCAAGCTGTACTGTACATACAGCTCATTTGGAAGGTCTCTGACTCAATGCCCTATTTTTATGGCTCAGGCATAAACTTCACAAGCTAAGAGAGGAATAAATGCATGTCCTCTGGGCACTGAGTAAAATTTTCAGGCTGTATTTTTCGGCTTCTTGCTCTTAAGTTTCATTCATTTCCCAGTTAAAGTTGCATTCCGAAGTACACATTGGGAAAAAAAAAAATTGGATTCTGCGTTGGGTTATGCTGGAATGAATGTTGACGAGTGCTTCTGACCCACTTGTAAAGTTCTATTGATTTGTGGTCCTTTTAATAAGAAAGACTGCTGTGCTGTGGTGTTTACAACTGTGGAGTTGCATTCAGGTTTGTGACAAGCATTGTCTTTGAAGCATATGAGTAGTCAGAATAACAGTGTGTATGAACACACAGAGCTGGTTTGGGGAGGAGGGGGTAGTAGATTTGTAGAAAAGAGTCTGGTTAAATCTCTTTAGTTCATCCCAGTTGTGAAAACTTAGCCTATAGCTTGGTTTACTCAAAACCTGCAGGAGGCATATAAAGCTATGTGGTGCCAAACCTGGCATTTGATTTTAAAACAAAGTTTCAAAGGAGCTAATTAATCAAGACCTGGAATCATTCACTGAGTTTTCTATTTTAATGTTTTAGTTAGGAAACCTTTATGATCAAAACACACATATACAAACAGCAGCATGAAGTGGCTATTTCTCTAGAAAATGTTTAGCAAAGAAATAAAGAAAACATTCAAGTTTCTCTCTTTTGGATTTAAGCCAGTTTTGATTGCTTAGTTATGTATTTTAACAATGTTAACCTTTTAATTAGGTTCAAATGTCTCTAAAATTTTCAAAGGCAGAGATTAAAATGTTGTCAAAAGACCTTAATACTTTTGATCGGATCAGAGTTACTCTTTTGGGATAAAAAACAAAATCTTGTTCTTGGAATAGCAGCATTCGGGATGGGTTGGTAAAATAGACAGGAGGGACCGGGTTTGAGTGCTTCCTGTAAGAGCAGCTGTTCCAGTCTGATGTTGTTGCTGCTCATGGGAGTGTTGCAGGACACAGCCGTGCTCCTGCTGCTTTTTTCAGTTCCACAATAGATGGCTAATGGTTTGCTGATGAGTGACTTTCACAAAGAGCTTAGGATGCAACAGCTTCCATCATGATATTGTGGAAAAGAATACTGTAGGGTTCTTCACATGACCAGCAGTGATACCTGTCCAGCAAATACCTAGGGATTTTTGTGTAAGCCATGGTGCACGGGCATTTTTGAGCAGGGATATGTGCACATGGGAAGCAGGGAGCAAGAATGTAGAATTAACTGGTAGAATTGCTTATGATGATTTTTGTTGTAATATCATGAAACTGAAGCTGGGAGGGCAAACACCATCATGATAGAACAATAACTTCTCACATCTGATTTGTCTCTGTATTTTGTTTTCTGAAATGCCCTTTCTTTTTCCTTTTTTCGAAGGCCACTGAAAAGTGTTATGTTGTCTGTGTGCAGTGTCAGCCTGGCAGTGCAAATTTGATGGTGGCTACAATACATCTCCCTTCCTTCCTTCCTTCCTTCCTCCCTTCTCTCAGAGAGTGTGTTACCATAGCATTTCTCTCCCAGGGACTCTCGCGCAGAACTGCAGATGGGATTCTCACTATGAACTCTGTGCTGCTCAGTCGGATACTCTCAGTTCTGTAGAAGCAAAATGGGGAAGAAAGGGTGACTTAGCAACACGGATAAAGCTTTCCTGGTATTTCCAAGAAGCGAAAACCTTTTTTGAAACAAAGGCTTGTCTTCATTAATATGAGGATGGGATTTTTCTATGAAGAAAAACAAATCCTCTTTCTTCCTGCCACCTCAGTCTGTTTTCTCTTGTCCACGGAGATGGATTCAGAATAGTTGCCTGATCCTCGGGCTTACATTTCTTGCTTTTTTTCCCTTTCCTTTAGCTGTGGACGTGGCTTGAAGAGCTGCAGAAAGAACTGCTTGATGATGTCTATGCTGAGTCTGTGGAGGCTGTCCAAGACCTGATTAAACGTTTTGGTCAACAGCAACAGACCACTCTGCAGGTTACAGTCAATGTCATAAAAGAAGGTGAAGATCTCATCCAGCAACTAAGGTAAGACAGATTTTTATTTAAATCTCCCCTGCTGTTTATCTGATATTCTGTGAGGTTCTTTCTGTTTTGAGGGTAGAGATGATGAGTACAAGATATGATATAAATAAAACTTGTAAATATTAGGACTACAGGAATCTCTCATGCTGTACTGATGGTCTCTAAACCTCTGTTTACAGGAAGCTCAGCTTATAAACACTGCTGCCACAAGAAGGAGATTTTGTTGACATAAGCTACCTTTTTGATAGAAGCAGTTGTGTGTTTTTGTAGTCTGACATGCAGGGCTCCCACTGCATTTTGAGTTCTGAGCAGCAGCCTTTTTATAAAGAGACACTTGAATTTGTTTTGCATACTGACAAGTAACTTCATTGTAGTAAAAGCCAAGTTTGTGGTCCATTTCATTCCAAAATGATCTGAATAAATAAATTTGGTTCCCAGCTGCTCTGGTACATGTCTCCTTTCCTCCAGGAGATTAACAAATCTGAATTTGCAGGTTTTATACTCAGGTAAAATATTAAGTAATTTTTTTTAATGAACTAATTTTGATTTTCTTTCCTTGCCAGGAAGATTCAGGAAAGTAAATAGTTATCATATGCTACTTCCTTTCCACAGTGGCAGCATTGTCTCTGGTTTTAAATTTTATCCTTCCTGTAAATAGAATGTCTTTAAGTGTTGAATTGGGAAAAAAAATGAAGGTAATTAATTTCCTAATGGTTTTTTTTGAGTACTAGAACATAGTTTGACTTTTTATTTACAAAGATGTACCGACTTAACTTTCATGCATTATGGTTTGCAACAACTTCATCTGAAGCAGGCTTATATCTTGTGCTCATATATATATAGTGTCCAAATTGTATGGGTTTTTTTTCAATAATGCTCTTTTTTCTTCCCCCTCCCCTCTCTCTGCTTTGATTAGGGATTCTGCCATTTCTAGTAACAAGACCCCCCATAACAGCTCGATCAACCACATAGAGACAGTCCTGCAGCAGCTGGATGAGGCCCAGTCTCAGATGGAGGAGCTTTTCCAAGAACGCAAGATCAAACTGGAGCTGTTTCTGCAGCTCCGCATATTTGAAAGAGATGCAATAGATGTGAGTCTTTGCTCTCAGACTTCACTGCATGCATTTCTCCTCTTGTCTAGGAATGTTTGTGCTGACATTGTGTAGTTGCATTGGCATGTGGCTCAAATGGCTGCTAGACTTAATTCTTACCTGAACTGAGGCTTTTGTCCTGTGTGTGAAAGTGTCAGAAGAGCTCAGTGCTCAGCAGAGCTGAGTTTTTGGATTTGCTCTTGGTGCATCTTTAAGAAAATGTTAGGTAAAATCATAAAGCATCAGTTACTTCATCTGCTAAGTTTAGCTTGTATATCAAACTACCATGATATAACTAGTATGCCTGCAGTTAATATGAATAGGACTTGCAAGATGGTTTTTTGTACAAACCCTCTAAACTGATGCTTTGTAGTAACAACCCTCTTCTCTTCCTTTACCAATCAGCAGTTTTCAGTTAGCAGCTGCAAGTGGTATTTGAAATTCTATCTTAATTACTGAGAATGTTCTATGGGCTGTCATTTAAAAAAAAAAAATTCTTTTCCACCTCCAAAAATAATTCAATAGCAGTTGTAGTGCTTCACCCCTGCAAAACTTCAAGAAGTTTTGAGCCTGTCCAAACTTTGAAGGGGAGTTACAGCTTATCAGTTGAAAAGTTTCTGCTTGTATGTAGGAACATGTACACAAACAGACATGAAACTCCACAGGGAACTTAGGTTAGCAGAGTTGCTAACCTAAAAAAAAACAAATCAAACTTCAGCTAAGTTCATATGACTTAATAAAATTATTAGTGCTGTACACAGTGACTGAAAAAAGTTGGTGCCTTATAAGGTTCAGGGTTATTCATTGGTAAATGATCTTGTTTGAGTGTATAATGACTTACCTCAAAATTCTGAAAACCAGGAGTTAAATGATAAGTTTGTCCCTTTGCTTGTGTGTAGTAAAAGCTGCCACTGTTGGTTATGAACATCAAGGTAAAAGAGGCAGTCAGCAGAAAGCTTCTCAGGTTTTTAGTGATAGTGTCCCAGGTTTTTAGTGTTTTGATTTGGGTGTTTCTTCCCCTTCTGAAAATCAGGATTTGATGTCATGGCTGAAGTCTGGTTTAGCTAAGCATACTGTTAGGGGCAGTGTAGAAATAGGCAGACACAGTTCCTTGATCCTTACCCACAGAGGAAGTGAGAGTGTGTGCTCCACAGTAATAACAACTTTGCTGTAGAGGAAGACTAAGAAGGGTTTTTTTTTTCAATTTTTCAATTCACACTGGTCTGCAGAGAGTTTTCTACTTTGACTATGTGGAAGTAGCTTTTCTTCTTTGATCATATGAGACTAGCTATCTCACATATGCTTGCAATCTTTGCAGGAGTGATGAACAGTGCTTGATGTCTGAGGTGTTCTTAGAACACTTTTTTTGAAGGAACGGGGCAGTGCATACCAAGAAAATTAATGGAAGAATTAGAATAAAGGTTTGAGTGAGGTTCACTATTAAGTTGATTGCTCTCTGTTGTAGGTTACATAAGCCAGATTCTACAGCAGCAAAAGGCTGGTTACAGGAGCCCTGCTTTGCAGGTGTGTTCTAGTTTTCAGTTCAGGACAGCATCTATATAGGTTGGAGTACTTCTGGTACTGCTGCTTGGTGATGCCCATAGGATTTTGCATCAGAAAACTGCAAACCCTAACTTCATAGGATCATAAAATAGAATATACTGAGTTGGAAGGGACCCACAAAGGTCATCAAGTCCAACTCCTGACCCTGCACAGGACATCCCAAGAGTCACACCATGTGCCTGGAAGTGTTGCCCAAACACTTCTTGAACTCTGTCAGGCTGCTGCTGTGACCACTTCCCTGGAGAGCCTGTTCCAGTGCCCAACCGCTCTCTGGGTGAAGAACCTTTTCCTGATATCCTACATTAACCTTCTTGAGCTCTGCTTCATATTGTTTCCTTGAGTCCTATCACTGGTCACAAGAGTGAAGATGTTGGTACCTGCCCTTCCACTTCCTCTCATGAGGATGTTGAAGACTGCCATGAGGTCTCCCCTCAGTCTCCTCTTCTCCAGGCTGAAGAGACCAAGTGACCTCAGCTGCTCCTCATACAGCTTCCCCTCCAAAGCCTTCACCATCTTTGTAGCCCTCCTTAGGATTCTCTCTTATAGATTAGTGTCTTTTTTATATGGTAGTGCCCAAAACTGCACACACTTGACAGGTCTTGCTTTTTCTAAACCTGATGATGCTTGGCGTGCTTCACATTTTGCCATGTACAACATAAAGCAAAGCACCAGTTGGCTTGTTGAAAGAGTTGGTATAGTTTGTCTGTATAGCTTGGAAATAGAAATCACGCCTATTTTTGATTGATGGACAGTCCTTCAAAGAAGAAAATGGCCCTGGCTGCAGAGTGATTTCAGCAAAATGTTGATTGTTTTGCTGTCTCTGTACCATGTCCTCTCTGCTTCCTCAGCAGAACACGCTTCTCTTTTCCCTCTCCCTGAAGGCAGATGTCTGTTCGGAAACTCCCAGGAAGAAAATGTGGGGACTAGTTCCAGGTCAGTTGTTTTAAAGCTGAAGCTCAGCTGAAGTAACTTGATAATGAGGAGGAGCCAGATGCCAGCTAGGAATTTGCAGGCCTTGTTTTGACCTTTTCCTTCCTCCAGGATTTTGTGTGACTGGTCCAGTCAATTAAGACTTGGCTGTAGGGTCAGTTAATTCAGAGGAGCATCCTATGAGGACAGCTTTTCTCAAAGACAAGTAGTGTTTCTAGCTTCTCTTACTGCTTGCAAAATTACACAGGCTAAAATGGAACTAAGGGCTCCCCTAGCACTGCAGGGTTATAGCCATGCAGCTGTTCTTCTGGGGACAGTGGTGAGATTTGCAGGCAGGGTTAATTCCCTTCTTCTCCTTACTCTTCCCTTATAATTTGCTGATAAAATACTTTGTTTCTTTACTGGTAAAATACTTTGCTTCTTTTGTCTTACAACTTTTCAGATACTCATGCTCTTCTGAAATGGGTATAACTGCAGTACTGCCTCTGTTTTGCCCCTTGGCTCTTGGCATATAAACCTGACCTTGTCTATCTTCAGCATGATTTTTAGCCATTATTGGTGAGCTATTTGAAGGACTCCTTTGTAAATGCCTGTATTAACTGAAGGCAAGAATGAGCAAAATAATGTAGGTGAGGATGCCCTTGCTAGTGTGATTAGAAGCATGAGGAAGGTGTGTGTGAACCCAGTGGGAGGGTAACACTGGTGGCAAAGTACGCAGTCTGAAATGTGTTTGTCTCATCTGTGTCTGAGCATTTTTGCCTGTCTGTAACTTACATACCAGGGCTCTACACAGAGCATACCGCACACTTTTCAGCTCACAGCTTTATCTCAACTCTATTTTTGGACCATATTTACAAGATGCCTGTTAAATCACATTGCTGAAAAGATGAGGATGTAAAATGCTGGGGTATCATGGAGACCTAGCTCCTCTCCCTTTCCCATTTTCCGTTTTTTTTCTCCTAAACACCCAGTATTTACTGGGTCTTGATAAGCACTCAGTTGGTACCATGCATGGTAGACACTTCTGAGAAGAGACCTGTGGTTCTTTATTTCTTTCCCACTCAGTGTGAAAGCATCCCTTCCATATTATACCCTGCTTTGTTTCCTGTCAGCATTTCCTTTACATTTAATAGAATGTAGTGATGTCAGGCAGCTCAAAATCTGCACCAGGAACTTCTTGAACACATGCTATGGTAAATTGTTAGCCTGTGTTTATGTTGGGTTGTCCATTTCCTGAGAGCAGTATGAATTTGTGATTCAGTTATTTTAGAATTCTATTAGTCATTTGTTCTGTTTGTTTAGTGCTGATTGCCTTGACAAAACTTCACAAGCAAAATGGGAGCCTGCTTGCTTTGAATGTGTTGTCTGTAAAGCAAAACTTTAGAGGAAGCACTGAAGAGTGTGGGCAGAGAGGGCTTAGTCAATGCTATTTCTGTATTAACTCTGCCTTCAGATTTGCACAGTGGGTGCCATGGCTGAAATAGACCACCTTGCACCACCTAATTACTCCTGATAAAACATGAGAATTACTGCCCTTGTTAGGAAACTTCTCTTTGATGGTCATTGACTACTTACCTTTTGAATCTGTGTGGAAACATGCTGACATTATTTATTTGAATCATGGCTGGCCATCCTGATCGTTTGTAGGGGAAAGGAAATATATTGGTCTTGTTCAGAGTGTTTCAAACTGCTTTAAACAGTATGTGTGCCATGATCCTAAATATGGGGTTGGTTGTATGAAATAGCATGGGAAAACCTATAATTCTTCCTGGCTGTTTGTGGCTGTTCTTTGGAGGCATTATCAGTGAAACCTGTTGGTTGAGGCAACACACAGTTTTGACCCCCCTGAAACTAGTTGTTTTTCCTATCAAGTAAAGGGAATCTTAGGAGCTAGTGGCTACAATCTATTTCATGATTATAACAATACTGACACAGCCACAGCAGTGCCGTATTGTGAGCTTGCTGTGTTTTTTACTTTATTCCCACTTAAATTCCCAGTAAAAGAGAAAAGCTTTATCATCTATTCTGAAGGGAGATGGACTGGCTTTCCTTTTAAAACAGTGTCAGTGTTATAAATGTGCCATGTTGAATCTTAATCCTTTGTATGATGGTGTTTAGAAAGATGGTGTTTTAATAGTGGAGTTTTGCAACCTTTTTTAATGCTCAGATTTCTGTTTGACTGAGTCCAACTACAGATATTTCTTCAGGGTAACTTTTGAATGTTGATAACTGACCTGGATAAAAATAAGATGGTAAATCTGTTTTCTTAGAACTTCCCTAGTGCAATGGATGAAGAAATAAACATTAGATGACCTCCATTGCTTTTAATAATAAATGAACATGGAGTTTCAGAGAGAAGCTGGGAAGAGCAGAGCTGAGATGCACAAGAGCAGAAAAGAGAGGTAGCTGAAAGTAAGCAATTTCTCTGGCTGGACTGTCAGGAAAACCTGAAGTTTCTTTAAAATTTCAGATCACTTAAAGGAAAGTGAAGAGCAGAGGAAGGTGATGAGACATGTTGGGCATGGACCAAATAAAAAGGAAATGAAGGGAACTTGTTAACGATTTTTTGTGACGGGAAGCCTGGGTTTGTGTGTTTAGAGGGAAAACCACTCACAATGCTTAGAGAGTGTGATGTTTAGAGCATGTGGAAGATGAAAGGAGCTTCAAGCAATGGCTAAAAGCCTTGTCCTGTCTATCTTCCTGAATACTTTGGTCATTGACTTTTCTGTTTTCAGTGTTCCCCTGGCACTTGAGTTTCTGCATGTTTTCACTTCAGCAGAGGTAGCTGAGTAGGTTTAGGGATTGCAAATAGCTACTTTAATTGTTTGGTATTTCCCATCATGACATGATATAAAACTCAAATACTTAGTGATTCAAGTGGAATTTTTTTGCAGAACACCTTTAAAACAGGAAGTAACTCACTGGTGCCACAATTTTAATATTTATTGCTTCATGTGTCCATTTTTTTATGGCATCATGTGAGTGGAATGGAAAAAAGCCTTCACAAGAGATTGTAGCAAACTACAGAAACTTTATACAAATGATTTAACTTTTCTAATCTCCCCAGTTCTGCTTTTTTTTTTCTAGAAGGCCTGTTTTCCTCGAATTTCTCTTGTCATTTAACTGTCTCTTTAACTTTGAAGCTATTTCAGCTGCTTGAAAAGGGGTAGGGGCATCTTTCTTTTGCTGACAACAAATGACTTTGGATAAATATTTATGCACTTAGATACTTGATTGCTAATTCCCATTTAGTTGGGTCCTCTTTTTGTTATGTCTTGCTGCATAAATAGATACTTTCGTCTCATTTACATAAATTTCACATAAATTTGCCCTACTCCTGAAATTGTAGAACATTTGAACTAAGCCATACTTGTTTTTTGATACCTCTAATTTTGCTTTCCCAATGAACTGCACTAGTTGATGCTAAAACTGTGCTGAAAATTTTGGAAAAAATTTGATTATTGGCTTGAGGGATTAATGTGTTAGACTTTTCAGAAGTAACTGATGCATCAAATCTGTACGAACTCAGCCCACTTTGATAATGAGGATTGCAAGTACTACATGTTAGCCTTAAAACCAGTTTTGTACCCTAATTAAAAGGAATATTTTATATTTCAGATAGGTTTTGCAGTATAATTTGGAAAATACACTTATGTGGACGGACAAGGAGAATTTACTGTAGTGATACATGTGTTGAAAAACCCAAGAACTTTTTTTAGCTACATTTCTTGGGAAATCCTGCAGTGAAGAATAAAATCCAGAACTAAAATGTGAAAACTGAAGTGTAGCTGAAGAATATCAGCAAGCAAATTTAGTTCTGTCATTGCAGTAATGTTGTAATAAAGTATGCTTTTTTGTTTTGCTGGATTCACTGAGTACCCAGTCTTTTGTGGTAAGTGCTTCTTAGTTGTCTGGCAGAACTCAAAGGTGCATGTGGCCTGATGCTTCCTGCCCACAGAAGGGTAAAGCTGGCTTTCTTGGAAAAGGGCTCAAGATTGGTATAATTGTAAGATCAGCTGGCTGTTGATGTGTGAATTATTATTGATGCACTCTGAAGAATTAAAAAGGTCCAGATCCACATTTTCCTTTAAAAGGGGAGATAAAAACATGTTAACTTCTTCTGTTTCACAAGTGTTGATGGAGTACCTTGAATAAGGCAGAGGCACATACCCATACTGTTGCATGCACTGGTTGAAGAACTGTACCGGTTCTCACAGAGCTTCTTTTGGATTGTTTGCCAAAATCTAAAATCCATGCTTAGATAGCCTGTGTCCTAACCATGTCTGATTTGATCAGTGATGTCAATCAACAACGAACAACTTGAGTTTCCTACCTCAACCATCACTGCAACATTGGAAATAAACTGTTTTCTGTTGTGTAATGGGTAATTGAACATGGTCTCCTTCCTTTTCCCCCCAGATTATTTCAGACCTTGAGTCTTGGAATGATGAGCTCTCTCAGCAGATGAATGACTTTGACACTGAAGATCTTACAATAGCAGAACAGAGGCTCCAGCATCATGCAGACAAAGCCCTGACCATGAATAACTTGACCTTTGATGTCATCCACCAAGGGCAGGATCTGCTGCAGTATGTCAATGAAGTGCAGGCGTCTGGTAAGATGGCTCCTTTATGCTATTCCAAGCTTTCTAAGAATTATCCAGTTGTCGCTCCATGGGATGTGTGAAAATAACAGGGATGCTGGTTAACTGTAAACTGGGGACATGTGAACTCCTTTATACTCAAATTATTCAATGGTGTTCATAAGAACATACTGGCACATAAATGTCATCAGAGTTGGTAGCACTTGAAGGTGTTTAGTTTTTAGAGAAAGGGATTTCACTCAGGATGTTTGTAAAATTAGACTAAATAAGGGAACGTTAATTTTTTAGGTGGTCAGATCAATGCAGTCGAGCAAAGATTGTCAGCTTTCAAGTAATGCCTTCCTTTTTTGTTCCTTATGCCCCTGCCCCTTCATTTGATATTTTTCACTGTATATGATTGCTTAGGGTAAGTATCATACTTTAAAAACACCCCCATGTTGCACTTCTTAAGAGTGCAAACCCCTATACTCATGTAGGCAAATCCTCCAAGAATTTGAGGATTGAATTTGGAGAAGGAACTAGGAAATCAGGTGTAGAGCAGTGGAAGCGGGCAGTTTGTCTCAGAAGCTTTGCGAGTCATTCCTGTCCGACCGTCCCGGCTGCAGGTGTGGAGCTGCTGTGCGACAGAGACGTGGACATGGCCACTCGCGTGCAGGACCTGCTGGAGTTCCTGCACGAGAAGCAGCAGGAGCTGGACGTGGCGGCCGAGCAGCACCGCAAGCACCTGGAGCAGTGCGTGCAGCTGCGGCACCTGCAGGCAGAGGTCAAACAGGTACGGCCACCCTGGCAGCCACGCCCTCCTGGAGAGCTCTGCTCCCAAAAACACGCACGGGAAACCCCTCCTGCTGCATGAAGTCTTCGTTGGGAGCAGGGGAGGACTTGGGTCACTTGAGAAACTTCAGCTTCTCTTAACATTAAGTGAATTTTTTTAACTTGCATCACCGCTCGATCTTGCTGCGTGGATCTAGAGCAGAAGTCCTATGGGATTAGCTGAGAGAGCTGGGGATGTTTAGCCTGGAATAAAGGAATCTCAGGGGGGACCTTATCACTCTTGCAACTACCTGATAGGAGGGTGTATCAAAGTAGGAGTTGGATTCTTTACCCAGGTAACAAGTGATAGGACAAAGAAGGAAAGTCCTCAAGTTGTGCCAGAGGAGCTTTAGATTAGATATTAGGAAAAATTTCTTCACTGAAGAGGTTTTTAAGCACTGGAACAGGATTGATGGAGGTACCATTCCTGAAGATATTTAAAAGACATGTAGATGAGACACTGAGACACATGCTTTAGTGGTGGGCAGTGCTAGGTTAACGGATTTGATGGTTGTAGAGGTTTTTTCCAACCCAAGTTATTCTGATATTCTGTAGATACAAGTAAAGTATTTGAAGTATAGAGTGATTTGAGCTAATGTTAAACCCTTGCATTTACCATCTGCATGGTGATGAACAGCAATGCTCAAAGGCTCTGCACACTGACCTAATACTTCTGGGTCTGTTGTTCAAAACATCTGCAAAAAGTAATAAAATAATATAGAAGAAAAACAGTTTTGCTTCTCCTGGCAATAAAGTAGCAAGTTTTCAGGTGTTTATCTGATACACACCTAAACCTTTGATGATTTGAGATGTGGGCTAAGCCACTGAGGTTGGTAGAAGTTTAAAAAAGAAAAAAGGCAATAGAAAAGGTAAGAGTTTATCTTGCTCACACTTGGCAGCATCACAGAAGTTTGCTATAGTCTGTTGTATTACTGTGGCCCATAATGAGACTGAATGACAACTCCCAAATTGCAAAGTAATATGAAAGGGGTCCCACTAGGACTAGGAGAAGTGAATAGAAGGTTCCCAAAGTATTTTCAGGCAGTGGTTGGTTGCTCTACAGTAGCAGATGGAAAGTTTCTGTGTGGTCTTGAATTAAAGGAATGCAAAAAACTGATAGTTGTCTCCTGTCAGTGCAATATAGACATCAATCAAATACTTGATGTTCTATTTCAAGGCTTTGCATACTCTCCTGAACTGTGCTCTATCTGCCTTAGCACTTACTCATCTTAGTAAGTGCAGATTGCAAATTCCTCCTTCCACCTGAGTAATGGTTGAGATAAAGTTGTTGCAGATCAGGATAGCTTCTGTACTCAGTTGCACTTTATCTTGAAGATGAAGGAAAAAAATGCACATCTGCAAAGGAAGGAAAAAATAAAAGAAATAATGCCAGCTGAGGCACTCTCATCCCTTTATGGTCAGTGGGTTTGGGTGGGATGGGTTAGTAAGAAAAAAATTTGTTAATATCCATAATACTGAAATAGTACTCAGTAAAAGAACAGAATATAGCAGTTTGGTAATATTTCAAAGAGACACTAAATAGTTATTTATATTGCATACTCCCACAATAAAGTGAGTGCTTTGGTCCACTAGCTTTTTTGTATGCAAGTTAAATGTTACAAAAAAGACACATGTTTTAAACCTGTGTTTGAAACAAATGTTCTGTATTTTGGCAGAAACAGGCAGATGATGAACATCATGGATTTTAGAGGGATACCTCTATTGCACATAGTGATTACAAATCACTATGTGATTTGTAGATCATTCTTTAAGAAGTTTCTAACTTTTTTGAACCACAGCTAGCCCTGACTGAAACTGAAGCTAAAATTTAGATTCTTAAGAAAGTACTGGAAAAGTTTATCTTATAATAAAGGTATAGGTAGTACATAAACATAGGCAGCTGTCTTTTCTTGGTAGTCTGGGATTTGGAAGAAAAAAGCATATTCTATTTTGTATTTCTAGAGCACACCTCTATCAAGTGGGATTTTATATTGAATTAAATGCCATAATATGTGTGAACTTTCAGACAATCATACATGAACATGTAGCTGACAGAAGGTGGTTTTGTGTATTACTTTTCCAGATTTTACTGTACAGATTCATCTGCAATACTTGCCCAGCCTGAGGCCTGAAAATTGAATGGAGCTCAATCTGAGTGTTAATATATTATCTCATAGGATTTCTTTTGAGCCCTTTGGAATGCTTTGAGGATAATAACTCTTAGTTCTGAGATTGCAGTTGCCTTTTCATAAAACCACATCTGATTTATTTTTATTTTTATTAAACATGATTAAGGAAGCATGATCTTCTCCTGTCTCTTCTGCACTAGGAAAACTTTATAGGTCAGCAGGTCACAGTAGGTGCTTTACCTGAGTGTAAAATGAAGTGGTAAACCTCCTCTTCAGTCTGCTTTATTTGTGTTTTCTTGCCTGAAGCAGTGAACACATGGTTTTCTTGTTCAGTTACTGTGATTTTCTCTTAGATTTATTGTTGATGAACTGGGTGTAAGCATGTTTATTATGTAGATGGGATACTGTCTCCATAGCAAGAATTCTAACAATATTTCCATTTAAATTCTTCCTGCCAAAGCAACATTACTGCTCTTGTATTTTCACACACACACACACGCACGCGCGCACATGCGCACACACATATACATTTATATAAAATACATAAAAATATGTAGCTTGTCATGTGAAGAGGTTAGACTGGAACACTGCAGGATTTTAGACAAATACTTGTAAAGATTCTCTTCCATACTAGGTAGTAAAATCTTATGCTTAATGAATTTTTATCAAATAAGCACAGAGAGTAGATGAAAACATTCAGTATTGCTTCTTCCTTAACTCTTGTGCCAGTTCTACTTGTGGCATTGAAGTTTTGTTTATCAAGCCTCAGGACTAGGAGGAAGCAGAAGAGCCAGAAGACAAACAGAGGTGTAAAGAAAACCTGCAAAGAATTTGCTTGTCAACTTGAAGTGTAATAGGTGCAGAAAGGTCAAAAGCAGCAAATTACAGTGTAGAAAAACCGTGGAAAACGGGGAAGAGAATGCTGACTGAAATAAAAGAGACAGCTGTATGTGAGGAAAGCAACATGGAAAGGAAAATGTGAGCACTTTTTTACAGGTCAGGGACATATGAGTAGGTGGAGGCAGAGTAATATTTATGAGAATGTCTGTCTCATGCAGAACTCCAGCTGCATGTTTGCCAGACAAGCCTTCTTTATTAATCACCTAACATACAGCTGTTGGATTACTTACTGCTGCAATCACTCCCACCTACTCACTGTATAGAGTGAATGCTTTGCTGTGCTGAAGGTCAAAATCCCTACCAAGATTCAAACCCAGACCAGTTGGTTTCAGTGTGCTCATTAAGCCTTTTCAGTGCAGTGTTTTCTGCTGTTCTGATCATGGTGTATGTTCTTGGATATATAACTATGTATCCATATATGTACAGTGGTGTACAGATACTTCAGCCCTCAGGAGTACCTTAAGCTGCTTTGTGTTCTCACTGGCAAATCTTTTAGCTTGGTGCTTGAGCTCTGACTATCCCAAAATACTACTCAGGAAGGGTATCCTGGCACTCCATGTAGTGCCATATGGATATGAAAACATAGCTAAGACAGCAGACTGAAGCAGGTTGTCTTGTGATCATGTTTAGTTACAGTCAAAAATCTGTCCAAGAAACTAGTTCTAAATCAAGCATTTATCTCACGATCTACCTATCTGACCTTTTCAAGTGCCCCAAGTGACCCAAATTCTGTCTCTTTTCCACACCTTTGCTGATGTTTTTCTAGCCTGTTGAAGGCTGTGAGGGGAAAGATGGGGGTTGTGATCCACTCAGACAGGGAGGTGGTGGGAACATGAACATGCCAGCAAACCCTGAAGGCAGCACCCCTGGAAGGAGAACAGACTCTCTATTTCCTAATGCTTATATTTTCCCTTGAGTCAGAGCAGAAGGAAGGGGAGAGTACTGCTGGCAAATTTCCTCCTGTGAGTTTCACCAGCCTGTGTACTTGCACCCTGACCTGCACCAAGCAGGAGGACAAGTCTTTGTGTTTGAAATGGCATGTTCTGTTCTAGCTGTTGCTGCTGTAAATAATGGGATGCCAAGTCAAGAGGAACTTTCAATTGGTGCTCCCTAAGCATTCTCCTTCATTAAAATTCTCTGAAGAAGTCTACATGTATAAGAACCCTAAAAAGGTGTGTTTTGTTACACCATACCTGGAAGAATTACTTTTTAAGGTAGAGAAGTAACCTAGAATAACTTTCTTAAGACAAAATAAAAATAAAAAGGGAATTTGAAAAAAGAAATCATCTCCCTCTGTGTTCTTGGAATTTATTTGTCCGTGTATAGTTTCTATCTGCAGTCTGTTGGACCCATCTGCTTCCCTCAGAAGCTGCTGCTTTTCCTGCTCCTGAGGCTTACCCAGGCCTTCTCCTTGAGTGTTAAAAATCTGCTGGTGTCTTAGCAATTTAGGAACTCCCAGTTTCTTTCGTACTCCCTTTTGTGTGCCCCCAAACTGTGATCTGCAGGTGTCACCTTTGCAGTAGGAGAGGTTGTTCCAAAGCTGGAGCCATCTTCCCCTTGCTTGTAAGGCTGCACCTGACCCAGTGCTTTCTCCCCAGAAGAGCAGAATGTGCCCCCAGTTACACATCTGGCATGCCCTCCCTTCTACATTTTTTGTAGAGTTACTCTTTTCTACAGACTTGCAGAATTCATATAGGAGAATTCAAATACATGCTATCAGGATGGAAAAAATACTGTTAGCTATTCATTGTGCAGACAGAAATGGCAAAACCTGCATTAATAATACAACAATGTCACAATCTGGATAAGTCTAAGGGTGAGGTTGTGGTGCAGATTTGAGGGAACAGATGTTGTGTCAGGATGGTTAGACCTCAGTTGCTTCAAGCTGTCAGACACATTAGAGTGTACTTTGGATGTAGACCCACATGTGGCTTTCAGGTTGTGAGGAACTGTGTTTTAATAGGTCATTTTCTTGGGTTCTGCCCAGGTTCCCAGTCTGCAAGTGCAGTCATATCACCCTGATAACTTAGTGCATTAATGCTATAATTGATAGTGTCATGTGTGGGTCACTAGATGAGAATATTTAGTGTTAAGAACTAACTGATTTGGTAGTTAATATATTTATTATCAGTGGTTAAAGGCCTAAAATCAATTAGTAGGAAAAAGTTAGAAAAGCTGGAGAAGTTCAGATCAACTGGGCCTGAAGAAATTCACTCTAGAATACTTGAAAAGCTGCCGTTGTTTCCAAACATCAGGAGATCGGATGAGATTCTGGAGGCCTGAAACTCAACATCTGCTTCTCAAAAGTGGAAAAGGACTAGCTGAGGGAGGATTATAGGTCAGCTAGTTTAACACAGTTCCCAGGAAAAATATTGAAACAAGTAGATCAATAAACTTGAACAGTGTCAAAAGGAGAAAAGGCTAACACAGGTCAATTAATCATAGCTTTCCATTGATAAACCCTCCTTTTTATCTGACAAGGCAACAGCTCTTCTGGGAGGGGTGTAAAAGCAGTGTCAAAGCTTTTAAAATAGTGCAGCTGAGTCTGTCTGGCCCTAACTTAACTATGAGAATGTCACATGAGACTAAATTACCAGGAGTGATAACTTGCTGAAAAAAAAATATTGAGTAACTGAAGTTATTAACAGAGTCAGTGGATTGGAAAAGAGATTTAAAAATGAAAAAAGTTGTATTTGTCTGTATTTGAATACTACTGGTTCATGTTCTCAGTCAGAAAATCTACATGTTAGCAACTATGCTATTAAATTTGAAGTTGAAAGCAGGAGCAGCTGGAAAAGGGGTTTGAGTTCATCAGAAGATGCTGGCTTACAGTTCAGAATTATCTTGATGGGAGAATGGGAGAACTGTGCTTTAAGAAGGATATGAGTTTGAATAGTGAAAAATACAGAGCATGATGTACTGGAAAGAATAATCAGCTGAATAAATACAGAGGTAATTACTGGCTGGGCAGCAGTTCCATAGAAGAGTTGTACAGATGACAGTGAATAACCTGAATTATGTCCCATTTTACTCAGTATTTGAAAAATTATGACCAAGTCATGGTTATCAACCGGAGAGAGCTCATAAAAGAGCAGTGTTCTAAAAAAATAAGGTGACTGACTTCACATGGGAGAGATTGAAGAGACTGTGGTCAAGAAGATAAGAGGAGTCTAAAGGAGGGAATCAGATAATGTTCCTGATAGAGAGAGGTGAGGGAAAAACAAAGCTGATGCAAAGAGGGAGAAAATGTCTTTTTCCTTCTTCTTGTTTTTTTTTGGGAGAGGTCTAAAAAGTTGCGTGTTGCTGCTGTTGATAAGGAACATGTAAAGTGGACTCCTGAGGCTTCTGCCCAGCCATGGATTCTTCTGATTTCACTGGACACATCAAAGAAGGCACATTCTGAAAAATTAACGTCTTCAAGCAGTTAGAAGGGCACCCAATGATCACATTTTTCTCAACATTACTGTTCAAAATTATATGCATACTTTTTACTAAGCTATAGATCCTCAGTTTGCAGTACTGACACTGGCATTCAGGCAACTATTACTTGTAACTTGTTCCAGCTTTTCGGTGACAGAAGCAGTATTCAGAAGCACAACCTTCTTCAGAGTATGAACTGAAGCCACAAGCATGTATGTAGTAGTTAACTGCAAGCTGTGAGTTGATAGCTCAGTGAAATTGTACTGAATGTCACTAACTGTGCTTACTCAATATAAAATTCACTCTAGTATGTAATTAACAAATTATTTAGTTATCGATTCCAGTGCTGATGTGACCCTAAATGGTTTTGCCCCTACAGTGGTGCTTTTTTGCTGGTTGGCAGTGGAATTGCATATTTCATGGTCTTCTCTTTTGTTACAGGTTTTGGGCTGGATTCGAAATGGAGAGTCAATGTTAAATGCTGGGCTCATCACTGCTAGCTCTTTGCAGGAGGCAGAGCAGTTACAGAGGGAGCATGAGCAGTTTCAACATGCAATAGAGGTAAAAGCACCATTTTAGTGACCATGGCCTTGTATTTACAGTTCTCTGTAAATAGTACTCTTGGATTTGTTCTACAGTATTTGCAGTTTAGGAAAACCTGTTGAATTCATGGCAAAGAGACAAAAACACTTACTGAGAAGCTGGTATTTGTTCTTATTTATTTTGAAGCTGCAGTTCCAGGCGAACATCTTCTCAGTGCCTTTTTGCATCTTTATAAAGTGGTAGCTGTTCAGAGCAATTTTGCTGAAAATAGTGTTTTCATTTGTTATTGCTTTCCTAGAACATAACTTGTAATTCTAAATGTAAAATAAATTAAGAATAAGTGGACCAGAAGCAGCAGTTTTGTGTATTCTGAGATCATCCTTTAATATTTCCATTTTTGTTTGAGAGTAGGTTTCAGTGAAACTTCTATGAGGTGGCGTGTCAATCCCCCTGCCATGCCTTCAAGCTAAACTTATCTGATTGGTCATATTGCTGCAAAAAATAGGCAGGGTTCTTAAGATTGATTGAAGTGCAGTATTATTTGCTTACATGCCCTACTGAGTAACTTAGTGATAATATTAGCAATGTTATGATTGTTTGGGTAGACTATTTTCAGAAGTACTCTGCCTTGCAGTAGCTCTTTGATATTCTTTTCCTGTTTGGTAGAACTTTATGCTTCCCCTCTCTTGATTTTTTTTTTCTTTTAATTAAAGTTTGCACTATATAATTTTGAGGAGCTTTGGTAACTCTGAAGTATAAAAATTATGAGACCTCTAGGTGTTTGTCAGTGTAAGAATAAATTATAAGGAAGCTTAAAAATCTGTGTTTCCTTGGCCATTCTTTACTCAGATATAATAATACTTAGTAGTATTAACCCCTTAATACTTTTATATTATTTGGTTTTAGGCATGTATTTCTCTGCACAGAGAAATACAGTTTAAAAAATTTGCTTACAGTCAATAGACAGTTGTCTTTTTTACTGGTCTGCATCCCTGCACCTTTCTTTGCTCACTACTGATGTGCAAAAGACTGAAGTTAAAGCTGTAAAGATTGCCAGAATAGATTTCTGGCATCATAGAGATGGATTTTTGTCATTATCTTTTTTTCTCACTGTGAAGGGAAAGAAAATCAAACTGAAATTCATAATTGCAACATCATGTAATGCAGCATAGATACATCACGTGTAGCTTAATGCCAGACAGTTACTATTTGCTAAGAACTGCTATTTAATGTTGATTTGATGATAAATCTCTACAGGATTTATTTCCTTTGTATTTGCATAGAGAAGTCACACAGTATTAGACAGTCATTTTTAGTTAATGGGTGTTTGGGCAGAGATAGAAATGTCATTGACACAGTGGAAATGTGAGCCTCTGAGGTTTTCAAGTAAATGAACTGAAGTGCTCCACTGAACTCGTGACTTTTCACCTCTTGTCAGAAAACACATCAAAGTGCCCTGCAGGTTCAGCAGAAGGCAGAGGCAATGCTGCAGGCTAATCACTACGACATGGACATGATCCGGGAGTGTGCAGAGAAGGTCGCTTCCCACTGGCAGCAGCTGATGCTGAAGATGGAGGATCGTCTCAAGCTTGTGAATGCCTCTGTTGCCTTCTATAAAACTTCTGAACAGGTACAGAAATGCAGAAGGTCTGCCTTGGTTAATTCCTCAGTGTGGTATTAAACAGCATTACTTGAAAAACATGGTTGACGATGTTTGGTTATCTTTATTCATTTGATGGCTAGTTCTGGTTTTTGTGTGGGAGTCAGAGAAAAATCAGTTTCGTCTACTTGTCCACAGAAAAGTTTGGGGGGCAGTTGGCAAGGTTGCCTCCTCTGCCACCATTACTTAAGCCCATCCAGAACTATGCAGTTACAGAGGCAGAGAAAGATGAACAATTTTAGGAACCACCTCTGAGCAGTTCCACATAAGCAGGCCAGTGCTTGTAAACCTGCAGCCAAAGTTTGTTGCCTTAAGTCCCAGTCAAAACGTGTCAGAAGCTAGGGGGTATATATAAGGGGTAGATGAGTTTTCTTTCATTGAGGCCTGAATTTTGATTTTTTTGCCTTACTGAATTGGACTTCTTTTTCCTGAAAGGTGTGCAGTGTGCTGGAAAGCCTGGAGCAAGAATATAAGCGAGAAGAAGATTGGTGTGGGGGAGCAGACAAACTGGGCCCCAACTCTGAAACAGATCATGTTACTCCCATGATAAGCAAACACCTGGAGCAGAAGGAAGCGTTTCTGAAGGTAAGGTTGGGGATTTTTTGCAGTCTCCTGTGTCTTGGGAAGCATGCAGGCAAACAGCTGTTACAGTGCTGACATGGCTGTGGAAAGCAACAGTGCCCCTTCCAAACTACAGGTATGTCCCCAACTGCAAAGATGTGGGAAGTGGTGTGTTAACTGCTTCTGACAGTGATTAAGAGAATACTGCCAAGTGCATACAATTGTAGCCAGTTTTATAAATACATTTCCTGTTGAACTTGAGTAGATGTCAGATCTCCCAGTGTGACTGAAGAGGAATTGGAAGTCACTGCTTTGAGCAACTGTCACTCTAGAGAATGCTTGAAGGCTGCTGCTTTGAAAGAGGAGTGAAAGTCACACAGTGCCATTGCTGCCTGTGCATCAGAGCAGCTCTCAGATGTACTGGGACAACAGAACAATACGGAAGGAGGAAACGAGTAGACAGGCATCTGGGATTATTGGGTTTTGTATATAGTCTTCAGATAAATGAAAGATTTTTGTTCCAACTACTGTCCTAGTGAAGAAGATTATTGATCATACTGAATTAAATGTGCAGCATGTGCTTGCAGAGCAGTATAACTAACTTTGTGGTCAAAGGCATTTTCCAGCATCACCATGAAAGACTACTAAGAGAATAAAACTTTTTTGTTAGAAACCTTCTTGTTCTCATTACGCAGATTACAATACTCCAAAACATATTAATGAAACTCAAAGTATACAACCTAGTAGATCCTTCTGCAGCTGGCATGAATTACTAATCTTTGTTTTAAAATGGTATGATAAATTACTTAGTATCTTTGTTACTGTATCAAACCATTCTACCTTCATCTAACCTTTTAAAGTAGCATGCTATAATTTGCATGTTAAAAATGAAGCAGACAGCCCATATGTAGTATTTGATATTTGTTAAGATGAAGATGACAACTGAGCTGAGTGCTTGCAGTAGAGTGGAGAGGACTGAAAGCTCTCAAGGCTTTGCCTTCGTACTTTAAGAGCAGATATTACTATTTTAGCACTTCTGGTTTCACTTCAGCAAAACATTCACTTTTTGTTAAAAGTACTGATGAATGTTTTGGAATATGCAGGTAGCTACAATACCATGTGCACTGTTTACACAGTAAGGAGCTTCAGGTGGCACATGGCACATACACTAAGCAAACTTCTCTGTGAACTCTGAGTCATGCTGAAAGCCCTAGAGCAGATAATTACTTTTCAGGTTCTTCAGAAAAGAGGAATAGCATTTTATTAATTTATTTTATTTATGTTATTTGTATTTGTTTATCTGCTTTGTTTTTTCTCTGCCAGGTAAGTTGTAACTGCTATTTGGCAGAATATCTGTTCTAATAGTTGGCTTGGCTTGGCTTACTTGTAGAAGAGATTTAACGTGCAATGTTTTCCAAAACTGAAGAGGGTAACAAAATGAGAGTTAGGAAGATCTTTAATTTCTTCTGCATGTTTATTTGTGCATCTTCAAATAAACTTCTTCCTCTGACTCTCTAGGCCTGCACACTGGCTCGGAGGAATGCTGATGTCTTCCTGAAATACCTGCACAGGAACAGTGTCAACATGCCAGGGATGGTGACACACATCAAAGCACCTGAACAGCAAGTGAAAAGTAAGGGGCTTCTTGTTCTCTTTCTTATAAGAATGTGATCATCTTGTGCTGTGGTGTGTGTGGGGATAGGGTAGTGAAGCCTGCCCAAGTGGAAAGAGTTCTGTCAGGCTTAACAGGAAACAAATTGCTTGCACACTTTGAAGGTGCTGACAGTCTTCAAAGTCTCTTAGACTCAAATGAAGTTGCTTGGAATTCTTTTATCTGCTACTTACACCTAATCTTCTTTCTATTTGAAACTCAAATGTGTTGCTTTTATTGAGACAATGAGGTAGTAAACTTCCACATGATAATGTTTGGTCTGAAGCCAAATGAGAGCTGATCAGTGTAAGCTTATTCAATGTGTTGGTGTCAGACATTCTGCAAGTTCTCTGGGAGTGCCAGAGTGATATGATGTTATTGGTTGTACGATGCCCTTGAGCTCTTCAGATAGTTTGAATCAGTGTTGAGGAGCTTCATGAAGTATGGGGTAACTTACATCATGTTAAAACTGGATGTGTGGAGAGGTAGTAGCTGAGGTGAAGCTGGAAGGAGCTACTACGTGAGGCTTGGCTTTTGCTAAGATTAATAATACATAGTACAGCTTTAAGGGGTAATCAGCACTCTAGGAAATGGAGAGAGAGAGACCTGTGGGGCTTTGAGGGACAAAAGTGCAAAAATTAATAGGGTATGCATAACTGTTGGGTGTGGTAGCAGAACAGAGATCAGTGAGATTCAGAAGTAAATATTGCATTTTAATAATTTAATTGCCAATCATATTCTGCTCTATGCATTTTGAAACTGAGACTGAACACTCTGGCCACACTACAGTCTCAAAACCAGAGAAGTCTAATTTTTAATTAAATGCTGTTTGCACCTACCCAAAGGGGAGTTATGCATATGATGTAGCCAGACTGAAGAGGAGCATGGCAGTAAGTCCAGAGAAGAAGTTGCAGCAAGAAAAATTCTGAATGGGAGAAAGTGTTACAGCAAGATGGATTAGAACAGGTAGCCCAGAGAGGTAGGAGGATCTGTACCCCTAAGAATTTTTAAAACTTAGTTGAACGAGCCCCTGGAAAACTTTAAAATTATTGGTGCTTTGAAGAGGAGATTAAAACAGATGGCCTGCAGAGGTCACTTCCACACCAATTTATTTGATGACTCTATTAGAAAAGGACATGTTCACTTTAAATACAAGGGGTAAACAGCTCGTTGTTTTTCCTCTGTCCCCAACATTTCTAGAGCTGTACAAAACAAAATCTCAACAGAAATGCCAGCAGTATCAATAACTGAGGCTGACATTTGTCACTTAGTTCTTTCAGTAAGAGACAAAGAAAACAGAGCAGAAGAAAGCAGGAAGTTGTAGCTACCACACTTACTGAATATTAGACAATTTTTTTTTAAATTCAGTTTTGAAATCTGTATATGAACAGTCATTCTAAGAAAGGCAAATGTGCTAATATGAGGAAAGAATAGAAAGATCTCTACTAATGTCCTTAAGAGTAATAATTACATATCAGAACCATAGTGTTATGCATGTTCTGCATACATTTAAAATTCTGGATGAGTGATACATGTTTAGGAAGCAACAAAAAACCAACAAAAATCCCCAAGCAGAAAAAATAAGCTGTTTCCTCCATAAACCATGTAATTTATGCTTCTGAGAATTAAACATGAGTTAAGATAGAGCTAGTGGGGACTTCTTCCTGTTAGGTCTCAATGGTATGGTGGTAGCTGACCAAATGATAAAAATGTTCACTCTGTTCTTCCTGCTCAAATACGCGTATCATGAAAAAAGAGATCTCCTTTCACCTCTTTTCTAAATTGAGAAAAAGAATGGAGTGTTTATTTTAGTGAAAGAAAGGTTACCTATGTTCTAATAGAGCATTACAACTCAGATGTATGCTTGAGACTAGCAGATTGCAATCAGTATATAGTTTATAAATTAATGCCTTAAAAACTTGAATAAGCTTTGAGTTCCTGCAGAACTGCTGAACATTTTTCAAAAACTTCAATCAGTGGCATACTTGATCCTTATTCCCAGATGCAGATTAAGTCACCTGGAAAAGTGATGTCCTAATCTAGGCAAAGTTTAGCTAAGCATATGCTTCATGGGGAACAGGAATTGCAGTGGTACTGAACTCTGAGAGGTGTCCTTATGTCCCTGCACACCAGTGTAAATAGTTTCTGTGATATGCAGTTAAGGGTGCCCAATCATTGTCTCACTTAGGAAGGAACTGTGGCCTAAAACTGTGCTGTGGCAGGTGGATTGAGTTGGTGACAATTCCTGTAAGCTCAGAGATGAGAGCATCTTCATCTTTGTTTCTGCTGCTAAGGTTGTGTGCATCTGCATTACCTGTCTCTGCTGTGCGGGCTGCGACTGAGCGTGGTTCAGGAACTTGTCCAATGGTGCTTATATTTTTAGATAGGTTGATAGAAGGATGCCTAGAGACAGCTGAGAGCTCTTTGAGCCTGGAGAAGAAGCTGAAAATTTAGGGAACAATACTAACAAATGTTGGAATCAAAGTAAATAACAGCAACAGGGACTGTAGTTCAGGTGGCTTGAGATACAGAGATGCTTTTCCAAACCTAGCATTAAATATTGATGTTTTATAACTTCCTTAGAGTAGTTTATAGAATATTTTTTCTTCTATTTACCAATCCAAGAAATTAATGGCACTAACACTAACAGTGCCCAGCCAAATATCTCTCACTGCCTTGCCATCTGTATCATGTCCTCACAGAACAAATGCTGTTCCAATTTGCTAAATTCACCTCACTTGCTCTTTGTCAGAACTACTTTGCTTGCGTCACTATCAAGATGTCTCTTTTTATATGGCGTGTCCAGTTGGGTGTGTTGCATTGTATAATGATAATTGTGTCCCACCCACTCCACCTCCCTGCCTCCTGAAATCTGGCATGTACTCTGAGGAAGTGTTTTGGAGGTGACATAAGGCAGAAATTAAACTGAGAAAGCAGGGGAGGCTCACAGCAGATCAGCTCATAGCTTGGCATATGAGGGGAGCCTGACCAGCAAAAAATAAAACCTTGGCCACAGTGATCACATTCCAACCAAAAGCAAATTCTGGGTGATCTCAGCACCCTGTGGCAAGTGGGAATATGGTGCTTGTAAGCAGAAGGATGTTGGCAGTGATGCAGACAGGTTTCATAATCCTCAGGGAGGCTGTGACAAGTGGTTGTGTTTGATCCCAGATCTCTGATGAGGTAGACAAAGATGCATTTCCCCTCAGGCTTCCTGTTATTTGAGCTTCTCTTGTCAAACTGCTTCTTGGAGTTGTTAGCTTTTGGGATGCAAAGCATGGTGAACTTGCACAGTGGGAGAGCAGAATGCAGAGACCATAAGACACCTAGCACCTGATAGCCTTCACTTGTAATTATGGATCATGGAAAATAGTCAGCTCTGGGTATAAGTAGAAAAGAAAGTAGTGTTGGTGTAAAAAGAATTTTTTGTGGTCTCCTCTGCTTCTGCTGGACCTCTCTTTTGGCTCTGTGCAATTGCAACAGAATCACCTGGTAGAGACATTGAGTGTCCCCATTCCCCTCTGCTCAGCTTGCCCTCCCAGGTTTACAGTAGCTACAAAGTCAAGTAGGGCTGCTGCTCTGGAAGCAGCTGTGGGTAAAGCGAGCTTCACAGGAAACTGCTAGTATTTCTTTTTTTGATGGAAAAAACATAAGCATTAAAGAAGCAGAATTCAGGTAAGGTCTTCTGCATATTGAAAGCACAAGGTCTTTGAGAGGAAGAATTTAGAAGGTTGGACATGTGGGATTTGGATGTGAGTTTTCTGATACTCAGGAATAACAAACTGTGGAGTTAATTATTTCATTACCTGGAAGTTCTGTCAAGGTTCAGTGAACATTCATATTTAACAAGTCAGCTTACTTATGCTGCATTTGATCTTGTGGTGACCTGAGGTTGTACATTTGTTCATCTGTATTTAATCATTAAAATACTTTATAGGAGACTAATTAAATTTATAGGAGACTAATATTTAAAATTCCCTTTTTTTACTTCAATATAATATGTTAAGCATGTTGTGATTACTTTTGTATGCTTATTCTTTCTGAGGAAACCCCATCAAGTGCCATCTTTATCAGCCTACATTTTCAATCCTGCTATAAGCAGTGGCAGTCCCCTTGTCAAAAATATTAGAGAAGAAAAAAAATATGTCAGTAGTAAGTTTTAATTGCATCTCTAGTTTCTTTAACCAGTAGTTCTGTAAGTAATGAAAAAGAAACATTCCGTGTTTCATTAGTATCAGGAAAAAAAGCAAAACAAAGACTAACAGAGCAAGTGTATAGTAAATTCTACAATGTTAAGTACTTTATTCTCCTGATTTTAATGTGATATTTTAAATTTGATTGTCATAAGTTCTGTTTTCATTTCTTCAGATATCTTGAATGAACTCTTCCAGAGGGAGAATCGCGTGCTGCATTATTGGACCATGCGTAAAAGGCGTCTTGATCAATGCCAGCAGTATGTGGTGTTTGAAAGAAGTGCCAAACAGGTGAGGGTTTCATATAAAAATCCTCTTTGGTATGATCAGGGGTTCACTGTCTTCTCACAGTAATAAATTTGTCACTCACTTCAATATTTCAAATGGTTAAAACATGAGAAGGGTTGAAGTAGCAAATTGAATTCTTTGCCTCCCCTTTAATACAGAACACCTAAATGTGGTGAGGCAGTGTGTCTGTAGCTGTTGTAGCTTAGAGGTGATGTTTTGCTTCTGCCAGCTTCATCTGGTACTGGCAAATCTAATTTCTGCAAGCTTGTGTTTGACAAATTGTTATGCTTGTTAACTTTTACACACACACCTAATTTGTCTGGGGAAATTACAGGCAGCAGCATTTTTCTCAGATGTTGGAGGAAAAATATCTAATTAAGTTGATTGGCAGTTCTAGAAATCTGACAAGTTGGATAACTCATTAAACAATAATAACTGAATTACTTCGGTTTTTCAATTCTTTGTATTTGGTTTCATGGTTTCCTGCATGATAGATCCACCTCTTGGTATTTTGTTTAATTTATCAGTCTGAAAAGAACTATTAAGTAACTACCTCACACACAAAAAAAATTTCCTTCACTAATCAAAACACGTGCCTTAAAAATAAGTAGGAGGTTCAAGGCAGAAGTGGTAAGTAGATTGATCTGTGATGGTTTTTTAGTTGTTGGGTTTTTTATAAACTGGTTATAAGACAAAGAAAGGAAGCTATCTGTTCCTGTTCTGTGGAAAATGACACAATGCCCATAGTGCATTGTGCATAGTAAAATATAGTCAGATCCTCTTGAAAGGGCTCAAAAACCTAATCTCTTATTTCTTTCTGACAGCTAATTTAGACAAAAGTTTGGTCTGGTTTGCTGTCTTGAAGGAATTCTCAAGTCTTCTTTTTGTGCTTTCACAAAGAATTAATGCAAGATGCATCTTGGAGTGAATTTGAAGTCTGATACTTCTTTAAAACAACACCACCATCCCTTCCCTGCCCCCCTGTCCTTGCCTCCCTGCCCTACTTTTGAATAACCTTAATTTAAACCTCTGACAAGCACATGATCTACTTGTTTTTGTATAGAGATTACTAACCAACAGTCAAACACTGGAGATAAAGATCTGTCAGCATTTTCATTGTAAATCCCATTTTTCAGCAATCACCAGTTCAGTCATCAAAAAGCAAAGCGAACCAAACCATATATAGGACTCCACAGTGATTAGCAAAAAAATGGAAGTGTTGCTGTCTTCATTTAGATGTCTTTCTGGAATTTTGAAGAACCTGTTCTTTGTGCTTACAGAACTTGATGCTCTTGTGATGGAAAAGATACCATAGCAGTTTGCAAGAACAGTGTTAGATTCTCAAATCCTGTCAGACTTAAGGGCTTACCTGATCCCTGAACTGATTCCTCCAGTTCTTGTAGTGATACCTCAGGTGAAATAAAAGCTGATCTAAACTGTAGGAATTAAGATCAAGTTGAACTTTCTGTCATATTGTGCCTCTAAAGAGCTGCCAGCAAGTTATGAAAAAACAGCAGTTTCGTTCTCATGGCAGGGGGATTGGAACTACATGATCTTTAAGTTCTCTCCCCATCAAAACCATTCTGTGATTTGGGGAAGGGCAGCTTTTTGTTTATCATTCATTCCAGCATTATGTAATAAACCCACTAAAAAAAGGCAGAGAATTATTAAATGTTGTTGGTAATATGGTAGCCATGCTGTGCCTGTCCATATCAATCTTCACTTGCAAAGATTGACATTAGAATGACAACATGTGTCATAGAGGTGGTTGATTGCAATGTTGCTTTTTTGACAGAAGTCCAACAGTTGTTCCATCAGCAACTTTTAAAAGTATAGGCCCCTCTCCTCAGGCTTGCACCTGCATCAGTATGTGACTAAGAAAATGGCATCCTGACATTCACATTCGGTGTTGAATTTTGAAGGCTTTTTACTCATTTCAGGTTTTGCACCAAGAAGGAAAAACGTTTGAAGTGGAAGTAAGGGAATCAACGTTGTTTCATCACGGCTTTGATGAGTTTAAATCATTGGTGAAATTATAGTACAGAAAGTGCCTTTTCTGATTCAGTGTAAGGATATGTGTGAAACATACATATCTACTGTCCACCAGGATAAATCTTCTCCTGTTTTTGCTAGTGTGGATAGGTAATGCTCATAATTTCAGGTTATCCTTTCAGGGGAAGAGTAAACACCCACCAGCATTCTACTACTTTTTCTCTTGGGTTATTAAATTTTTGCCTCATGTTCTGTGTATTTACTGAAGATGCAGAAGCTACACATGCATTTAGTAATAAGGTGGTTCTAAGCAAGCTGTGTAAAACTCTTTGAACATCTGCTATTGGCTTTTTCAGAGACGAGAAGTTTCTAAGCTCCCATCCCTCTGCCTGCTGCTGTAGGAAGCCTGTATTGAGAGCTGCAGAACAGTTGTCAGTTAGATTTTCACTGTTATGCAGCAGTTGGAGACAGCTCTTGCTTTTTTCAGGAGCCAGAGATTCCTCACGACCACTGAGTTATGCTTTAAAGGGCAGCAGGTAATGTGGGTAAATCATAGATAATTACCAAGATCAGCATTTTTCATAATAGTGAGCAAATGAAGTGTCAGGATGTGGAAGGGAAACAGTCTTCGTTTGCAGTTCTTTGTTCTTGTTTTTTTCTACTTATACATACATAAATTGATTTAACTGAGACATCTCACTGTTCCTTCTCTGCTGCAGGTTTTATTTCCAGGAGCACAGACCACACTTTGTGAGGTTGGAATACATGTCAGCAAAAGAGTGAAGTGATAGTTAAATCTTACATGCTTGGAAAGTTTAGTCTGTACACTTGGTGGTCTTATGCACATTTTTACATGTTGGAACTTGTATATTTCTGAGCATGGCTGTCCCATGTGGGACAAAAAAGTGATTTTTTTTCTTTTTCCTCAGCTGAGGAAAGTATACTATCAAACTGTGAACACAATTAAAAACCTTTCAATAGTGGACTGCTGTAGTCCTGCAGTAGTGGACTTCCCTGAAGTGTTTGGATTCATACATCATTTTTAATTCTCTAAGCATTGCTTCATAGTCTTTGCGAATTATTTCAGAGTTATGAACTATTTGGTATGGTAGAGGTATTAGATGAATGCCACAAGTGACAAAGAGTAAAATTCACCTGTGGCCAAACTGTGTGTGTGAAATATTGATTACAGATGGTTTTTGTTGGCAAAAATATATTGTCTTTTCTCTTACTTTTCTTCATTGATGCTTTATTTAGGCTCTGGAATGGATTCATGACAATGGAGAGTTTTATTTATCCACGCATACTTCCACTGGTTCCAGTATCCAGCACACTCAAGAGTTGTTAAAAGAACATGAGGAGTTTCAGATCACAGCAAAGGTAAAATACATTTTAAAAATTATCACAAAATACTTAGAGTTGGAAGGAACCCCTGGAGATAAGTTAGTCCAATCATCCTGCCATGACAGGGTCTCCAAGAGCAAGTTACACAGGAATGTGTCCAGGTGGGTTTTGAATGTCTTCCCAGAGGGAGAGACTCCATGGCATCCCTCAGCAGCCTGTTCAGTGCCCTGCCACCCTCAGTGCAAAGAAGTTCTTGCTCATGTTGAGATGGAACTTCTTGTGTTTTAGTTCATGGCTTTTAGTCCTTGTCCTGTCACTTGGGCATCACTGAAGAGTCTGGCACCATCCCCCTGATAGCTTCCTTTGAGATATTTTATATTTTGGTGAGATCCTCTCTCACTCTTCTCCAGACTAAACTGGCCCAGCTCCCTCAGTCTCTCCTTGTTAGAGAGGTGCTCCAGACCCCAAACTATCTTTGTGTTGCTCTGCTGGACCCTCTCCATTGGCTCCTTGTCTTTCCTGAACTGTGGAAACCAGAATTGAACACAATACTCCAGATGTGGCCTCATTAGGGGCATGTAGAGTGTCAGGATCACATCTCTCAACCTGTGGCCACATCTTCCTGATGCACCCCAGGATACTGTTGGCCCTCCTGGCCACAAGGGCTCTTCTGGCTCATCCACCAAGGCTCCCAACTCCTTCTCCACAGAGCTGTTACCTAGTAGATCAGCCAACAACCTCTGCTGGTACTGGGGTTATTTCCCAGCTGGTACTGGGGTTATTTCCCCCAGGTTGCAGGACCCTGCCTTAGCCCTTGTTGAACTTCAGTAGATTCCTCTGCCCAACTCCCCAGCCTATTGAGCTCCCACTGAGGCAGCACAGCTGGTCCCCCCAGTTTCATATCATCAGCAAACTTGCTGAGGGTGCATCATGTTCCTTCTCCAGCTTGTCGATAACCAAGTTGAGTAGAAGTTGAATTATGAAAGATTTGAAACAAAATAAAACAACTGAATTCCCCTTGCCCATCAAAAATTCCCCCAAGGATGTGTCCATCAAGATCTGTTTACTTGCAGTGGCTTTCTGTCTGTATTTCTGCTGAGAATAGAATAAAACAGAAGATAATGAGCAGATATTCATTGTTACTGGAGCTCCATGAGCCCCATGTGCTGTTGATTTCTCATGACAAAATCGTGGTGAGCTAGCTTAAAAATGTTTTCAATACCTACAAACATTTCAGGGCCTTTGATTTCCACTTCCATATCTTCATGATTGTGGATTACTGAATGTTCATTTAGAATATAAAATACAACAAGCTGTATTATTATTCTGATTATTACTTAGAAGATATTAGAGAAACTAAAGCTTTATTTGTTAGGTAACTGATTTTATTAAAGTATTCTGTGCTTCTCCTGTAAAACTTTTTGAGTCAGGCAGCAGAATGTTATTCTGCATCTCTGGAGGCCTTTACAGGCCTGAGGCTGTAAAGTTGTCACTCCTGAGGCTTTCCAGTTTTCACATGTGAAAGACAGACAACCATTGCATGACTGAACTACCTGAGTTTGTAGCCTTGTCTGTCTCTGGGTTTTTTTGCCACCTGTTCAAACTGTCACCCATTTCTCCCTCTGGTTCTCCAACCTTCATAGAGAAATAATCAAGCCCACGAAAGTAAGCAAGTGTTCATTTGTCTGAAGGATCACCTCAGAAGAGACTTGGAGATGGTCAAGGGACATGTGGGAAGGGAGAAAAGAAAATCCAGAAAGAACAGAGATCACTTTTGTTGTTCAAACCTGGTTTTTCTCCTGTTTGATCTTTGCTACAGACTTTGATTTCCTGGATCCCTTCCAGTTGCAGAGCACCACTACTCCTCCTTATTCCCTCTTTCAGCCTGCAGATGACATTGGTGCCCCTTTTGAAAGGATGTTGTTTGTGTCACTCCCTTGGCATTTTGTTACCTGTTGGGAGGATATGTTAGCCCTTGCTAATTCCATACTGAAAAGAAATGCTTGGATGAGGGACCATTAGGGAACAAAAAGAATTAAGAGAGTGCAAACTTGATTTTTTCAATATTGTAAGAGTCAAGTTTTTATTGACTATTTTGCTTAACTCCCTGCTAGTAAGGGCCCTGACTGTACAATCCACTCATGACAGAGAGGTCGATGTGTAAACTCATCCATTGTGGATGATTTATGATTTACATGAAAGAAACTGCATAATCTTAAGCAGACTGTCATTTGGGAAAAGCATTTAGAGATTTTGTGATAACTACTTGTTTCTCTTAGTTTCTCTCAAACAGTTCTGTGCCAACAAAGCATAATATAGAAAGGATTTAAAGAATTCAGTCTTCATCTGTTAAAGACTAAAGCATATAACAAGACTTACTTCCATCTCAGCATTTCTGTGGTGCCTAAAGGAGGTAGATTCTTGGGACTGTGGGCCAGGTCTAATATCAGTGCTTCAGTGGTAATAAAAAAGTACCCTCTTTGGCATCAAAATGCCTTTGTATTGATGCAAGAGTACTCATGCTGAAAGGCTTGCCTAGCAGAATTTAATCTCTGAGTCAGATATGAAGGACATATTTCAAAGAAAAATAAACAATCTGCTTCTAGTCATGTAATAATAAAGCCTAGGGAAACCTACATTAATCTTGTGCTATTTTTAATAAGTAAAAGGTATCTGTTTAAAGGAGTTCTGGGAAGAGAGGGGAAGAAGGTAGCTTCTTCAATTCCTTCTCTAATTGCACTTAGTAGCAGTTAAGCAAAATGACCCCCTGCATGACAGGTAGAGCTTGTAACTGTTCAATATTTTCCTGTTTTCATAGCAAACCAAAGAGAGGGTGAAGTTGTTGATACAGCTGGCTGATGGCTTTTGTGAAAAAGGGCATGCTCATGCAACAGAGATTAAAAAATGTGTCACAGCAGTGGATAAGAGGTACAGAGACTTTTCCCTGCGCATGGAGAAATACAGGACCTCTTTAGAGAAAGCTCTGGGTATTTCCTCAGATTCCAATAAATCGGTAAGAGAAATTTGAGTGTGATGACAGACAAACAGGCTTTACTTGCATTTGATTTAGCTACCTTTTTCTCCTATCTCCTTCCTTAATCAATTCTTCCTTTCTTTAATAAAGAGCAAAAGCTTGCAGCTGGATATAATCCCAGCCAGTGTCCCTGGGTCAGAGGTGAAACTGCGCGATGCTGCTCATGAGCTTAACGAAGAAAAACGAAAGTCTGCCCGCAGGAAAGAGTAATACATTTATTTATTTTTAATCAATGAGAATGCATAAATCAGTCCTGATAATAAAACAACTGTCATGGCTTGTCTGGCAGCTTAGAAATTATATAAATGGTAAAAAGAGAGTGGTAGTACTCAGTATCTCTTATTGCCGTTTAGTCACATGCTTGTTCTCGTAGATAATTCTAGTATGACGGAATCTTAAACTTTCAAAACTGTTAGACTTCTTTTAACATGCTTTTTTCCTTTTTAGAAATAATGTGAAATAAATGTGTAAGGGGAGGAAGCAACACAAAAGTTAAATGACTGTAGCAGTGAAAAGTGTTAGAGAAAAAATTGCATCTCCTTCCCCATTTCTTTTTGTCCTGGTTAGTAATGGAGGGTTGTTACCTTGTAGGTTTCCTTCCTCTGTTGTCTCTCTTCACATTTCACTTCTCAGATTTTTCTTGCTGCAGTGGAAAAGCAAAAGCTGATGAGGAGAACGATGTGTTCTGGTTATTATGTGTTCACAGTGGTCTAACAGACTGAGATTTGATTATTCTTTCTGTTGTCACCTAAGGTTCATTATGGCTGAGCTGATTCAGACAGAAAAGGCTTACGTAAGAGACCTCCGGGAATGCATGGATGTGAGTTTTCTTTTTTTCACTAATCTTTGAAGGCAGGATTCAATCCATTGCTCTGTGGGTTTTTTTCTGGTTTTAACAGCTGAGCATGATTGTTTTGGAATCATAGGATCAACTTAAGTAATCTTACTGCCATTAAGAAGAAACTTAGAATTACATCTGATAACAGGCATTTCAGAATTCACCCTATATGTTTTGGTTTTGTTGGTATGAATTTCAGTATTTGTTCCTTTCCCAATTCATAATCGTATGTGGGGTTTTTGTTTTAGAGAGAGGAGGGAAAAAGGAGGGGTTTACTTTATTTGCTTTGCTAGCAATAGGGGAGAGCTTGTGCTAATTCTCTTATTATCTGTATCACATGTTCTGCTACTAGCTGACTTTTTGAATAGAAATTCAGTGAGATTCCATGGAAAAGTGCCCAGTAATTGTTATGCTGAAGCAACTAATGTTCAGTGGTAGCTGTTGCACAAAGCATGAACTTCTAGACTGCAGACATGACCTTGATAAGGAATATCCTGAAGCATTAGAGGTTGTCAAGAACACTATGCATTTTAAATTATGAAGTCTCAGGGACTATGTTAAATTGTCAGTTTTAGAACTTGTATTTCACTGTCAAAATCACAAGGTATATTTGACACAACAGGCACTGTCACAATTGGAGATGATGCTGCTGTATGATCTTTGCCTAGTTTCTAGTTTAATGCATACTTGCAAATACCTGGCTGTGTCTGTTGGGAGTTTATCATCACTTTTCACACATCTTTTTTTTTTTTTTTTTTTTTCTGGGCAGACATATCTATGGGAAATGACAAGTGGAGTTGAGGAGATCCCACCTGGTATTGTAAACAAAGAACACATTATCTTTGGAAACATGCAGGAAATTTATGAGTTCCACAATAAGTGAGTGACTTATCTTCCATTTCCATACTACTGCTAAATCCAAATGATGACCTGAGGGATTTCCTAGTAAAAATACTGTGTATTTCAATAATAAATGCTTTCCCATCAAAAAATGGGAAGATTTTCCTCTTGCATTGCTAAATTATTTCAGCTGTTGCTTTTTGCAGAGAGATAGGTACACCATTAGAAATTATATTTTTCAGTCTCAGGTATCTTTCAGCTATAAGAGATTTTTTGGATACACCAAAATTTTGTTGTAGGTTTATCAGTTGTTCTAAAGAGATGAAAACCATTGAACTCAATAAAATACAAACATAGCACAAACATTAGGGCTCTGTCATTGTTTCAGAGCCCTCATTCCCAATATCCAAGGGCAGCTGTTAGTGAGAAAGAGTAGGGCTCCCAGCTCTTCTTGGCTCTTCTTAGCTTCTGTGGAGATGCTCCAGCATCATTACATTTACTGGAGTACAGAGCATAAAAGAGACTTGTCCACTCCATTTCTTCTAAATTGAGTGGTTCTTAGGGCGATCTGTGTACAGAAGTCCTGCTCTGAATCTTCCTTCTTTGTTATTTCCTGGTTATGTACACATTTGTATTGGGTTATGATTCTTAGTAATAAAATATACCTAGTGTATTCCAGACCCCGATTTTACAGTTCTTTGTATGCTTTGTGTTAACTTGAGAACTTCAGTATCCAAAAAGCAAGGTTTGGGATTTTTTAATTTGAGATGAAGGTTTTTCTTGAAACTGAAAACAGTAGGAAACCTTCTTGGTAGAGAACAACAGCAATTACTAAATTTTTGTGTATTCTTATGTATTAACTGCATGTCTACTGGTTCAATTTCTGATCTTCTCATCAGAATTTTTACTGAATTATATTTTATATTAGTACTTTTATTACACATTTTTATGTATTTGTTATCTTTATTTCCTTAGCTCATACATTTGGTATTACAGAAAGTTTTCTAATGGCCTTTGTCCACAGACAATAGATCCAAACAAGCTGCTGTAATAAACATGTTTCATATGCCTTGTACTACTTGTTTCTTTTTTACCCACAGTATATTTCTCAAGGAGTTGGAAAAATATGAACAGTTACCAGAAGATGTTGGACATTGCTTCGTGACTTGGGTAATGAAATCAGACTTACATTTAGAAGTAGAGGGGGGGATAGGATGCATGACAGGCCAAATGCTTGCTCTCCAATCCCTTTTTGATTTGTTAAAGTACCTCTTCCTGCAAATTAAAGTAAAACGTGTGTATCTTTAACTGAGAAAACAAAAATTAGGGCACTCCTGTCAGATGCCAGTCCTTAGCTGCTCTTGAAGTGTATGCAAGTGTATGCCTAAACCTGTGTGCAGATTTGGTTTGTCTTAGTTTGAATAACCTATTTTTATATACATTGCTGCTGTTTTCAGTCTTACTTGCCTGATGTGTATTTTTACACTGCCAGTTTGAGTGGAAATGTAATTCTGTACAGCTTGGTTTCTTGATAGGGAAGATTGGCTCTCTGATAATGACATAAAAACTTTGAGAGAGGAATGATCTCTCTGATAACCTTTGTAAATTTGCATTTTGTTCTGCAGGCAGACAAATTCCAGATGTACGTTACCTACTGTAAAAATAAGCCAGATTCCACTCAGCTGATATTAGAACATGCAGGAGCATACTTTGATGTAAGTACATCGTGTCCCTCTTAAAAGCTAAAACACCATGGCGGTTAGACTCATATTTGTGGTTCTGCTGAGTGCCTAATTTGTTAAGAAAATGCAAGTTTCCTGTTAATAATGCCGCAATTTATTAAGCTGTCAGCTCAAGAAAATCAATCCTGTGTCTCACATGGTTACTTCCATTGCTCAGTTGGTGTTACAGAGCTGTCAAATCAGATGTGAAAAGCCGCTGTCAAATACCAGAGCGGTTCAGAACTGGAAGCAGGTTCTGGCAACAACAACCGAGACATGAATCTTCAGCTCACACAGGCACATCCTGCAAATCTTAGCATTTTGATGTGCTTAGTTTGCATTGTATGTAATAGAGATAGAAATGTTGGTTGGGTTTTTGCAGCGCTTTTAAACTGTAATTGCATGTAGTGGTAATTCAGTTCACTGCTGTTCTTCAGAAGGGCTGAACCTCCTTATTCAGTCCCACGGTTCCATGGCCTATATGTGTAATATTCTGCATAGAAAAGCAACAAAAATGTAGGTGTGTTAGAAGTTATAGGGAGGAATTTTGGCCATGGTGACTGAGTTTTGGTTGGACATGTATTAATAGATTATTCAATTAGAGTGCTGTCTTTTTCCTCTTTTTCTATTTTTTCCCCACTAGCTGTATGATGACACCACAAATTTTTTATGATGACACCACAATTTTTTTTAGAATTGTTTGTACAAGGAGAGGGAAGTAGAGGAAATCCCTGAAGCCCTTGAGGTTAATCTCAAAAGTCTAATCACTGAGGAAATGAGGTTTCTAAACATTGTAAGGCAAAGCCTTTCTGTGAAGCCTCTGTTAAGTTTTCAGTGTTTGAAGAAGAGCCAGGTGAGTTACAGAAAATCAGGTAGATATGACCAAAAAAATTCCAAGAAAAATTTAGTAAATACCATTAAAACAATAACACAGGGCTCTAATAAAATTGCTAGAAATAAATTCTTGCCACCACCTCCTTTGATCCATCTGTTTTACCACTAGATCCAGAGCTCTCCATCCCCTAATTCACCTAAAGTATATTAGGAGTGTGAAGACTTAATTCTGTGCACAGAGACCTTGAGCGCTTCCACTGATGACACCACTGGTCCGTGTGAAAATATCGTGTGTATCCCATTTTGGGAATTTCTGATACTGTAACCATGGTTTGGTGGCACATAGCTGTGGGGCATAACTTGCTGTTTGAAATTGCTTGGTTGAAATAGATCCAATAGATCCAATAAATGGCAGATCCTATCAGTGGAGTTCAGCCTCAGTCAGTACCTGAAATCTGTAATCATCCCAGTTAGCTATCCGATAATTCTGGTTTCCACCTTTAGCTTCGTGCATGTCATTTCTTTTTCTATTTGTAAGTGGCTGCTTTCTTTTCAAGCGCTTGGTAACCTCAGAAACTGTTACTCGGTGCTCCCTCTGGTGGGGGATGAGGCCGTCTGTGGCTGTTGGCACTGAAATAGCAGGGGATGCTGAGAAACCTCTACCTCAGCCTTCCCGGCACTCCTGCCTCTTCCCTGCAACACTGGAATGTCAGGGTTTTTCCTCTCTTGCAAGTAGCAAAATAAGTACAGATCTTAATGGTTTTTTAAAAAAGGTGTTGCCACACATTTTGTGTCTCTAATTGTTGCTCTTTGTATTTAAGTTTGTTGAAATGTTTCACAGGTACTCTTGGAGTCTTGGAGGTAATCATCTTCTGTTTGTACCAAGTGAGCAGGCAGATGCACAGCATTACACATATTCATTGTGCCTGGAATATCTGTTTATCCTGTTTTTTTGGGTTTTTTTCCTGCTAAAATAGAATTGGTAGTTAATGTATATTATTTCATAATCCCTCAAAACAGTTTATATCTGAGTGTTGGTGCTTACAGTCCTCAAATGTTTGCTTTTTCCATGTAGGAGATACAACAACGACATGGACTGGCCAACTCTATCTCCTCTTACCTTATCAAACCTGTCCAAAGGATAACAAAATACCAGCTTCTTTTAAAGGTCAGTATTTATTCAGTTCTTCATCTGATTCTGCTGGTCATAAGAAGGCAAAGCTCTTGCTAAAAGCACGAGGGTTGTTCTACTCTACTCTCTGAGACTCCGGCATCCTGGGCAGCCACAAATGCTGCTGCAAAATTTCAACTGAAAATGGTAAAGAAGGCATAAACAAGCAGCTTTTTGTCCAGATTTCTGTAAACCAAAAAAAAAAGATTCCTGAATACTGATGTTTACTTAGAAAATATAATTTGCATGTGCAGGGTAAAAAAGTAATTCATGGCTATAGGACTATAAAACCATTTTTGTAATGGTTTCTACACCAGATTTTGGCAAGACATTAGCTATGCTGATGTATTAAATACTGTAAAATAGATATTTATATATAAAACTGTAATACAGATATCTATGAGGCATTTAAATATTTGTGTGTATTGGTAAATATTTACACATAGTGACTGTACCTGTAGAGCTGTTGCACAAAGAGTTTATTTGTAATGTTGCCTGGAAATGTCAAGTAAATAGTAGCTGCCAAATAAGCACAACTTTTGGAACCCTGTAGTTAGAACTTTCACTCAGTGGACAGATGTCTTCTCAAGTGGGCAGCAGTGTTCTTGGACTGTGCTGGCTCACTGTTAGGTGGCAATGCTTGTTTTGTTGTAGCAGCCTACAAAGGCGCTGTAACTGATCTGTGTCTCCCCTTTCTACTTGAGAACAGCCATGTGTAATTGCTTTTGACATTTCTGAAAAACATTAGGGGCTATTTCAGGTCACTTTGGGTGGAAACAAATCTGTCATTTTTGACTGAAGTTTAGTGTCTGTTTTCCACTTGCAAGGAGTTGCAACTTAGTCAAGTTATTATTACAGAAATACTCTGGGCTGTGCTGTTTCAGAAATTCTGAGGAATTAATTCCAACAATTATTATTATTTTTAATAATTAAATGCTTTTGCCTGCAACTTTATGGAAGTGGTGGGATACATTGGTTTCACCAGTGTTTGCAGAGCCAGATGTCTTTGCTGTGTAGTAAAATGGATTTTGTCTGGTGGTTCCTGGGTTGTCTTTCCTTTTTGTTTTTCTGTAATAGGAGGGAGACATATAGCATATATAGCATAGTGCAATTAAGAGCCTAAAACTTGAATGATAAATGAAACATTTTATAGTTCCGGAAGTTTCACTTGTTTTTCCAAATGTAATTGAAGCTGCTCCTCTTCTGTGCCTCTGAGAGATACTTAAGTTACTCTCACTGTTTTGTGGAGTTGTCATGCAAAATTTAGGTGGAATCATGTAGTGTTTTGCTGTGATAGTGGTATTGGCAGTTGAATAAAAATACTGTAATGATTATAATATTAGAAATCACATGGCTTTCTCTTTGAAAAGGGGAAAAGGAATTTAACCTGAGGGAATGAATTAAGTGGGCTTTTTGAATAACAGAAGTAACATAATATGCCCTTTTGGTTATGTAACCTACATTTTATCTTGTTACTGTTCAAATGCTTGAAAGCTGCCAGGAAATTTGAATACCAGCTGAGACACTGTTACATTAAATCTCTGGGATGTTGAATGGCCAGAGAACTGTATGCCCTAAATTCTGCTACAGCACTTCAGCATGTTAAATTCTCTAACTTCTGTCCATTAGTTAATGCTGGTTTGTATTGAAAAGTTTTGCCTGTAGGTTGCTTTTAACTGTATGAACACAGAATAGTCATTCATTAAATACTTAGAATAAAACAGTGTAATCTTTATCAGCAGTTGTACAGAGCAGGTGTTTGGTGCAGTGAAGCAATGGCTGACATGGGAGGTGGGAAGGGTCCTTTTGTGCTGTCCTGCTTTCCTCCATCTTCATGACTTGGCAGCTGCATTGTTCTGGGCCTTGATGTAGCACAGCATCTGATAACTGTGTCAAGAAGTTCAAAAATATTTTACGTGTCAAAAATGATTTTTGGTTTGTTAGAACTACTCTTTGGTTGTCTGTCATATTAGTGTAAAAACAAATGATAGAGAGTTGTTTTGTCTGCTTGTCTTTTGCAGGAGCTGCTCACGTGCTGTGAAGAAGGTAAAGGTGAGATTAAGGATGGCCTGGAGGTGATGCTTAGTGTGCCAAAGCGAGCCAATGATGCCATGCACCTCAGCATGCTGGAAGGTAGGATTCAAGCTGCCTTTCCAATTCATTGTGTGCTGCAGATGAACTTGGTTTTGTGAACGTGTTCTTTTCTCAGGGTTTGTATTTTTCATACCATTTTGGCAGGGCTATATGAGATGAAAATTTATTTAGGAAAATAATTTGTTACAGTCAGGTGCTAGAGTTTTAGTAATTCTTGAAGTGTTCTTTCACCTTGATCTATAGTTGTGCCACTGCAGATTTGAAAAACCTGTAGGCTAATGAAGTAGTCCACTACTCACCCAAAATGCAATAGATGACTGGTCAGATAGACTGGCTTTGGCTGCATTCTCCAATCTTAGTTTCTTTGTATGAGGCTCATAAGTGTGTTATTGGTGATTTTGCTGATTTATGTATCAAATAATTGTCTCCAAGAAGTTTGTCTTTTCCACATCTGTTTGCTGCCTGTTCCATAACAGACTTCTGGTTGAAATCTATCTTCTGGCAGTAAAATGTCAGCATAAGCCAATTTAGCTCAAGCCTAAGCCAGCATAATCATGTTCATGGCAGACAGTGAAGGTTGGATGTAATGCATCTATGTGCTTAGAACAACTCCGTGCTGAAATCTGTTTTGCAATTGGCAAGTTATCATTTATAATGGTGCAATCATACATTTAGTAATAAAAATGTTTTTCTTGGGTGTTTAAAGTTTCTGAGAAAAAAAAAGCAGGGCCCTCTTACCCTACAGTTGCTGAATAAATACTTTTAAGTGCTTCTAATCAATATGCCTTTTCTTCCCTTCTGCCTTCTGGGAGTAGCATGTAGCTTGTTGTGGAATTTCCAGTATTGTGCTAGATACTGTAAAATGTGCCTTGGTTTGACATGTGATCCTTGATCATATAAATGTTCCAAATCACCTCTGTTCCTTGATTTTAAGCAGTAAGGATGTCAGGCAGTTTACAGGATCACTTCCAAATGCTTGTTCAGGAGGTGGTCTTAGTATAAAGGCTGACCAGCTTTGGTAATAATCTTTTGAGACTGGGAATGTGACTCTGGAGAATATCCTAATCTTTCACATAAGTTGGTTTTACAACAAATCGTGCGTGCATTGTTGAGTCATCCCATGTTGGACAAATATAGTGAGTGAGCACATTTCCTCTTTATGTCTCCGGAGGATTTTGAATGAACATCCTGGCGGAACTTGCCTCTGATCCTCTCCATACTCTTGCCTTGTTCAGAACATGAGAACTGGCAAGCAGCATCTATTTAAAATACATTTTGATACTACTCAGAAGAGTATGGTAGACAATTGTTGTTATCCTCCAACTCTAAAACTTGTATTAAACTGGGCGAACGTGATACCATTATAATGGAAGTAAAATTGTTGGTATTCTCAGTCTTCATCTTTTTTTCATTATGTCTCAATACAAATGATCCAGCTGGTAATTACTGTAATGTGGATCAATTCTGGCAGGACCAATGGTAGGCTGATTGTATGCCAACAGCTCCAAGCTGCCATGTTTCTCCATCCCCAGTTGGGACACATTTCTGTGCTCATTGCCCACATGGTAGAGAAGGTATACCTCCAGAAAAAGTGGCACTTGGGAGCTTGCCACTCTCAGAAGAACCTGATTTGCTTGGTGTCTTTGCAAGTTGCTTACTTTGTACAGTGGCAGAAAGCTCATAAGAGAAATCATTTTCATCACAGAAGAGGTTACTTGAAGCTGACAAAGACAAATTTGTCATTTGTTGGTAAAATACTGCCAGAAGAGTTGATTAAGTTCTTAACAGTTGAATGTCTAAATTTAGAAGTACATTTGAGCTGCAGTTACATTTAGTATAGAGCAGTGTTGTCAAGTCTTGTTTTTAGTATTGTTTTCTTGGAATCTCATCTTTTGGAAGCTGTGTCAGGGAGAAAAAAGTCCTATAGTTTAATGAACAGAAGCTGTGCTTCTTATGTTACTTGTATTACCAACTTTTCATGGTGAATCTTTCCTTTCACTCTGTTTTTAGGCTTTGATGAAAATATAGAATCTCAGGGAGAGCTCATCCTTCAAGAATCCTTCCAAGTGTGGGACCCAAAAACTCTGATTCGAAAGGGAAGAGAGAGGCACCTTTTCCTTTTTGAGATGTCCTTGGTTTTCAGTAAAGAAGTGAAGGACTCGAGCGGAAGGAGCAAATACATTTACAAGAGCAAATTGTTTGTAAGTATGGGAGAGCAACTGATCACATCTACAAAACTGTCTAGATTAGGCTTCAGCTAAGCTCAGGTGATTGAAGTGTGTCTGAAAAACTTGAACTGTTACTGAGCACTGCAAGAACAGCCTTGGAATGTATAGACTGAAGCTTTGAAGTTTGGTGCTTTGTCTTGCTCTTGAGGAGAAAGGATAGGCTCAAAGCAACTACTGAAGGGTCCATGTCAGTCTTGGTGTGTCAGGTCAAATGAAAATCAATATTGGGCTAGACTGGTTTTGTCTTAATTGTGCGTTGATTGCAGATTCTTTAACACTTATTTGTATAAAGCAGAAGGATGGAAGGAGTTGATGAGCTGCCTTCAACTTCCTTGTTTGCTATTGCTGTTAAGGATTCGTTTTAGTCAATATTCTACAACTACTGATCGGGGAAGGCAAGAACTTTGTTTTGAAAAAGTTCATTCCAGAATGTTTGCATAGAGCAGTAGTCTTACTATAAAGTTCTGCATATAGAATTATAGTATTTATGATCTACTGAAAGGATATAAAAGTGGAAATGTTTTTATTCCCATCTAAAAAAAAAAAAAAAGGCAAAAGGAAAAAGCAACCCCAAAACCTCCACTCTTACTTTCCTTATCTCTAGAATGCATGCTTTACAAAATGTGATTCTGGAATTCACATCCTTACCTTCCCATCTTGTTGGATGACTGGGGTGAGAGTAGTACTCACACTCCATAAATTTAGGTAGCCAAGTGGCAAGACAGTCTCCCATGGCTTGCTCTGCACCTATCAAAGGCAAGATTAGCTTTTATATAGCTAAAATAGTTCAGAGCAAGTACAAAAAATTACTTCCTTTCTCAGAACTACACTCTAGAAAACATTATTCTCGTATTGATCCTATTGGGATATGTAACTAAGTCTAGATGGTAAATACTAAGTCTTTTCCTTGTGCTTCTGTTCCTTTTCCTTCATTCATTCCCACTTCCCACTTCTGTGTCTAAACTGGTAAAACAGGTTGGTGAAAAAAACCCTCTTTTTTTCCCTATCTTTCTTTGCATATTCTGTCATTTCATTTCCAACATTTGCTTTCCTTCCTGATTCTAAATATCTAGCAGGTAACACAGCTGCAGCTGTTTGTTGATCACACCATTCTTTGCTGCTCTTAAAAACCCAAAATTTAAAAAAAAAAAAAAAGATGGTGTATTGGAGAATATTAATAGCTGCCAAGGGATTATGTGGGAGGGGTGACAAAACTGAAAAATCAGTCCTGTTAAATTGCCATGTCAGTTCCTTCAGCAGGAATTTAGTAGTAGCCTTAGCTCTTAGAGAAGCTAATGGAAATCTTTAAGACTCTCATTGTACTAATCTTTTAAAATACAAGAATTCTTTTTGTTGTCATATTTTATCTGACAAAATATCCTGTAGTGCATTTTACTATTATAGCAGCTCTTACAGTTTGGTCTTTAGAAAAGGCATGTTGATTTGAGCTAAAGATCCTTTCTGTATGCTATCCTGTGACTTCTATAAGGTAGCTTTACAAAAATGAGGTCCTTCTCTTTGCTTTGGGCATGATGACTTCAGGGTTTCCCCAGCATAGGATACTCAATGGCATGATCTAGAGATATAGATATATATATGTATATAAAAATATATAGATGGAATGTGTTAATGCGCTCCTTTGGCAAGAGATTAAGTGTCCAGGAGCCTGAGGAGGGCTGTGGGAGAAAAGGCAAGCAGGTGTTACTTGGACAGAACAGTCTCCCAGTCACCAGGAACTGGTTGTTTGGGAGCTTCCTTACCTCAGTGTGGTTTCCATGCATCCAGTATCCCACAATGGTTTCTGTTCTGTGAGCCTGTCCTGGAGAGCCACATGCAGACTTAGCATCCTTTGCAGAGAGCTGTGTTGCTCAACTGCCCATTGGGCAAAGACAGTTGTGTGTGGAAGGGTAGATGTTGGGATAGGATTATTTTAGAAGAAAAAAATAACTAAAAAGCTTTCACCCACCAACACAAAAAGAAAAAGCCAAGTTAGCATCCAAGTGAGACAAGAAAAAAAGTACTTTTACTCAGGTATTGAGTATCCAGCATCTCATGTGTTGAGGTGTGTATGTGCTAATGATGACATGTATGAGGGGAAAAATACAGCTTCTAATCAAGTGAGAATACTTAGCAGCTGTTGGGGAGTGAGGGTTCTTTTAGTTTGAGCTGTATTTCTTAGTTGGTAATTTTTTTTGGAATAGAGCCTTTATGAATTGTTTAAAGTGGAAGCCAATTCATATGAGTGAGATGTTCCAGTCAGAAAGTGAAAACATTTTGGATGATAATTAGCTTTTAAGGTCTGACATTAGAACATTCCCAAAGACTGATTGTTCATGTAGTTATTTCACAAAATTCTCCAGGGAAACTGCATTTCTGAATTATTTCATCTGTTTCAGAGGGAAGGAAACACTAGGAAAGGCTCATTTGACAGGAAAGAGTCCAGCATTTTACAAGACAGCAAGAGAATTCTTAAGCATATCTTATCTGAGAGGGAGCATAAAATGAGTAAATAGGGAGTGTTCTCCAATGGAAATGAACAGGGAGAGAAGCCAAAACTTATTTTTTGCCAAGCATCATCTTTAGAATTATAAGGGTTTTCATGTCAAGTCCAAAAACTAAAATCAGTAATTCATTTTTGGGATTGTGTTATTGTTTATTGTCACTTTATAGAAAAGATTGTTAAGCTTGCAGTTCTTACTTTTTTGAAGAGACCTCACACTGCCACCAGAATAAAGGATTCTTTCTAGCCATATGAGTTAGCCTTAAGCTTCTGAAAATCTCTTTAAATAGCAGTGCTCAATTTTGTAGATTATTAGCATGCCTTTGTTGGCTTCTGAGAAAAAAATTCTGTGTGGTCCTAACAATTTTTTCTTATTCCAGACTTCTGAACTGGGTGTCACAGAACATGTAGAAGGAGACCCCTGCAAGTTTGCTTTGTGGGTTGGAAGGACACCAACTTCAGACAACAAAATTGTTCTCAAGGTAATTTTAGCAGATGTGCTTTTAGTCTATAGCAAGTCTTGTAGTTGTTGTTATTTGTTGGGAAAGCAAGGAGTGATTTCCTGCTTTGAGAGGGACAGCTGCTGACAAATAATTTTCTTTAGGTTTGCAGCAGTGGTGGTGTGTATATGTCTAACTCATGTGGCCTGAGAGCAGAGAGGAATCTTTACAGCCTACTGAAGGATTAGACAAACATGCTTTTACAAATTGTGGTGGGGAGAGGTTTGATCCCATGGACTTCGATAAGCTTGAAGACTTCAGCAAACAGCTGACAGGGAGCTGGTGTCACAAAGAAATGATGGCATCAGTGTTACCTTCCACACTCAAGTCATTGCTGCTTGTTGGCCATGCCGTTTTTCATGACCTGTATTTTTATGCAGAAAACAAACACTGCAAAAGATTTTTATGTCTTTCTGTGGGCTACAAGTTTTTCTCAAGCTACTTGCCTTTGGATGAAAGTGCATGTAATTCCTATAAGCTTTGTGTCTGTGCAAGTTATAGGTGTCAGTAGTGCTGTTTGCCTAGCTAGAAGAATGGCTAAATCAATATTTTCTATGATTATGGTATGTAACCTGGGACTCCTTCTCAACTGAAGAACCAGTTTTGTAATAGCATAAGCAGCTAAAGGGTAATCTGTCATGTTTTGAGGAGCTCTGTTGAGCTGAAACAAGGTTCATTATTCCCATTTATAGATTAATACACCTACTATTAAACTTGTTTGTGATTTCACATATATTCATAGCAAATAATCAATAATGTCACTGAAAAATGGCCTTTCCAATTCACATTCTTCTTCACATCCAAGTCACATTCTTCCTTGTGAATTACAGACTAACAAAAGCTTACATTAGCTTTCTGGCAGCAGTGAAGGAATGCAAGGAAATTAAGTGTAACATGAATGCATACTAGATTTTCTTTTAGTTTTTAATGTTCCCATAATTTCACAGACAATGCTTTGCAGCCTGACATGATTCTCCCAGGGCAGAACAGAATAAAAGGTTTTAATTAAGGCTTCTCTACATAAGATGACTTTAAGGTGTTTCTGTTCTGTGCTTTACTTAGTGCATATGATATTTAGAAAACTTCTGTGATGCATCAAGCTCTTCATCAAAATTTTGTGGACTTTGTTTGCTTGTTCAGTTTTTGAAGGCTGGAAACAAACACTTCCTTACCTCATTAATATTAGAAGTAAATTCCTTGAAAAACTAAATAAAAGATTTTTTAGAAGACCATGTTTACGTTCTTTTCCTAAATGTTTTTGTTTATAAAAGAAAACAAAATTCTTTTTCCTACCTGTCCATCTGTTCCTACAATTTTCTTCATTCCTTTAGAATTCCTGGTTATTATATATTTATAATATATTGCATATTTATAATATATTTGAAGCCAGTTATTTCAGGAGACAGCAATTAAGAGAAGTAGTATATAATTAAGGAAACTATATATAATAATTTCTTTAGATCTGCAATAATATTTATATTTAATAGCATTTCAGGTGCAGGGTTAAATTGGGCTAAGCAATCAGATTACAAGTTGGGCAGGATATCAAGTAATTTCTGGAGTATTTAAAATAATAGATATGTTGCAGGTAGTAATTAGAATACAATCCCTAAATTAGCTTTCTGCCTCAAGATATGTATCAAAAAGTGGGAAGAGTAATACGTGAAATGCGTTGCAGTAAAAGTTAACTTCTTTTGCCAGTAATAGTTGGTTATTATTCTTTCAAGTTAGAATTGACCTAAAATGTAGGGTGAAATTAAAATATCAGTATTCAAGGTGTTATTATTGGAATTCATCTCATTCTCATGAGATGCATACAGGGCTTTAGTCATCAAGTTAAAAAAGTAAACTCTGAATTAAGGTTAAAATGTTTTTTAAGTTACCAATATTAATAATGTTGAGAAGTGTAAAGTAGTGTTGGGGATTCAAAATAAGACTGCTAGAATTTCCTTTTCTCTGTTTAGGTTTTCAGAAATTTTTCACAAAGTCATTCTTTATGTGTTCCTCTTTGTGTTTATTCGCTGACTGTATGTGTGGATCTACTCAGCCATAATGGTCCTTTGTGGGGGTTTTGTTTCTTTTGCATATCAAAGGCATCCAGTATAGAGAATAAACAGGACTGGATCAAACACATCCGGGAAGTGATACAAGAAAGGACTATTCATCTGAAGGGAGCATTGAAAGAGCCCATCCACATTCCCAAAACTGCACCAACAACAAAACAGAAAGGAAGAAGGTAAGTAGTATTTCAAATAATCAGAGATCTCTAAGTATACAACAGTGCTCTTTCCTCTGTACTGTTGAATTTTGAATGCTTTTAAGTGAATTGGACAAAAGCAAGAGTCATTTGGTCCACCTTTATCTTATCATTAATTTACAGTTTCCTGCAGTGCTGAATTTGTTGAGATTTCTGCTCTGAACAGTCCCTGGCTTGTGTAAATGAGCCATTACAGAAGGGATTTGAAACTACAGTACAGAATAGCTGTACATTTTAGATTTTTGCAATTCTGCATGTGTTACTCAGGTTCTTCGTTTTTCTTTTATGAAGCTTGAAATGTGTCACCAAGTGTCCTCCTTGCTAGCTTTGCCTAAGTGACTGGGCAAGTTTGTTGCCATATTTCTGGCTCACTGGTTGTTGCCTTAATTCCACACGATGTATACCTTGCAAATTAATCTCTTCTCTTACAGCAGAGAACAGAGTATTAAGTACTGAGTATTTGGTTCTTGCATCAGTGAATTTGGTGTCTGTTGCCACACTGGGAGTGTCTCACTTCCTTAACTAGCATGTTGCAAACACAGTACCACTCTTGTAATGAGAACTGAATTCTTTGCAGAGATGGCGAGGACCTGGACAGTCAGGGAGATGGCAGCAGCCAGCCTGATACTATTTCAATTGCCTCACGAACCTCCCAGAACACACTAGACAGTGATAAGGTAAGTTTCCTGGACATTGCTCTGTGCTGAGAGCAGGTGATTTGTCCCTTAGTGTGAATTAGCACCCAAGATTAGTCCTTAGTACCTTCAGAGAAGAGGCATGGAAATACCCAGTCTCTTAAAAATAGCTGTCTGCAATAGAGAAAATACCTTGATACCACAGGAGAGCAGGAATGATTGTTTAAATATAATAGGTCATGAAGAGATTGTTTGTGCCAATTTGAAACCATTTTGGTCCCCTCTGTTCCACAGTTTGCTCAAAGATTTGACCCAGTTTAAAATGAAAGTTTTATTTTCCATAATATTGGATAGCAACACGCAGAATTTTTCTTGATGTTAATCTCAGCCTTCCTGAAAGCATGCCATCTGCTTTTCATGTTGGCTTGAGGCTGGTGATCACCACAGAGTTACTGTTGTAAAGGAAAAGTACTCTCCAGTGTTTATGGGTTAGGGAGTAGGTTTTCACTTTCTGCATGAAAGCTGATGGAATTGTCCAGAGGTAACGCACCAAACTGTCATTTCGCACTAGTGTTGGTGTTTCCTTTCCTCCCTCTCTGCCTGTAGATTCTGGCTGGGTTGTACCATAAGGACACACAGCCAGAGTTTCCCCTGGGTGGAAGAAAGATAAGTGTCAAAAGAATAAAAAAGTTTCCAAAATGTGTGTGTTACTTGGAATTGGAACAAGTTTTTTTGGCAAGTGAGAAGTGTTAGGACCCTGGAGGGAGGTAGAGATGGATAATGAAAGTTTGTCAAACAGAAAAATGAATTAAAACACTGACGATGCCTACCAAACTATTTTAAAGTTTGGCTAGGGATTTCTAGTCAGTTACCTCCTTGGGTAAAATTGTTCTGATGAGCCATTCAGAATATGCAGATAAATAACCAGTATTCTTCAGGGTAGCTAAATTAATATGTTCTCAGAATAATATTTACACCGTTTCCATCATCACCTAAACTCAGTGAGTTTTCTCTATTTTCACATGTTGCTCAAACTCCATAGTTTGATTTTTCCATGTAGAGAAGCAGACAGGAGGAGGGAAATACTAAGTGCTTAGGTTGCTCTTGTATTTGTCAAGAACAGCCTATGTTTTGACTTTGTGCATTTGTAGTGAGGTTGGTCTGTAGTTTGGTAGTGGCTTCTTCTAAAGATACCTGTGAGAAGAACAGTTGGTTAGAGGAAGAACTCTTATGGTGACTTTTATTCTGCTGTCTTATTCTTAGCATTCTTACTTAACTATTTAGGGATTTAAAAACATTGAGTTTTGTATGCTAGCAAACAGTTCTTAAGAGAAGAGTTTAGGTAACCTGTGACCCTAGAACAAGACTGTCTGTGATTTCCCTGGTTGTTGGCTGAGACACCAGGCTGTGTTCACACAGGGTGGATGTGATGCAGTCCATCCCTGCCATGCAGAGCCAACACCCTTCTGCTTGTGATGCGCTGTTCACTAGGATGCATAGCATCATTGTCTCCTGATGCCCCTCACAGGAATATTTCATGCATAGTCTGAGAATTGCTGAGAAAGGTGGCCAAGCAGAATGCCCTCAGGATTGTTTTCCAGTCTGACATGAGGAGGAGTCTTACCAACAACCTGTTCAACAGGAGTTAAAAGTTAAAAGGAGGAGGAATGGAAGGAAGGAGAAATGGAGAACACTTTTCAGTATTTTCCTGACAGGTTTTAGGTGTCATTAGTGACTGTAGTGTTGTATTTAAAGTATTTTTGAGATCTTGCTTTTGTGCATAAAATTTTTGTTAGACTTTTCTTTGCCAAGAAAAACAAGCTGATGACTCCCTGGAAGTTACTTGGGCTGTGTTTTATGTCCAAGGAAGGAATTTACTATTGTGCACTTCTAAAAAGTGTGTGAATTAGCAGTGTAGCTTTGTTTGATGTTTCTGTTGTATGCTTTGGTTTGCTAAATACATTGAGAAAATCTTTAATCTGTTTAAAAATACAAAATAAAAATTATTAAGGAACAGTAACAAGAAAGTGGCCAGTGAAATCTGCAGGGTGTCTTAACACCATTGCTAAGTCTGAGGTAATCTCTCACGTTGGATGTTGAAAATTCATTAGCTGCAGTCCACTTGGGGTTTAAAATCGACTCTGCCCTCTTAGCCTAGAAGCTTGAAGTGTGTGTGAATATCTTACAGAAATGGAGTAAAACAGTTGTACAGATTTAAAGTGCTGTTGATGTGGTTAGCCAGAGGAAGCAGTGGAACTCCTTGGTCAAATTTGGAGCAGGTAGCTAACTGAGATGGGATTCCAAACCAAGAAACATTTAAAAATATCAAGCAATTAAAACCAGTAATAATTAAGTATTAGAAGTGTTTAGTGCTATATTACTTATTAAGCTCTTGCTGAACAGTTTTCTGTTCATGTGTATCTGTTATTGAGGTTGAGAAAAAGACAAAAAAATATCAAACATGTTATATTAATCAACAGCCAACTAAAGCCATTCTTTACTTCCTCCAATTATATGTTCAGACAGTTCATTCTTTTAAAATAAATGTTTTGATTAGAAGTGCTAAACTGTTATACAGGGAGTATATCAAGAATGAAGTCCTTTATCCAAATGTCAATATTCTTTCTCACCTCCTCAGAGATATACTTTGAAAGAGCTGAAAATCCTTAACCATGATAATAAGTGGTTGAATATTGTCCAGATGAACCTCTTTCCTTGCATCCTGTTTTCTGACATAATTGTAATTGCCATAACAATAGAGAATAACTTTATGATTAGCATTTTTCTTCTCCACCCTTGCTTTTTAGGCTAGAATTTTAACTTTTGATTGCTGGCTCCACTGTTGCAATGCTGCTTTTCAGTAATGACTGGGATGATGCAATAGACCATATGCTTATAAAGCTGACATTGATATCCTTCCCAGCCTCATGTCATCTGAAAACAGTGTTGGAAGGCAGAATTAGAATTCAGAATAATCTTGGCAGTGGGGAAAATTAACTGCTAAAATTCTATGCAATTTAATAGGAACACATTTGAGTTTATATTAATAGGTAGAAATAGTTAACTAATGAAAACTGAGAATTTGAAACAGTTTTCGAGAGGATGATTTAGAAGCTACAGAGGCTCACAAGATGTTTATTATTTTGCTGTGTGATGCATCTGGGAGGGCAAGGAAAGCAGCAATATATTGGCTTATAGAAATGGGATGTTGAGGACACTAAGTCCTCATTCTTTACTCAGAACTCATAAAGCTTACATTAGACACTGTAACAATTGAGTTACAGTTTAGAGTACAGAATTTTGGAAAATCAGTGGTCCATTGAAAGAATTCTGAGGGAAAGAAGAAAAAGATTGATTAGAAGTCTACTAAACCTAACTTACAGGGCAAGGAAAAAAATGGGGGCTAACAAGTCTAAAGGGGAAAAAAAGGCAGGAGGAAGAACTTTAGGTCTTCAGGTGGGGAAAAAGACTACTGCACAGAGTTACTAAACATAGGTCTTTTACCTATGTTTTAAGTGGATGGGATGAAATTGAATGACTTATTTTTAAAAAAGATTGTAATAATACTTTTTATAGGTATGAAGATGTGAAAACCTAGAGCAGAGTAATTCTGAAGGCTGGGGAATCTCCATAACTGGAGTTCTGTGAGAACAGTTAGGATGAATGTTAAGGATTCACACAGTTGTGGTTGATCATGCTCTAGAGGATGGGAATATGGGAATGAAGTGGACTAGGTCATTTAAGATCCCTTTCTGTACTTTTTTTTATTATTATGGGGTGTATCTTCATATTGCAAGACATGCTAAATATTTACATCAATAGTGCTGACCCATCCTGAAGCATTGGAAGCTATAATGGAATCCAGTGTGAAATACATAATTTTTGAGAGAGGGATTTCTAGTCCATCAAAGCATCTCAGTTTTCTGCATGAGTGCTCTCTCATTGTACCCTTCTCAGTAAATATTTTGCCCTTCACCTTTCACAGCATTCCTTCCCTTCACATTCTGTAGATGTGTAGCCAGCATTTTAGGTGGCTAACAGATAAAAGAGATTCTTGGACCATTCATTTGGTCTTTCATCAGCCTCATCTCATTTTTAACATTGTCTTTTGAACTTGATCCAGTGCATAGGAAATTAAATAGGGAGGCTGAGGAAACAGTGGAGGTCTGATTGGTTTTTTTCATGCTTTATTCAGTGATCTGGTAGAAACATGAAATAATCCAAACTAATATCTGAGAACATGAGAGGCTTTCAGAAGAACTGTCATAGATTGCTATCCTAAATAGTAGGAATCATGCTAGCTGCTGTGGGTGGTCAGTAGAGCAATACTTTATTTTTAAGAAATTGTCTTTTGTTCCCAGCTGGTAACACTTTGTATTACTGTCTTTGTGAAGTTGTATTTCATTTTCATGCTTCTTTAAGCTTGTGTGTAGTTCTTTCAAAGACAGAAAAAGGACTGAAGCAGCAGGAGACGACCAAGTATTTAGTTCTGCCAGCTGAGTCTCCGGAAGAGAAAAGGCTCCAATCAGTAGAAAAAAATGTCAACAAAAAAAGCAGACATGGCTCTGAGCACACACCTCTTTTCAGAGTTGGAAACCAAGTCTGGACAGCTACCTGGTCAAAGCAAATTGCTCTTTATTTGAGGCAGAACTTTTGTGCTGTCCCATTTATTTTCTGCCAGACTGCATTTGTTTCCATTTTAAACAGGGATTAAAGATTTTTTTTTTTGCTTGAAATAATTGAGAAATCTTGTTAGCTTCTCTTTGCTTTCCCTTCTTCTTAATGTAAAATTACCATGGAAAATTAAATTTCATTTGCAGTCCTGAGAGGATGTTGTATGGCCTGATGTAAAGGCTCTAGAATATCTAGTCAGCCATGGTGCTTGCAGGTAGTGGTGGCAGATGGACTTAGTGTGGTGTCCCTGACTTCAGCAAACCTATGCTGAGAATGAACTCAGTCAGTGCTCACGTGTTTGTGTCGTTTGGTTTTTTTCTTTCTCTCTACAAGCAACAGTGACTAAAAGGCCCCAGAGACATGAATGTAGATGGTTAACATTAATTTCAGCAACTGCAAGGCACTATGTCCCATGATAAGCTGTTTAATTAAACATTGTGCCTTTTTGTAATCTGCAGTTCTGTTTCTGTCTGGCTTTTGTGTCTCATCTCGTCTCTGCCTCTCCAGTTTCCATGTTTCAGACATAGCATCATTTATTTTTATCATGCATGATTAATTCAGTTTACATAAAAGGTTTCTAGAGACGGATGGATAAAGTATATAAAGCCTTTGTTCAGCCTAAATTTGGATTTTGATGGTTTGCAACTCTTTTCCCTTCAGTGCAAGTCAGTCTCCCAGTTTCTGCTGTGCCTCTCACTCTTCCCTGCAGCTAGCCTGGAGAGCCTTACCAAAGCTGTCCAACAACAGCTGTTGAGCAACGCTCTTAATCACAGACACTCCCTGCTGTCCAACTGCATTTAATCAGTGTGAAAGATGAAACTGCTTTCACAAAGTGTGCTATGGAGAGAAATTGAGCAAGGAAACAAAGAGGAAAGAAGTGTTTCCTAACCACTACTGTAGTAGGCAGAAAGAAGGGAAGTTAACCCAAAGGAAGGGAAAATTGGTAAATGCTTTTTTTGCTCAGCTCTCCCAAGTGCCATATGTGTGTGCTGGGTACAGTAATCATTGGTTTTAGTGTCTTAGCAATAGTGGAAAAGTTCTGCACTAAGTTGCATGTAACAGCATAGGTGCATGTTTGAGGATGATGGGGACCTAACAACCCTGAGCAAGAAGTGTCTTACATACTATACTGAAGTGTGAGTGAGCATTGAATTTCAGTGGAACACCGGCCAGCTAGGATATCTGATTATAACATTATCTGAAAAAACTAGGCATTTTGTGTACTTTGGCCATCTGACATGGCCACTGACAACCTTCATTTGCTTTTTCCTTTAGCTTAATATTGTATAAAATACTTAGAAAACATAAAATCTGAGATCCTACTTCTTTTGTTTTATTAGGGGAAAGAGAAGAAAGAACAACTATATTACCAAAACATGTGGCCATTGCACCAGTCACAAAAAATACACCTTAATCTCTATTTGTAGGAAGTGAGGGGTCAGGAAAGCAAACAGAGCACCAAGGATATGCTCCTGTAGGTATTTAGGAGGAAATATAAGGATGAGATGAAGTTTCTGGAAAGTGTCAGCTTGTTACTCTGCTTTCACTGGATGGGATATGGACTCCTGAGAAAAATTTGGTCTGCCCTATACACCTTGTGAAGTCATACTTCATCAGCTTTTTTGTTAGTCCCCATCAGGCATACAGATGGTTTCAATTGTTTCTGAGTTGGTCTGACAAAGGCTGTAACATAAATCAATACCAGAAAACAAGGGAAAGCTCTTTACTTTTTCCCCTTTGCATAGCTTTGCATGGACTGAAAAAAGGAGTGTAAGGGAACAGGAAACATGTTTTAATGAGGGAGGAGGTTACATGTTTTGAAGGTGTACCCCCCTGTAATTTGTGTATTGGGGCTGTCCGAAGAGACAGGGTAGAAGCAATTTTTAGCCTGTATCTAAACAGGTACAACCTGATTCATCTTCCTTAAACACTAGATGTATGAGGGTTTTCTGCCCTTCTTGGCCCCAGCATTCCCTCAAGAAAACTTCAGCTCCTCTGTAAGCACACGCAAGCAATGCTAGCCAGTGAGATTACCAGGCAGACACCATGGGAAAGCTATGGAGTTACTGCAGCCCATCTGCTAGGAATTATGTTCTGTCATTCGTTGCAGACTTGAGGAAGAGAAGGCTGGAATTGTCCTTTGCTTCTTACTGGGTTTTGCTGGTTTTGTCATTTGCTCTGAAATTCTTGCTTGATAACAAGTAGCATTTTCCCCAAAAAGTTTGTCCAGTACTGTTTCCATTCCAAGCTTGTAATGAAAACTAATAAATAAGAAACAATGCAGTCTCTTATCTCCTATTTCTGAAGCTCATGGGATGTAGCTGGCAGCCATGAAACAGTCAAAAGCAACATGGCAGGGTCTGTTCAGTGTGTCGGTGTGGCACTTGCTTCTAGATGTGATGCAGCTGGAATTCTCACAGGGTATTGGTCCTCCTCCTTTGTCAGTGTAGAGCATTGCAAGATTACCTCACTGAGCTGAAGGAGTTTACTGGCTTGGTTCAAAATTACTGAATTCACAGAAGTTGAATACCAGCTGAGATCTGGTATGAATGTTGCACTGAAGCAGCCAGAGCTATAGAAATGGTCACACATAAAAAACTGAAGTAGCCTGGAATGCTGTTGCCATAAGGAAGAAGGAATTCTAGGACTGCTTGCTTAAGTTGGATGAGTGCTTTGGCACTGAGCAATCTTGGGAACTTAGCAAAGTTCTGATAATAATTTTCATTTCACATCAAAGCAGATGTAACAATCAAAGAGAGGAAACTAAAGCTTAGGCAAAGTTATTCTAATAAAGTGTTTTGAAGAGGGGGAGGAAAACCCTAAGCTTGCATGATTTTAATTCAAGTTTGTGCAGTTTTATTTGGGGAGACCAACAAAAATGTGAAAGTTGTAAGCCTGTGTGAATTTGCTGTTAAACAGTTAAGTATTTGGGAATGTTTTGTGAAGAACTTTATGATGACTTCTACAATTGTGTATGATGTGTCCTGGATGATTTTGTGACCTGTGTGTGTAAACTGTGAGTAGGGTAGGAATAAGGCAGAAGGTCATTTGAAAAAACTACCTCTTTCTCTCTTGAATTTGAAAGATAACAAAGCTCATGGGTGACTGCATTTAGTAATATCTGACCTTTTTTTTTGCTAATTATCACCCATAAAATATATTCAGAAGCGACTGCTACTTCAGCTTTTGGGATACGGAGCAGTCTAGCAAGAAAAGCTGCTTAAATCCTCCGCCCAGCACTGTCACAACCAGTGTGCTTTGAACAATAGGCAGAGACAAGCAGAGTTAGAAATCTGTTCTAAAACACCAGAACTGCCTGATTTTGAAACGCTCTCTTCTTGATGTGGAAAGTTCCAGAAGCCTGCTATCTCATCCAAAATACAAATCCTGCCAGGAGTCCTAAATAGGTACCGGTGCGTGACGGATGGTTTGATAACGAGCGTTCATCCGGCTTCTCCTTGTTCTCTCCCCTGGCAGTTGTCTGGTGGGTGCGAGCTGACAGTGGTGATCCACGACTTCACCGCCTGCAACAGCAACGAGCTGACCATCCGCCGTGGGCAGACCGTGGAGGTCCTGGAGAGGCCCCATGACAAGCCCGACTGGTGCCTGGTGCGAACCACGGATCGCTCCCCAGCTGCGGAAGGCCTGGTCCCCTGCGGCTCCCTCTGCATCGCCCACTCTCGCAGCAGCATGGAGATGGAGGGCATTTTTAACCACAAAGGTAAGGAGTGATGGGCACAAAGCCTAGACATCAGCAGCGTGCTGTGACGGTGTTCACAGGGGCCTTAGGATGAGGGAAGAGATGAGGATCTGACTCCACGTTTCAGAAGGCTTGATTTATTATTTTGTGATATATATTATATTAAAACTATACTAAAAGAATAGAAGAAAGGATTTCATCAGAAGGCTAGCTAAGAATAGAAAAGGAAGGAATGACAACAAAAGCTTGTGTCTCGGACAGAGAGTCCGAGCCAGCTGACTGTGATTGGCCATTAATTAGAAACAACCACATGAGACCAATCACAGATCCACCTGTTGCATTCCACAGCAGCAGATAACCATTGTTTGCATGTTGTTCCTGAGGCCTCTCAGCTTCTCAGGAGAAAAAATCCTAAGGGAATGATTCTTCAGAAAATATCATGGCTGCAGCGTGGGGTTTGGGTCATGGACAGTGCCGTGCATATGGCAGCTTCGGTGTTCTGCACTGCCTCCTTTTCAGCAACCACTCTGTCTTTTCCAAGAATAAGCAGTTGGCAGTTCTCAGCATTAAGGGAAAATGTGGCTGAAGATAGAGAAGAAGTTTAAGCAAATTATATCTTGGTGAAGAGTTATATATCATATTAGATCAAGCTGCGGTGATAGGAAAATCTATACCTGAGAAGTGCTGAAAGTGGGGAGGGAAGAAAATCTCTGGAATGGATTATCAATGTTTCCTGAGAAGTCCTGCAGTAAGAAGTCATGAAGGTTCAGCAATGGAAAAGGTAAATACACTCCTCCATATGCCCTGGCACACAAATTGTTTTTTCAGAGTAGCACTGGCACACTTTTTCCCATAGCATCTCTGAAATCTTACTTTGGTTTTTTTTCAGATGCATGAAAGAATATTCCCCTGAAGGGTGCAAGAAAAATCTGATGCTTTTTGAAAGGTTTTAGGGTTTTAGTGTGCTCTAATCTTTTGCCTCTGTAAACTATCCAGGCTCAAAAAGTAGATTATTATTAGAGAAAATGCTTGCTTGCCTCATTTACAGCTACTTGAGTTTGCAGGCTGTGAACAGAAAAAAAAATGTAAGCTTACAAAAAGAGAGGAGGGGAAAAAAACAGAAAAATAGTTAATTAGAAGACATTTCATCACATGGGAAAAGATGCATTTTAAAGAGTTTCTTATTGCAGGTAATAAGGTTAGTAGACAAGTGATGTTGGGGAAAGCTTGTCCTCCAAAACACAAAATTCTTGGTTTTGGAAAGTTTTTCATAAATGTAACCACAATTTTTTGAATTATTCAGTCCATTCCAGCTATTACAATTTTTTCCCCATTTTTTAAGTCACTGTATAAATATGCTTGACTAAAACAGGGGTGAGTCTGTGTTTCTTACATTAGGGGCAGGCACAGCAGGAGCTTCCTGAATGCAGGGTGACTGGGGGCTTGGGGGGGGCAGTTTGAAGGATTGAGCTGTATAGTTGGAGTAGTCTTTTGTCATTTTGTGTCCTACAATAATTTGGATAGGGAAAGCTTGCAGATGTTCTGATGATAAAATCGGAAAATATAGTTGAGTAACACTAAAACTTTTTTCTTCTTGGACTAGGGGGTGAAATCTGGATTTTTTTTTAACAACACAAGAACTGATAAATTTCCTTTGGAGTTTAGGGACTTCACCTTTGAATGCAATTTTATTAGGAGAGGCAGATTGTATTGGACTATATGTATATATGTGTACATAATATGAAATACCTTGACCCTTTCAGAATCTCAGTGGACAGACAGAGCTGGTTTTGTGTTTGAGAAGTTACAAAAGTAACTTCTTTAATCGAATCAGTGGACATGACCTGTATTGCTTTTTTTTCTTCAGAGTTTGTTTAGGGAAAATGGGGCAGAGCATTTCAAGGATACTTTACTTTGTTTAACATGGTGCTTTGAAGTAAAGAGCATTAATTAATTAGATTAATCACTGACACTGAAGAAGAAGAGAAAGCCATTGCTAGAATGAGCATAATTTGCAGGGTTGAATGCAGCCTCAGAAGTGCCTTCTGTCCCTGCCACAGGCTTCCTGCGGGATGTTATGGTATGCCATCCTAATCCCAACTGATAAAAAGCAGCTGCTAATTGTTTATTCCCACATTGCTGGGTGTCAGGCTTTAGGAGATGGATGTTTCATTTGTAAAGCTTCCCCTTCGTGTGACTGAAGGGAGTGTGAACTGCCTTGAACATGCAAGCTGTTACATAATGTTAAGTAGATTGGAGGGGGGGGAAAAGGGTAGACAAGGCACTTGAAACCACTGGATTTGTTTCACTTTGGTCCCTACTTCATATTTCTATTGCTTGAAAGAGATTGATAGTCTTCATTTCACTGAAGGATTATAAAAATTAAGCAAAACCAGTGGAATGCTTTGATTTTCTTTTTCCCCCCATAGTGAAAAGTACCTCAAACAATCCCACAAACCAATTATTCATTCTTAAGTGCTGCATTTCATTAAATAAAGCATCAGGGAATATGCTAATCAGAAGAATGGAAAAACAATTAGATGATCTTCTCAGAATTGTTCATTGTGGGTATTGATTGAGGTATGAATTCCTAAAAAACACTACTAATCCTCTAACAAAGAACAAATGAGCAACTTACATAATTTTAAGTTAGTCCATGTTCTTGGCTGGATAATTTTTCATGTCCTCCCTAGATTTCTAGTACTTTATTAAGTACCTTCAGTCTTTACAGTAGAGATTTTCTTTTCCTTTTTTGGACAATAATTCAGTAAAACTTCAGAGTTTTTGAGAGATTAAACAAATTAGGATTTTTTTGGTCTGAAAATACATGTCCTCTGTGAGGCTTACAGTGTGAGCATCAAGCCTGAGTAATTCTGTACAGTTCATGGACTGTGAGTCTGGAATTTTTGCATGTCTGACATGACAAGCTCTTAGGAGAGGCTGAGGCAAAGAGAGGCTTTATGTATTGCAGGGGAAAGGAGGAGGTGATCACCATCAGAAGTGGCGGGGTTGGCTACTTGGGTGTGTAGAGTGCTTAGCTTATACAGATAGCGTGCTAAAGAGTTTTGTACTCCTTTCTGTATCTCTGGACCCTACAGTTTTGATCTTCTCAACAGTGTTTATCAGTAGCACCACTTGGCAACAAAACAGGAAAAAAAAAGGAAAAAAAAGGAAAGCTGCAGCATATCAGAGGTGAAATGAACTTCAAAGTTTTGAAATGGCAAACTTCTCGTAATTGACAGCTAGTTCTTATGGTGTGTCAAACCACATTTCATCCCTGAGTACAGAAATGTTGGGTGATACTGAATATCTTAAATAATCTCAAATTATTATCCAAAGTAGGAAAACATGCATGATTATTAAAGAAGCAAATATGTTCAGTGAAGCCTATTTCTAACAGTTGGTTTGGCCATTCCTTGTCTGTCCACACATTATCTGTCAACCATGAAAGGTAATGTTGTTTTATTCTCAGCCTCAAAAATGACCCTCATTACTTGCCTAGAAGTGTAGGTATTGCTTCTCCTTTAAGAATGTGTATTATTGAAGCCATGTAATCATTTAATGACTGGATTAAAAAAATACATTTATAATATCTTCCATCTTTAAAATTTTATTGTCGTTAAGGTAATAAACACTTTGTTAAGAATATGAGGAAAGCATTGCCCAGAAAAGATATTCACTACATGAATAGTAACTTAGGGGGAGAGTTGATTGCAAGTTCCTGACCTCTTGCTCCGCTGGACATCAAATCTATTTTTGCAAGTTATTTGGGTCATTCAGTCCATTTGATGTGCAGTTCACAGATGAATATATTTTTTAAAAACATCTAAATCCCTTTTATAATAGGGGGAAAAGAGAAACAAGGGAGTAGTGAAGAGGCTGAATAACAGTTGGTGCACTCTACAAAAATAAATCACTAGCTCTGGAAGAACATGTTTTTCACAAGTAATGCATAAGGCAACATTTTTTTTGTAATGATTTCCCACATGTTTTTGGGTGTGGGGGAGAAAGATCATTCCTGTTGTTTTATTTGGTGCTTCTCTGTTTTTTAACATGGGTTTCTTTTCCTTCTAGGGTACATCCTATTTAATGAGTGCAGTCCTCTTTCTTTTCTTTTCAGGGCATTTACACTGCCACAGAGCTTTGGGTAAAGGGCAGGGGACAGGATTCAGTGTAATGAAAATGAACATGCAAGGTCAGAAAAACTGGCAGCTATTTAAAATTGTTTGTGAATTCTTGCCTGTTTAGATCACAAGTTTACTGTCTTTTCTGAATCTGTGATGACTTCTGAAGAATTTGTGATAGTCCTTCATACCCATTCTGTTGGAGCTACTATTTGGAGAGATACAAAGGCTGCAACAAGCCTCATTGATTATGAGGCTTAAATTAATGTCTCCTTTAAGTTACAAGATTTTGGGGGGACCACGTCTAGTTACCAATTCACGTTACTATTTGTTTGTTTCAAAACTTGACCACAGAAGTCTTTTGTTTACCTGAAGGTACAGTGTTTGCCTGTTTTACACCATCACATAATCCAGAAATCTGTATAGGTTGGTTCAAATCTGAGAGGTAGATGATGTCTCAGTAACACAGTGCCAAACCACACACAGTTCATGTACTGAATACTGGCTTTTGATTTTGCTCTGAGGATGCCATCCTGATTGCAGCCATAAACACAGAAATGAGGTCTCTCTCAAATAATTTTAAAATAATAAGGCAGATCAAATGCCTTTGCAAGACAAAGGTTGACAAATTCGTTCAAATTACTGTGGAGTGAGCCATTTTCTATATCTGCAACATGGGAAGGATTGATGTAGGGCAGGTGTCAGGGCTCTTTTTGAATTGCTCTAGGGACCCTCTGTTCAAGAATTAAGGAAGACAGAAATTGTGTGGATGACTTAGAGATATTTCCCAAGAAGAAAGAGAGATTTTATAACTGAGGCCACTGAATGGGCTTAAATAATTTTGAATTTGTTACATTAAGTAAGTTTGCTGTCACACAGCTGCATCCTATTCAGAAT